TTTTTTTGCCATACTATCCTATGTCGTTTTTTCACTTTTTTTTGCCATACTATCCTATGTCGTTTTTTCACTTTTTTTTGCCATACTATACTATGTCGTTTTTTCACTTTTTTTTGACATACTATATTATGTATTTTTTTTTTAACTATTTAGCCCTTAATATACCATGACGCCTTTATACATTACTACGACATTACATTTTTTAGTGATTTTATGCCTTATTGTACTATGTTGTTTTTTCAATTTTTTTTGCCATACTATACTATGTCGTTTTTTTCACTGTTTAGCCCTTAATATACCATGATGCCTTTATACCGTACTACAACATTACATTTTTTAGTAATTTCATGCCTTATTGTACTATGTTGTTTTTTCACTTTTTTTGCGTTACTGTACTATGTATTTTTTCACTATTTAGCCCTTACGATACCATGACTCCTTTATACCTTACTACAACATTACATTTTTTTGTGATTTTATGCTTTATCGTGCTATGTCGTTTTTTCACTTTTTTTGCCATACTATACTATGGTGTTTTTTCACTTTTTGCCATACTATACTATGTTGTTTTTTAAAAACTTTTTAGGCCTTAATATATTATGATTTCTCTATACCTTACTATCCTATGATGTTTTTTGATGTTTTTATGTCTTATTCTACTATCTTATTTTTTCACTTTTTTTTTGCCATACTATACTATGTCGTTTTTTCACTTTTTTTGCCTTACTATACTATGTCTTTTTTTTAAAACTTTTTAGGCCTTAATATATCATGATTTCTTTATACCTTACTATACCATGACTCCTTTATACCTTAGTACAACATTACATTTTTTAGTAATTTTATGCCTTATTGTACTATGTTGTTCTTTCCCTTTTTTTGTGTTGCTATACTATGTAATTTTTCACTATTTAGCCCTTGATATACCATGATGCCTTTATACCGTACTACAACATTACATTTTTTAGTAATTTTATGCCTTATTGTACTATGTTGTTCTTTCCCTTTTTTTGTGTTGCTATACTATGTAATTTTTCACTATTTAGCCCTTGATATACCATGATGCCTTTATACCGTACTACAACATTACATTTTTTAGTAATTTTATGCCTTATTGTACTATGTTGTTCTTTCCCTTTTTTTGTGTTGCTATACTATGTAATTTTTCACTATTTAGCCCTTGATATACCATGATGCCTTTATACCGTACTACAACATTACATTTTTTAGTAATTTTATGCCTTATTGTACTATGTTGTTCTTTCCCTTTTTTTGTGTTGCTATACTATGTAATTTTTCACTATTTAGCCCTTGATATACCATGATGCCTTTATACCGTACTACAACATTACATTTTTTAGTAATTTTATGCCTTATTGTACTATGTTGTTCTTTCCCTTTTTTTGTGTTGCTATACTATGTAATTTTTCACTATTTAGCCCTTGATATACCATGATGCCTTTATACCGTACTACAACATTACATTTTTTAGTAATTTTATGCCTTATTGTACTATGTTGTTCTTTCCCTTTTTTTGTGTTGCTATACTATGTAATTTTTCACTATTTAGCCCTTGATATACCATGATGCCTTTATACCGTACTACAACATTACATTTTTTAGTAATTTTATGCCTTATTGTACTATGTTGTTCTTTCCCTTTTTTTGTGTTGCTATACTATGTAATTTTTCACTATTTAGCCCTTGATATACCATGATGCCTTTATACCGTACTACAACATTACATTTTTTAGTAATTTTATGCCTTATTGTACTATGTTGTTCTTTCCCTTTTTTTGTGTTGCTATACTATGTAATTTTTCACTATTTAGCCCTTGATATACCATGATGCCTTTATACCGTACTACAACATTACATTTTTTAGTAATTTTATGCCTTATTGTACTATGTTGTTCTTTCCCTTTTTTTGTGTTACTATACTATGTATTTTTTCACTATTTAGCCCTTACTATACCATGACTCCTTTATACCTTACTACAACATTATATTTTTTTGTGATTTTATGCTTTATTGTACTATGTCGTTTTTTCACTTTTTTTGCCATACTATACTGTGTTGTTTTTTCACTTTTTGCCATACTATACTATGTTGTTTTTTAAAAACTTTTTAGGCCTTAATATATTATGATTTCTCTATACCTTACTATCCTATGACGTTTTTTGATGTTTTTATGTCTTATTGTACTATCTTATTTTTTCACTTTTTTTGCCATACTATACTATGTCGTTTTTTCACTTTTTTTGCCTTACTATACTATGTCGTTTTTTAAAACTTTTTAGGCCATAATATGTCATGATTTCTTTAAACCTTACTATCCTATGATGTTTTTTAGTGATTTTATGCCTTATTGTACTATGTCGTTTTTTTACTTTTTTTGCCATACTATACTATGGCGTTTTTTCCCTTTTTTGCCATACTATAATATGTATTTTTTTTCTCTATTTAGCCCTTAATATACCATGACGCCTTTATACCTTACTAAAACATTACATTTTTTAGTGATTTTATGCCTTATTGTACTATGTCATTTTTTCACTTTTTTTTGCCATACTATACTATGTCGTTTTTTCACTTTTTTTGCCATACTATACTATGTATTTTTTTTCACTATTTAGCCCTTAATATACCATGACGCCTTTATACCTTACTAAAACATTACATTTTTTAGTGATTTTATGCCTTATTGTACTATGTCATTTTTTCACTTTTTTTTGCCATACTATACTATGTCGTTTTTTCACTTTTTTTGCCATACTATACTATGTCGTTTTTTAAAACTTTTTAGGCCATAATATATTATGATTTCTCTATACCTTACTATCCTATGACGTTTTTTGAGGTTTTTATGTCTTATTGTACTATCTTATTTTTTCACATCTTTTGCCATACTATACTATGTCGTTTTTTCACTTTTTTTGCCTTACTATACTATGTCGATTTTTAAAACTTTTTAGGCTTTAAAATGTTATGATTTCTTTATACCTTACTATCCTATGACGTTTTTTGATGTTTTTATGCCTTATTGTACGATGTCATTTTTTCACTTTTTTTGCCACACTATACTATGTCGTTTTTTCACTTTTTTTGCCATAGTATACTATGTCGTTTTTTCACTTTTTTTGCCATAATATCGTATGTATTTTTTTTCACTATTTAGCCCTTAATATACCATGATGCCTTCATACCGTACTACAACATTACATTTTTTAGTGATTTTATGCCTTATTGTACTATGTCGTTTTTTCACTTTTTTTTGCCATACTATACTATAGCGTTTTTACACTTTTTTGCCATACTATACTATGTTGTTTTTTAAAAACTTTTTAGGCCTTAATATATTGTGATTTCTTTATACCTTACTATCCTATGACGATTTTTGATGTTTTTATTTCTTATTGTACGATGTCATTTTTTCACTTTTTTTGCCATAGTATACCATGTCGTTTTTTCACTTTTTTTGCCTTACTATACTATGTAATTTTTTAAAACTTTTTAGGCCTTAATATATTATGATTTCTTTATAACTTACTATCCTATGACGTTTTTTGATGTTTTTATTTCTTATTGTACTATGTCGTTTTTTCACTTTTTTTGCCATACTATACTATGTTGTTTTTTAAAAAATTTTTAGGCTTGAATATATTATGATTTTTCTATACCTTACTATCCTGTGACGTTTTTTGATGTTTTTATGTCTTATTGTACTATCTTATTTTTTCACTTTTTTGCCATACTATACTATATCGTTTTTTCACTTTTTTTGCCATACTATACTATGTTGTTTTGTTTTTTTTTACTTTTTATGCCTTACTTTATTATGATTTCTTTATACCTTACTATACTATGATGGTATTTAGTGATATTATGCCTTATTGTACTTGTATTTCACGATTTAGCCCTTAATTATTACTAATTATACAATGACGTTTTTATGACATCATGAGTTTTTATGTCTTTTTATGATTTACTATGACGTTTTATTCCATACTATACTATGATGTTTTCATGACTCTTTTTTTCCTACTATACTATGACGTTCTCATGACTTTTAATGCTTTACTATAGCATGACGTTTTTTTATGTTTTGTCTCATTATAGAAGGTTTTTTATGCCTTACCACAGTATAAAATTTTAAGTCTCATAATACTATGATGTTTTTATGCCTTAGTATACTATGACTTATGACACATATATGACATGTCCCTATATCAAGAGTGATGTTACCATATACAGTATGTCACCTATAAGAGGATATATTATTATGACATATATACATCCTATGGATACATGAAGATATAAGTTCATAATATATATGAAATATTCATAGTAAAATGCAGCTTCATTAAACCCATTTAGTATCAGCATGTTAACAATGTAAGTTTGAGCATGTTATCATGTTAATGTTGAATCATTTCCTTCAACTGCTAGCATGACTATAGACCAACTACAGCAGCCATTGTTTTAAGTTTATGCTTGTATGATTTATGGTCATTTTGGAGCCTCCAAAATAAAAATAAATCAAGACACTTAAATCTTCATGAAGGTGAGATTTATTGCTTTTATTATTCCTGCTATTGCATGAGCCTGTTAGTTAGTTTTAGCTGGGTCTACCTAATAAACTGGTCACTGAGTGTGTATCAAATGTCAGCTGGTCCTTGAATGTATCAATAAGAAAGTTTTCAAAAGAGATAGAGATTACTTTATGTTCACTGTGTTGTAAGTATAAAGTCTTCAAACTGTGCTGAAACCAGTGGCTCCCTGGATGGTAAGGTAAACACATTAATCAGTCTGATAGCTTATGGGTTTGCTCTGGAAAATGGGTGGCAGCAGAAGTTAATGGGCTAAAACATGCAAAAATCACCAGTATGGTCCTGTGAGCACAGTACTGAACATCTTTATATTGATAGTAGCTGCTGTTTAACTGTTAGTGTGTATCTGTGTGTATATCAAAAATTGCAGAGGAAGATGTAATGTCTCACTCTTGTTAGTTGTCTTCTTGAATATGACTGCATTCTCCCCAGAGGTGAAGAATTTAAAGTAGGTGCAGTTGGATTCTGTAGGAAAAAAGAAAAGATCAAACAAAGAGATCAGACCCCCCCCCCCCCCCCCACACACACACACACACACACACACACACACACTCCTATGTATGACTGCTGGTCTTCTGTGATGTGCATCCTATGCATCCATGCACTGTCCTTCCAGGCATCATTCCTATTTATATCCAAGTGTCGAGCATTAGCTGGAATATCCAGAGACACACACCGCTACACACACACCGCTACACACACACACACACACACACACACACACACACACACACACACACTGCCCAGCACTGCACATATGGTGCCGCCAGAGAGGGTGAGAGACAGCAAAACACTAAGGGTGGATGGCAGAGGGGGGAGAAGGAGTGGTAGACAGAGAGAAGGGGCAGATGGAGGACAGAAATGGAGAGGCGCAGTGAGTGAGGGCAAGAGGATGTGTAGGGTAAGCCAAAGATGGAGGGGGATGCAAGAAATATGCAAAGAAGCTCAGAGGGTGAGATAGCGGGGAAAAGGAGGAGGGAGTTGGGGGGGCAGATGGAGGGGTGGTGAGTGAAGGGAAAGAGAGAGGGGAGCCACAGATGGAGAAGGAGGTGAAGGGAGCAGGAGATGTCAAGAGGGGGAGGAAGCACAGAGGGGTTGGTTAATACTGCATTAGACATACTCTCTCCCTCAGTCCCTGTCTGTCCCTCTTCCTCGTTTCCCCCTCTCTATATTTAGACAAAAACTGTGAAGTAGTCAGATTCCACTTGGCTTCACAAGCACATAGTGATGACTTTCACCCGCTGAATATTATGTGGTCCAAGATGACCACATGCTTCTACACACACACATTTCTCTAACACACAAATATGTGTGTGCCTGAGCACACTTGTAAACATTTTTATTGAAGCAGATACTCCATTTATCAGCCTACTGATTTTTTTAACACATTATGCTATCAGAGTCAACTGATTTCGCTCTCACTACCCCTGCTGAGGCTATAATTATTGAGCCGTCATGTTCCTCTCCAGCAGGCAGCAAAGACGGATAGCTGGTCTTGAGATGACAGGCGCAGCATCAGCGGGCTGCACTTTGCTTGGGACAGGAGCCAGAGGCATGTAAACAGGGATGTGATACAGAGAAGCAGAGATGGCAAAAACAGTTGTTTTCCTCCAAACATGGGGAGCCCACGGCCATCTGCAACAGGCGGCGTGGGCCAACAGTGTGAGAAAGATTGTCAGAAGCATACTGGCTGCATTCACACACTAACAGACCATCTTGGAAGCATAGAGATATATATCCGGTAGCGGGAAGCAGCCAGAGATGCAGGACATTTTGACAGGAAAGATGAATTAGTCCTTGAAAACTGGATATAAATCAATCCAGTGACACATCATTGAAGGTGATGTATGTGAATAGTCTTTATGTAAGCTATATATGTGATCCCATGTATCTGTGCTGGATGAGGAGATTTTTTTTGGTCTCTTCAGTGCTCTGTTGCATCTCAGCAGATTCCCTGAGACAGGGAGTGATTCCAGGAGCAGCTCCTCCTAAAGCCTGCCGTGCCGTGCCTATCTCTATCTTCCAATACCTGCCTCTCTCTCCAGCTCTTTTCCGACAGAAATAGGTCATTGTGCAGATAATCGACGCACTCTGGAGAACATAACCACGGTCAAGTTGAATAAAGTGCTTTTAGAACGGAGCTGTCACAACTCTAAACATGGATGTTCATCAACACAGTAAACCTGTGGTCTGCTCCTTTATCACCTGTCTGCACTGTGTGCTCAACAGGAGATGATTAGGTACCCAGTGAAGAGAAAGCCTTAAAATGAATAATGCTTCATTACACTGACAATGTTATGAATCACAAGGATAGTGTTGTATAATGCGAGATGTACCTGCATGCTGCGTTGTGTGGTTACAATAGAAGAAGAATTGAAAACAGCTTCACTGTGGTCCTCTGCGTGCAGCTTCACTCCACCAGATCTGTTTCCAAGTATCGTATTTCTTTAATGATTCAATTTGCACATTATCTGTAGGATGACCTAGATACATATGTATGCAGGCAGCTTCACATACACAACTATCCTCTGTCTATCCCTTTGCAAGGTTTTAGTGGATGTACATATACAGCATGCAGGGAAAAAAGACTTTAAATACAGTATATATCAAAAATTCACAAATTTGTAGATTACAATTCTTGATTGTGTTAAGGGAATTCAAATTATTTTTATTTCAACCTAAAGTGATGGCATGGTTTTGCTTGGTCCCTCATGGGTTCAGATGAAAGACCTACAGATGTAAGCATATTCCCAGAGGCAATACACCATATTAGTTATGCCTGCTCCCTCTGTTTTCATATCAGTGATGACGGCAACAAAGTTTTTTTCCTCAATGATGTCAACAATTTACAGCCCCTCAGAAACATATTTTTGACCCTTTTCTATCAATTCACTTTCACACTGATGCACGTACTGTAGCATGGAGGGAGCCTCGAGGTAGACTTGCCTGGCTGGGCAATTCAGTTTGGAGAAAAGCAGACGTAAGCAGACAGTCAGAGAAACAAAACAGACACAGTCCCTGCAGAAACCTCACCTGCTCACCTCACAGACAGTACAGAGAACAGACAGACAGATGAACGCAAACTCACACAGACACACCGGCCAGAGGTCTCACCTCCAGGTAGTTCAGCAGGGCCGCAGCTTGTCCTCTCCGGGTCTATGTCAGCCACCCATAGGGTGCGGATGCAGCCCTTCCACAGGCCGTAGTGGGCCAACTGGCAAGTCTGGTTGCCGCTGAAATTCTTTGGTTGAGCCAGCTCCACCCAAAACTCTGTCCCCACGCCCAAAACCGTCAGGGTCACACCAATGATAGACACGAAGAAGGCCAGCTTGATCTTCCCCTCCTGGCTGTCACTCATCTTGTGGGTTCGCCTCTGTCCCCTTCCGCCTTTCATTCCACCCAGCCCCCCACCTTGTCCGGCCCCTGCCACCCCGATGCGACCTTCCTCATCCTGCTGTACAAAGAAGTTGGACCACATACTGTTCTCAGGGCAGGGCCGACCAGGAAGACCAGGGGATGGGACAACAGACTTAGGCTAAAGATTAGGGGAGTAAATAATAGATGAAAAGATGTAAGGAAGGAAAGTTAAGAGAGAGGAAAATGGGGAGATGCTCAGGTTGGATAGGGTGTAGCTTTGGAAGTGATAGCAGTATACTGAAAAAGAGGAGACACAGCTATCAACTATCCTATGATGGGTAAATTGAGCAAAAGCAGTCAGAATGAACAGAGGAAGCGCGTTGAACTCTGAAATTAGACAGAAAGAGATATGAATAGAGGTACAATGAAGTAGGGGGCGGATGAAGTAAGGTAATGATAAAATGGGAAGAGATGGAGGCAGGACCAGGAGAGCCAGTGTCTGTTTTCCGTCCAGTCCACTGAAATAGAGAGATGAAACAGAAAGATGAAAGAGCAGCCGGCATATGCTTCACAAGAGCAAAATCCTTTCATCACCAGCGTAATATTTAATTTCCAACAGCTTTATCAGCATCTACAGTATTCCCTCCCCTAAAAGCCATATGACGTGCTCTCAGCCAACAATAGATAAGCCATATGGCGTTTCCCTGAAAGGCAGATTTTGCTTCAGATGAAGAAACAATTGGGCTGGATGAGCTAGTGGAGTTGTTTGGTATGGGGTCAAGGTGAGAGATAACACCACAGCGCCAGACTGGACCACCCATCTTCTATTTTCCCAGAGGAGTTGACAGCAGACCTCATCCCTGAGCAGGTAAACTATCTCTGGCTTAGACACAGATCCCCTTTGATCTGAGGGGATAATAGGTTGCCACAAATACCTCCCATCCTGCATTATGTGTACCGGCAAACACTGGGAATCTGGAGCCATGAGTGTCTTCCTCAGCACCGTGCATGTGAGTGTGTGTGTGTGTGTGTGTGTGTGTGGCATATGCACTGAAGATGGGTCCTGGCTTATAAAGCTGTTTCAGTTATTCCAAACTGTGAGTGACTTTAAACAACGTGAGTGACAGGGTGCAATGGTGTCGCCACTCTGCGCAGGGTGCGTGAGAGGTGATAATTCAAGCCTGAACCCTCTGACAGAGTGGGGGCTGCAATAATTAACTCAGTCCAACAGGTCACATAGTGGAGGCAAGAGGCCTGGCCAGTTAGGAAGGCAGCACCAGCAGGCCACACACAGTTGGTAGATCACTTAATTCAGAGCTTTGTGCTGACAGCATCAGAGTTTTTATATAGGCAAGGCACCACATGAACCCACTTAGAGTAAGTATAAACACAAAGAGCAGCATGGTGCACTTAAATTAAAATGACAGTTTTGCAGTATATAGATTCTGGGTAATATTACCAAAATGGTCAACAGTAAGACATTTATAAACAACCAAGCAAATAAATAGATAAAAAACTATGGTCACTGACATTGGACCTGGGAAAAAACTAAAATCTATCTATCTATCTATCTATCTATCTATCTATCTATCTATCTATCTATCTATCTATCTATCTACTTTAAAATCTTCATATGTGTAAAATTAAAACTTAAATAACTATGTCTTAGTTGAGATGGAAGAATTTCATCTGAAAGAGCAAACTCCATTTGCTCAGGAAGGTCATGTGACACGATTTAAAGCTCCAAAACAGCTACAAATGGATTTTGTGGTGAGACTGTTTCGACCACTAATGGTGTCGTCAGTAACTGTGACTTTTACTACAAAGTGCTTGGAATCATTAGTGGACAACAGAAATTTGTAGAACAATAACGTGATAAGACTTCTGCCAAAAGTTGCCAAACAATAATGTTGATACTGACAGTAACCGTTGTAAAGGGATATAATCTTCTTATCTGACAAGCTAATAAAAGGCAGATCCCTGCACGTCCCTAATCAACCAAAGCTTTGGAATAGCAGCTGTGCATTAGAATACTCCTCCAACATTAACTGTAATAAAGAACATCAAGACTGAAGCTGCTGACAGCCAAGTTAGTGATCACAGAATTACAAACCCACATCACATTACATCCATATTAACCAGGATGATCGGAGGGGTTAGAGCATGCCAGGCTACTCTAAGAGGGGGGGGGGGGGGGGGGGGGGGGGTAACTCAGACAAATGCTTACTTTGTAATAAAGGATTACCCAAAGCAGAGTACTTGGTACTTGTACATGTTTTTGTGGTTTATGATGAATCAAAAACTATGGTGCAATGTTTTCAGCTCTATAGCAGCTGAGCAGAGGGTAAGCTTGTACACACGGGCACATTTTATGTTGTGAAAATAAGGAACTCTCTCTATCATCTCACCAACAACAGCCCCCGCCACCTGTGTAACACGTGGGCATAGGAAAGCAACAACTTGCTAATGCACTGAAAAGAAGAATAAGTCTGACCTGTTTGGTGTGTGTTGCTCAGTTCAGGAGGAAGAGACGCTTGAAACTTAATAGAGGGGGAGAGTGGTGATGGGAGAGTTAGTGACAGAGAGAGAGAGGGAAAAGGGGGTGGGAAGGAGGTACGTAAGAGTTATGGAAAGTGAGTGTAACAGGGGAGGGGGCTGCAGCCTGGTTGGTTAACACTGTTGATGATTAAATGCGTGTCTGTGTTGTCTGTGTGTGTGTTTGTGTTTGTGTGTGTCCCTCACACCCGCCCCTGCAACTCATGTTCAGTCTCAACAGCAGCACCCCGTTCATGCCATGTGCATGTTTGAAATCTTAAATCAGTGAGCCAAGGTGCTGCAGGGTGGTCCGCTCACATGACGACAGGCCTGCCAGCATGATTAAAAACATGTCTGTATCTGTGACAGCCTTGCTGTTTGTGTATGTGTTTGTGTCTATTTTAGAAAGCCACCTGTTAATGACATTAAGTGAGGCTGAAGGAGGAGCCTGTGTTCATATGAGAGGGGACAGGACAGCATTTTACAGCAACACAATACACTGTGAGGAAAGTGAAAATCTGACATAGAGACAGAGAGCGAAAGTGAAACGGGGAGGCGGAAAGAGCAGCAGACAGGGACACATGTGGAGAAAGGAAAACAAAGATGGGGATAGAAGATGAAAGGAGTAAAAAGGTAATGTGGAGGTAGATGCAGAAATGGACTACACAGGCTGAAAATGAAGCGGTTCAGAGAGAAAATGAAAATGTGCAGCCCCATTTCATTCCTCACTGAACAAGGTCCAGAGAGACTTAAGACTCAGCCTGGTTTTGTGGAAAGCTTTTCTCGTGGCCCAGCCCCGCTTGGCTCTTCCACAGTTTAGGTTACATACGTGGCACAGCGAGAGAGAGGCCAACCCCAGCAGCCAGCTACGCTCAGGGGAGGAGGGGGTGGGATACAAACTGAGAGTGAGTCGAGGACGGAGAGACAGAACAGGAGAGAATCAGACAAAAGGGACAAAACAGGCTGCAGGCTGTGACAGGAAAATAAACACCTACAATGTCCAAAACAGTCAAGCCCTGTTCCCTTGCTTCTTTTTTTGGAGAGATTGCAGTGAAGTCACGGTGCTGAATTTGGTGCAGTTTGCAGATGGACTTTCTCACAGAGGAAGGAGCAATGTTGGTCACATGACAGCTGTGATTAACAGATTCATCTGGGGGACAGCTATCTTTTCTTAATGCACATATGTGTGTCTACTCATTAAACTGACTTTGCCTCTAATTATGCAGCCGATCTCTGCTCCTCCATCATGTGAGATTGATAGAAAGTGTCCGCACACAGTCTGAGGCCATCAATAATCTACAGTATGCTGATGTGAATCTTGTCTCCACATCACTCAAGTGCCCCTGTCAGCAGTACTGATTTATGCTTGAACACGCTGAACTGCACACATGTATGCAGCCATGCGCATACTGGCCATACTTGTGCACATCACAGCTGTATCGTTTCCTTACTATGATGCTGCTAAGTAATGTTGACTGAGAATATGAGTAAGTTAAAGGATAAGTCTAGTGGTTTCTTATATTATGCTTATTGTTTTACAAATCCCATGGAAGGACCAACAATTAACTTATAGATCCTATAGTAACATGTATTGCCTGTGGAGCTAAAGCAGAATACACTGTAGCGATTCCTCTGGGTGGAAGTTCTCCATCCTCAAGCGGAAACTATTAAAAACACACCAATGAGCCACACTGGACAACATGGGCACAGTGGTTTATTTTCACTTGACCCCAATTGCTCCATTCTGCCGCTGTAAATACTAGTTAGAGTGGATTTTTCCCACACTTTGAAGGATGTTTGAATGATGTTACTTTGAATTAGGTTTTTTATTTTTTTATTTTAGCTATTTAACATAAAATATTTCACATATCGCCAGTATTTAAAGATTTAAGGGTTTGGGCCGAGAGCCACAGACAAACAAACAAACAAAGTACTGAGAGGAGGACTAACATTGTTGGTTTGGTTTTTTCATTGGATTTGTTGATTTTAACAAAAACATAAAATATCTCTAGTCTTTAATAGTGTCAGACAAACAGGAAATGAGAAAGTATATACAGGTATACACACTATGCACAGGTCTCCATGTTTGAGCGCTGTTCTTCATTGCAGGTGCAGTTTGTCTGTGTTTGACATCACTACTCCTATATGCTCAATGTATACCGGGACATGTACACAGTGTACTGCATCCGTCCGACAATGTTGCGCTCTCCCACTGCTGCAGTGTTGTATCTTTCTGAATGAAGATCAATGGGGAGGCACTGCCCAGAATGACAATGACGATTGCCAGAGTCTTACATTCACCACTAGAGGGAGATGAGGTATTTACAGTCTTCACTGCAGCATCGGGCCGGGGAGGCCTGCTAATGACATTCAATAGGTCTCATGTTAAGCAGCCTTAATGTCCTGATCTATAAGGGAGGCAGGGTCAGTTTTTCATGTTTCCTCTGGTGGATGTGGCTTCAGCTGCCTGGGAGAGCTGCTGCTGTTTTATCTGTACCCTCGGGGAACGACAGAGCAGAGAGTGCTGCATGAGTGGCCCTACTGCTGGGTTTTGTGCAGTGGGGTGCAGCGATGCAGATGGAGATGGGCAGTATAGAGCTGACACAGGACATTGTTTCATGTCAGAGATTTGTTGTTTTCTTGTAACTGTTTTACAGGAACTCCCTGTTGAATAGGTCCCAGGTGGTTCCAGCCTTTATGGCATTTATTGATGCTGAGCAAGACATATGTATGTACTCATGGGGACTAAGTGAAATATGAAAGAAACAGACAACATACCCTCACTTGATTTCTGTGTGGATTTTAACACAGGCAGCATAGATGCTGCTGCAACCAAGAGAAAGAAACACTTCCCAAGCAATTCATAATTAGATAAATTTGCCTGCTAAATAATGTAAACATGAGTTTTATTCAATTGCACAAGTTAGAATGAAGCACATGACAAATATATACTGAAATTGAATGTGCATTGCTTGGAAAAAGAACAAAGGGTTCTACTGATTACCTTAAAACCAAATCCACAGTTATGATATGAATAAAAGAAATATAAAAAAGACATGTCTTTTTTTTTAAATATGCTCAGTCTGATTTTGGCACACATTTACCCAAATGAGAAAGTTCAATAAGTTTGGACTCCTGTATCTGACTGAGAATGTTCTTTTGCTTGTCAGATGTTTGGGAAGGTAAAGATTAGATGGCGGTCTGGTTGAGTGGGAGGAAATCTGTGCCTTAGTCTTAAAATTAAACCTGAAAAGATTTCCCTCTTTGAACTGTATAACTGAAAGTACATATTTGTGTGTCATCAATATCATAAACTGTGAGTTGACTTTCCAGATATAAAGGAGCCACTGGGATGCCAAGAAGAAAATATTTAGTTGTGAAAAAGGTATTCTTCATTCTGTGTTGCAGAGCATTTTTGTGACTGTAAAATAGCTCCATCGTTTGGACGTTACCATTAACTACAGGACTTGATAAATTATGCCATTGACTGAATGAAAATGCCTGGACATGGCTCCAGTCTATCTCTATCTCTATAATTAACTGTGAATGTCATCACTTGCTGGTTGAATAAATCTGTGCTGCACTCTGGTGGTTGTGAATACAAAAAGGAAGCCAAAGGAAAAAAAATAGACATCATGTAAATTCAGTTTTTAATCAACATTTGAAAACAAATTGGACAAATGAAAGACTGTTTCTGCTTTTATAAACTAGATGTGGTTTTTAGGTTTTAAATCATTTAAGAAATCACATTTTTTTCAGAGAAAAAAAAAAGAAATTAAATGACAGTGACACTGAAAAAGCAGATTTTCAGAAAGTAAGGAGTAACATTTCAAAAGTGTTATCACTGACACAACCTCTCTTCATCGCTGTCTTAAGCAACCCAAAGTATCAAATGAAAGCAGAGTCTCAAGCCCATACAGAGTGAACATGTGGTCCTCAGAGAAACAAGGGCAGAAGATGAGGGAGATTAGAGAAAAGCAGATTTTAAGTTCACGCGGACAGTTTCGAACATCCCGACAGCTACCCCTTAGATTTAGTGAATATCCCCACAGGCTAACAATAAAATAATAAAATCATAACATCTGAACAGGAAAATGTGAAATTTGTTGAAATTTAGTCAGGTGCATGATAGGAATTCTTTTGTCTGCAGGCTTCCATTAAATTTCTGAAAAAAGCCACTGCAGGTTTACTGTACTTTAACTCTTAAATTAATTAAAGCCATTGCCTATTAATTTATGTTTTGTTTTTTGTTTTGTTTTTTTAAAACAAGTCAGGCTGGGAGTAGTTGTGTTGTTGCGTAGTTTTGGTTTCACTCTGTAGCACAACATGAGTCGTGGGTATCAGTAACATGTTTATTTGGTCTTGTCAAAGAGATGAGATGTCGCACAAAAAAACCCACATGTATCCAACACATCTTGCATCCCAAATCTGCAGGGAAACAAGGAAGAATGAGAACTGGTAATGCAAGGCTTAAGCACGAGATAGTGACATTTATGAACATAGAGACATCATTGAGAGAGGGGCAAGCCAAATTTTTTTCCTCAGCAAATTGACGTGTAATAACATTAAGGCTTTTTGGTAAGGAAGAGATAAATCCCCATTAGTAACCAATCTCTTTGCTTCTCCTAGTCTTTCTTTGTTTATTTCCTCTTGAATTAAATCAGGACTGAACTGCCGAGACAAAACAATCTCACCTGTTAAAAAGCTGTGCACAAAAGATGGGCGTGAAAAAGTTACAGTAAATAAAAAAAAAAAAAAAAAGAGAGAGAAAAAAAGAAAAACAATTGAATAGGTATAATTGAAAATGTTCTTTTCTGCAGTTCATGTTATTCTATAGCCTGAATACAAGGCGATATTACAGCTCAAATCAGAGAAGCTACACACAGTATCGGAACAATTACAGTTGACATTCAGATAGAGTCCAATCAGACAACAGATTCTCTAACAATCGTCCTGAGGGGGGCAGTAGTCTGGTGAAAATGAAGGAACATGAGGAAATGTCCAAACAGAAAAAAAAAATCCAATAATGAAGAGTCTCCCCTTGGCTTTCTCATGATGATGGCAAAACTGAAGAGGATGTTACAGCTACCATATATCTACATTAGATGGTCAAACAAATTGCCCTCATCTTCCTCTCTATCTCCCCCACATCTCCCTTTCACAAATAAACACTCCTGTTTTCTCCATCCAATCACAATAGTCCAGTTAGTTCCCTACTGCAACTCCTTCCTAATGTACTTAAAACAGGCTACCTCCATTTAAATACAAACCTTAAAGTGTGGCACCCCCCTCCCACCCAAAATGACATCCCTGTCTCACAAAGTATAAAAATTGTTGACCCCACCCTGGACCTATTATTACACACATTTCTCAAAAATCTTTGACACCCCACCCACCCACCCAGCTACACCCTTACCACCCAAACCTAGCCCCCTCTCTTACGGACTGAATACAAACCCTCCCCAGTCTTCTCCTGTCCAAATTCCAAATATCCATTTTAACTGCTGGAGATTTCATGTAGATCTCAAACGAAAAAATTGGAAGTCACCAAAGCCATTCGTCAAATGCTTAATATTCTCAGATCTACCTGAAATGTAGCTCTACCAAATCAATCGGGGGGCTGATTTGGAAATAGGCAGTACACATCCCCTCCCTCCCTCCCTCCCCTCCCTCTCTTCTCTTCATGCCTCCTCTACCAGAAGTCCCGGCGGTGATAAGCGTCTGGGTCGCAGTATTTGGTCACCACCACCCTGTTGGCAAACTTCCTTCCTGTCAGCCCCTGCATGGCCTTCTGGGAGTCAAAAACTGATGTGAACTCCACAAAGATCTAGAGTGGTTAAAAAAAAAAAAAGAGAGAGATTATAACCATATTAGAATAATGTTTTGAAATATCAGAATATTGTTTATCATATCATTTACATTTAGACAGATCAAATTTTTCATAACTGAATCAGATATGCTATACCTTGCCAGTCCCAGGAACTTCCAGGCCGTCCACAGGTCGAGGTATCTCAATGCTCTTGACCTGGCCGTACTTGCTGCACTCGTCCCTGACGTCCTCCACAATCTCTTCATACTCCTCATCATCCAGCAGCTCCTCGGGGGCCACCATGTTCATCAGACACAGCACCTCAGTGGGCAGGCCTCCCATCTGAGTCACAGAGCTGTTCAGACCTGGCACCTGCAGCGTCACTGGGGTCTGGTTCATGCTTGTCTGAAAAGACAGTTTGCTTTAAGTTTTATGACCAACAGGAGATCTACAATGCCAATCTGTGTAGACCACATTAGCCAAAACAGATGTTAAAAAGAAGACATGTCATGTTTATCATTTTCATACACTGCAGTAGACTGCTGAGAAAGTGCTAGACTACAAATAGACTACAAAACATTTTCTCACTTACTTCTACATGCTTTTCTATTTTTTTTTTTTTACCTATTGGAACTACAACCTTGTTTTTTTGTAATTTAGCTGAACGAAACATTTAAAATTCACCTTTCCAAAAACGGTTTTTAATAACTGATTTTATATTGAGCTCTTGGCCGCTTTAATTTCTGGATATAATTTGTTATTTAGCGTGTATCATTGTTGGTTCAGATATAATGTACCATATCTGTCTGAATCAGAAAAACACATATATGGAAGCTATAAATAACATTAAGCTTACACGGTAAAGAGAACACATAGCAGGCTTTCTGTAAAGTCAGAAAAACAATTAAAGTTTTTCCCTATTATTACTTATTAAACTAAGGTGAACAGGAGATTTACTGCATTATGGAAATCACCAAGACTACAAAATTAGTGTGTGGCCCAATTTGGCTCTTGTTGCTTATTTAAAGCGAGTGGATACAAATTTAAATGTCCGTCAGACTGGTGGGTATAAAATCGAATGAATTTTAGTGTAGTGCTGTGCATACTGCTCAGGCCATGGAACCACACACAACTCTGGCACAGACTGTTTACATAATAGTCAATACCTGATGTGTTTGTCAAATCTTTTCTTGCACTAAAATGTACAATTAACCTTACTTCAGAGTTGTACACTTGTTATCAGGGTGTTTGAAGACTAGAATAGAAATTGCTACAGTAGATCTGATCAGCAGTTCATCTTTATCCATCTTTATCCATTTCAGGAAATCTAAAAGAGCATCTAGCCTCCCACGACCCTGCTGTCATTTGTCCAGCCCCTGGATACTCACCAGAGTGGCGTTCTTGGATCCCACACTGGCTCTTTGCACCAGGAGCTTCTTGTCTCCGAGCTGCATGCCGTTCAGCCCAGCAATAGCCTGTAATGATATCAAGGTTTTAAATCATACTCTCAAAATGTATTAAAGCTGTGGAAGTTTGACAATTTTGTGAAATTAGGTCATAATCTCCCCCTTCTGTTCCTGAATTGCATTGAATAATGGCCGGAACTGTTTTTGCAGAACGTTATGTTGCCAAAGTGAAGTTGACCTTTGACCTTGTGAATATAAAATGGCATCACTTCATTATTTTATCCATTTGTCTTAAGTTTCATAATAATTAGCATATGAATTCTTGAATTATGGCCAAAAACATGTTTTGTGAGGTCACAGTGACCTTGACCTTTGATCACCAAAATCTAATCGGTTCATCCTTGAGTCCAAGTAAATGTTTGTGCCAAATTTGAAGAAATTCCCTCAAGGCGTTACTGAGATATCACATTCATGTGAATGGGAAAGACAGACGGACGGACAACTCCATAACATAATGCCCCCGGCTTGGCTGTCACCGGCAGGGAGGCATAAAAATATCCTGTTGACATGTTTTTTCGGTTGCACTGCTTACCTGGTCATTAAGGTTGACATCAACATATTCACAGAAGGCATATCCTTTAGATAAGCCTGTGGCACTGTCCTTCACCAGGTTGAAGGCCTTCAGGGGGCCAAATGACGTCAACAGCTCCTTCACCTGAGATACAGGATACGGAAAAGTCACTGAAAGTTCGGTGGTTTCCAAAAACTTCCACTAACTCAAAACATTCCCATCATGTGAATAACACAGTTCAAAGTGTAGTATTGACACAACTTTATGACTGCAAGATTTAAAGACCTTTCTATCTTATTATGTCCCTTTTAATGTTTTACTGTCACTTTTCCTAAATAGTGCACGTGTGGATCAATACTGACCTGGTCGTCATTCAGGTAGTTGGGCAAGCCGCCAATGAAGAGCTTGTGAGCCGAGTCGGGCACCACTGTGGACACCACACCTACATGAGACACAAGGACAACAGGCAGAAACGTAAGCAGAGAAGAACAGAGAGCAAGCTCCTGTAAAGAATGAATTACTGATTACTTATGAATTATGCAACAAGTACTTAGGGTTAAAAACCATTAATTGTCTGTGTACCAGGCACATATACACTGGGGTTCTCGCTCATGCCCGGCAGGGGCTGGTAATCATGGGGACGGCGAATCTTGAGACTCTGGCCTTGAAAGATGATGCCATCAAAGGCCATGGCCTGTGTTGTTTCATCCACAGAACGGAACTACACAGAAAAAAATATATATAGGTGATTCATTTCAAAACTGTTCTTTGAAACAGAGATCGATACACCTAGGGAGAACAAATGACATGTTTATGAGGGGATTCTCTAACCTCAAGGAAGGCAAAATTCTTATCCTGGTTGATCTGTACTGCAAGGACAGGGTTTCCAGGGGCCTGAGTAAGACCACCCAAACGCATCTGGGCATTGAAGAAGTCCATCATGGACTCCTACAGAGAAGAGAGAGAGGAAATTAAGAAAACAATTTTAATTAATGGTGAAATTATAAAAAAAAAAAAACAAAACAAAACAAAAAAAACAAACAATGATGAAAGACACACAAGGTACTATGATGTCTTCATAACCTTGGATTCAAAAGCCAAAATACTGTCTTGTTTCTCACCTCTGTGATACCAAAGGGGATATTGCCCACGTAGAGCCTGCGGGCCTGCCGGGTCATCTGGCTGCCCACTACAGGTACAGGGGTGGGAGTGACAGCCAGGCCATCCGGAGTCATGGTCGGCAGGAGGGCTGTGGCTGGGATCTGGCCTGCAGCTGGAGAGCAAAGCCAAAGACAGGAAACATTCAACAATGTAATTATATGTACATATTTTACACTAACCGTGTACTTCAGTAGGGTAGGCTGCAGTACAAGACAGGAAGCATATTAAAAATGGATCAAATAAGCAAAAGACATGGGATTTTTTTACCTTGCATGGCTTTGTACTGCATGGGAGTGATGTGCTCAAAACCAGGTGGAGGGACATCCCAGTACTTCTTCACCTTCTTCTTCTTCTCACGGTGTGGAGAGCGGCTGTTGGAGGAAGAGAGGACAGGTAAAATGAAAAAAAGTAGAATGATCAATGCAAAAACAGATATCTGTCATTAGCTCTGCAGTAAAATACTAGATTTGATGATGGGTCATGTCTTCAAAAATATATACTGCAAAATCTAGCAACTTTTGTGGGGACTTGCATCAATCAAAACATTGTAAAGGTGATGGTAAAGGGAAAAAAGGGATAGAAAACCCAATCCAGGTAGATATCTACACAATGAGTCAATAGCACTTAGAATCAGAGGAAGACCATTAATTTGCAGTTGTTGCAATAATGCACAAACCAGCTTTGTGTTAGTTTGCTGTATTACCTTCCAGCATTGTCCTGGGGGTAGCTGGATGGTGAGCTGAAATGACATTGGAAGGGTTTCACATTTCTCTCAAATCATGACATTCACCAACATTTCCACTTCAAAAAAATAGAATCCAAATTCCTACGACCCTCACCAAATCGAAAAGCTACCAGGAGCCTTGGCAATCCTTGTTTTTCTCAAAGCACAAAGTCCTTTCAAGTTCAGATGACAACCCAGCACATTCAGTGAGACTCACTGCTGACATGCAATACCATTATACCATTTGAGAACAACTAATGATGCAATGAAAGCAGAAATGACAATTTCACAAACACTCAGCAGCTGCAAAGGGGGGGGGGTCGAATTTTACATCCTCTGGCCAAGGGCTCACACTGGGTGACCCACGGGAACTTTTTTAAATTAGCACTGAGAGACAAGGAGCAACAGTATTCACATTCATTCACAGCCAACAAGCAGCAGAGTGTTGACAAGCTTCACAACATTATGTATTGGAAATAATGTACTGAAGCAGTCGTTAAAGGGATGTGTGGCTTTGACTGTTGAAAGTCAATCTTGTATAAATTGAATCCATAGATTTCACCATCAACACCTATTGTATTGATAAGCACATATTTCAAAAGCTATCCAACATTTCTAATCATATCCACAAAGACCCACAGGTGTTACATGTCCAAAAGTGAGCACCTTTCCCTGACAACAGTCAGGCTTGTCAGGGAGTTGGTAGGCACTTATCACTGATGTTGGCGGAGTTCTGGGAAGAACTCGCACCTGTATGAAAATTTTCTCACAGCACAACCCTTAAAGAGATTCTATCTAACAATGGAGCTCAGGCTCATCATGAGACAATCACAGACATACTGTATGGCTGCATGTGTCACACCTGACGTTGTGCGACACAAGAATGAAAATGTAAAGAATCTAAAATGACAAACCAATTCTTCTCGAAGGGGTGCTATTATACAGTGCAGCTCGGGCCGCATATTTCTCTTTGAACCCAACCTGAGTCCAAGGGAGCAGTAACTGAGCCCAACTCGAACCGGACGGGGATTCTGTTTTTATGTCTGAACCCAGCCCAAACCTGGCGCAGATAGTGTGAGCTAAAGCACTGAGTTTGTGTTTGTGTTGTCATGCAGTTGTTACCATGGTCACAGCTTGCCTATTTACCCTGATGACACATGCATGGCCACTTTAAAATGACCAACATGACTGAACCAGGCACCGAAACATCATTTCAAAATTTTTGGTCATGTATCCACCCCCTATTCTATTAATACCAATCAGTGGGATTTATAATTCTACAATGGGTCTGAAATTCTTCAAAAAACCATTAAGTATTAATATTCTCTGTTAAACTATCAAGGATGTAGAAAAAGTTGCAGCAGCTGTCAATGTGTGTATTCAAAACTATGTCCCAATGTTATGCTTGAGGCGTGATTAGTACAATGTCATTAGCACAAGTGACAGAGGGCTTGGGAACAGAGAACATAAATAACATTATCCAAATTAGGCTATATCAAAGTCAAACTGCTAGTGAAATAATATTCAAGGGAATAATATTTCATTAGCTAAGGGGAAGTCAGTTTTCAGTAGCTATATTCTAGGGGCCCAACTAGCTCACCTGAAGTCATTCAAAATATGTCAATGTGATCAATAGATAGACTTTAGAGTCACAATTTTTTAACTTCATGCAGACAGCTCTCAAGTTTTGTGAAATTGCTCTATTGCCCAAAATGAATAGATGATGGCAGTTGCCTTAGAAGTAGAGTGCTTAAGTTTGTCTTTTTTTTTTTTTTTTTTTAATCAATGCTAATGGATTTCAATGTCATTTCCTGTGTGCATTTTCTTGAGTTTGGAATTTGCAGCCACCTACAGTACAGTAGGCGAACAGTTAGATGCCAAGATCAAGTCGAGGGTGTAGCGAAGACATGCTGGTGTGGCAAAAAGCATGTATGCGTGCACACTCAGAGCAACACCAAACTCCAACAATGTGTTCATACTCGTGTATATCTCTGTGGCCCATGGTTGCTCTGAGTCATATAATGCACTGCTAAACAGCCTCTGAACCAAAAAAAATAGCTTTCTTAAATTAATGTGGTCAAAATGTGGTCTTATCAGTCTCTTGTGCTCGAGTGAAACACTTCCTATTAACCCAGTGGTAATGACATGAACTGCAAGGCCAGCAGAGAGGGATACATGATGATGTGACATAGGAATTTTCAAAGGTTGCTGGTCCGGGTGTAGTTGTACAAAGGTACTAACCTGCGTCTGTGCCTGCGCTCCTTACTGTCCCCACGGCGGTCCCTGCTGCGTCTATCCCTGTCTCTGCTCCTCCTTTTCCTCTCTCTGCTACGGCTGCGGGAGGAGGACCGACGGTGGTGGCGGTTCTCTTTGTCCCGTTCAGCTGCAGGAAAAGTGTTAAATGACATTACAAAATGGTATACACATTGGTATACAATGACACACACAACTTGCTAAATGAACAATAAAAAAAAATTAAGGGATATGCATTAGTGAAATATCCTCATAGCTTTAACTCAAAAGATTAATGACCTTGGATGGAAATTCGAAAGGAAATGAGCGACTGTCCAACATACTTTACAGCACATGGTAATACTAAAGCTAGTATATGGTAGCAATGCATTAACAAGCCCACAGCATTTGACCTTACCAATCAATGCAATGTGACCATACGGATTAATATAGAGAACTAGAGACAAAACACAACTAGTGCATGTAGTTTGAAATATTGGTTCAAAATATAACAACGTGTAATTTAACCATCTCCAACACGAAGTGCAAAGTATTGCGTGTAAACGCAAATCTAGGTTAAAGAGAGATTAATGTGGGATAAGGGTAATAGCCATGGTTGGTGGCGTTACCAGATCTAGTGTCAGAAAGCTGGAGACAATAGTAAATAACACTGGAAATGTTCACTGGACCCAACAGCTGCAAAGAATGAATGCTAGCTGCCTCAACTATTCAGTCAGCTGGTACTGGCAGAAGCTCTACCATGTTATAGACTGCCCCTGCCTTCAGGAAACAATGCGAGTTACCTTTACGTAGTTAAATAACGTAAAGACATTCAGATACAAAAAATGCATTATATTACAGCTTTTACATCCACCGTTACAGCTTTAAGAGCCAGATCGCATATCAAAAGGTTCAATGCTGAGGGCTAATTATCGTGCTTACAATGATCCAGTAAATAGACATATCCATGTCTCGCTAAACCGATAGCGGCGATTGCAATCATAAGCACAACTTCACATTTTCAATTGCTGGCGTGCAAGTGGTCCGCATACCTTGTTTGTTTTCAGAGAGCTGTCTTTCGAATTCGTCGAAGTCCGACATCTCTGTGAGCAAAAGGCTGCTGCGCTTTCAGTGACTGCGTTGTTCAGTTGGCGGTGGCTAGCTTAAGCTAGCAACAAAGTGAACAACACTTTTAAAAACAAGCGCCTCGCTGATGCAGCTCAAGTAAGTTAGCTTCAACTAGCAGCCTACTTAACAACGGAATTACCGAAAATTGTTAACCAGCACTCACATTCGCGGCGTGGTATTATATTACAAGGTAACTGGCGGAATCATTGAGAAAGAAAACGTGTTCGCATGGGTTAGCCTGCTAACGTTAGCTAACTAGGTTGTAGCAAAGTCCAGAAGAACAGGCCTGCTGGTGTGGAGCCTCGTTAGCCAGCTAGCGAGTACGAAAACCGAATGAATGAGAGTCTTTTCCAAGCCAAATGCAAATCCCAGGGGATCACTGGCCCACAAGGCGCAGTCGTTTGACTTTATAAGCCAAATATATTCGCTTTCAAATGTTTCAAGACTGACGAAAACAATAAAGATTTCAGTATGCCCGCTTTTTTGCTCCGTCTCCCCGGTACCCCGTGACACCGGAAGTTGATGAATGACACGTTTCCGGTGAGTAGAAACGCTTCATAGCCGAGGAGAAGGAAAAAATATATTTGTGCGCATTCCTTATTCTTTATCCCACTAAGTTATGTTTCATTAACGTCTGTTAAAGATACGGCGCCTGAAGTGGGATCAAAGTTTTATCTATTAGGTCGACAGTGAGGTTTTCGAGACAAGACAGGGAATAAATGTTTTAAAAAAGAAAATAAATCAATAACGTAAACACAAGCAGAAAAAAATTAACTAAAATTGTTAACATCCACTTTATATCATAAATGTCCCATTCAATGTTCCTCCAAGGATACAGTTCTTTTAGTTGAAAGACATCTGCTGCATAATATAGTTTCTGATGTTTGGAAGAAAAAAATGTCTGCCACACTTCTCCACAGGAGGTTAAAACATACTACAACAAGGGGCAGTTAAATTGCATTAAAGCCATGATCTCCATTTAAAAAAAATAAATTTTACCTGATAATTATGCAAATTCATACAGAAATGCACACCAAAATCTCATCAGATTACCAACTCCATATGATGAATGTCCATTGTTGTTCTTCACCTTGCACCTTGATCAAAGCAGGACTGATTTTGGCAAAGTGAAAATAGCCACTGTGGTATCATAATGGATAGAACAGAATAAGAAATGAACAATATTTGTAAGAAATCAAATGTTTTAATTACATTTCTGTGTTAACAGTACTGTCTGTGAATCATACACATTTGTTTTCAGTGAGTGGTGATATTGGATTTTACAGATTAATAAATCTCCATTTTTGTAAGAAATCAAATGCATTCATGACATTTGGGTTTCACTATAATTGGCATGTAGTGAGATACACATTTCCCTCAATATACATATAAATGAGACATAAAAATGAGACAAACAGATTATTTTTTAAAACACTGCACCCTGGTATGATTTTGCAAGGTCTGTTTAGCAGTTGCACTGCACCTTACATACAAATTGGAGTACCCGTCTGTTTACTTTTAGGAAAATTGTCTATTAAGGTATGAAAATTGAAGTGATTTTATTCCATTGTAACCTCATCTGTTTTGATATATGAGATCTTATCATTTCACTGTACTGGCGTAAACACCACACATTATCATACAATATAATCAACTTGTCTGCCACTTTGAAAATTATGAATTTTGACAAGACCTCTATAAGCTATGGATCATCAAAGAGCTCTTTTCACATGCACTTTTGGTGAGACACTGGGAAGCAATAATAGATCCTCTGTGTGCACAAGCTAGCTGCTTTAGCTGTTACTCACACAATAAAACTGTTTGTATGATTAATATCCACAATTTTTCTGCAAGGAACCAAAAGTTACACAAATAGTCATTTTAGTAATAATAAGTGTAAATTCTCTGTACCGTATTTTACAAAAAGGTTTTACTGTCACAAAAGCATTTCAAGAGCCTCAGTACCAGAAGCATAAGAAGTGACATTTAGTGTATTTAGTGCAGATAATTACAAAACAGGTTGGTACAATGTCTAGTGGAACAACAGAGTAATGCAGCAGTACTGTTGTTAAAACTGAGCCCAAGACCAACAGGTGGCCTTATTATTAAGACGCAAACACATACAATATCACCAACATTTGTGTCTGTTTTTGACTCTTAAATACAATTTAGTGGCTCCTGTTGCCAGAAGTGTGGTACTTTCAAAAATGCATTTGTCTCAGACTAGTCTTTACTATAGTCAGTTAAAGATCACACCTATTTTAAGACTGGAGAAATGGAAAGAAAATGAGAACTCAAAAAACTCCCAGATTCTAATGTAGTGGGTGTTCAGATAGTGAAAGTGACACAGAACAGTTGAAGACATCTCTAACGCAAGGAAATCACAAAAATTGCATTAAGGCAAGTGAAAAAGATTGATAAAATAATGGAAATGCCAAAAAATGACAGAAAAAAGACACATTGAGCAATATAAAGATAAAGAATTGGTGACAAAGTCTTAAAACTATGGCAAAATCTATGGAGTGCAGCATCATTTTAACATACACAGACACTGTGATTACCATGTTTTTAGGACTGTGTCAAAATTGCACACAAGTAAAGTGATAAAAAACTGCTTTGCTTATAAATCACTTAGGCTGCCAAGAGCTGAAATGATCTAGACAATCAGTTTATGAACTCCAGGCCTCAAACTGATTCAGTTCTACAGTAAAGAAAATGTCTGTGTGTCTCTGCAAACCTAAACGCTGAAATGTGTAAGAGCAATGTTGGTTGCACTCATTTATGTAGCGCAGAAAAGCAATCTCCTCTATAACAGTGAAGACACATTCTTGTTCACAAAGTCTGAATCACACAGACATGCTATTTTGATCTTTGAGAAATAAAAACCATGTTTCTTTCCCTTTCGGGCTGCAGCAGGCACTCCCACATCCTCAAAATCACTGGAACAATGGTGAGGATTTGTCAAAGAAACGAGATACACCTGTTCAGTATTTATAATAAAAGTGAGACGTGAAAAGTTTGTTTGTCTGAAAAGTAAAGATCTCAGCTGCAGCCTACATGGTCATATCCACGATGCTGAGTTGGTAAAATAATTCCTCTTCCCTCTGGAGATCTCTGTTCCTCGGAGGTGAGCTGGCCTGCTGCAGCAGAACCCAGTTGCTTCTCCTCTCCTTTCCTCTATCAACCACCAACTCCATCTGTTTTCTAGAGACACTTCCTATCCCTTGCTCTTTCTCCCCTCAGTGTCTGAACCTGTAGGAGATGGGCAAGAGCAGGTTATTCTTCTTTAGCGCCTGCACCCTGCTGAGTGTCTCCTCATCGAGGGCAGTGTAGCAGCGCCGGGCGTAGTCCAGCAGCTTCTCTTTGGATGGGTCAAACTCACCCACCTCCGCCACCTTCTCTGGGGCAACTAGCAGCAATTCAGCAATGGGTGTGGTGGAAGCCACTGTGTTGCGGTCCACACCATGGATTTGGAAGGCTTTGGACATATTTTTCAGACGCTGGTATGTAAGCAGGATTTTCTTGTAGCGAAACAGCACTCCAGCAGCATCTTTTACTGAAGAATAAGTGTGAGCAAGAGACTTAGCTACAGCAGCCTCATAACAGATTATGGTAAATAATGACACTGAAATGTTGAATTATGTCACATACCTCTCTGCCGCTCTCTAGGGACTCGGAAGACTCGCCTTCTCTTTAACTGGTGTCTATTGCTGTTAATGGTGTCTGACATTACATCTTCCCCTGATATCATTTCTTCCTCCTCAAGGTAGCCGTCCTGCTCCAAGTAGTCGTCAGATTCTCCCAGGAGTGAAAGGGAATCTGATAAAACAAAAAAATTATCTCCATAACCAAAACCAGTCAGTAAAAGCCACATGTATAAAACATTGATTTTATTAGATTAATTAGGGTGATACAGAGCTTTATGCCATTTGATTCATATTACCTGGACCTATGTTGGCATGTCCACTCATTTCATTCATGGATGACCTTGTAGCACTGTTGCTGTTGCCACTGCTGCCGCTGGCTGTGGTACTGGGAGTACTATGACTATGGCCTTGCAATAGGGCCTGGGATTGTGTAGAGTTGAACAAAGCATTCATAGAGGCAAGCTGATTGGTTAGTGGACTGGACACATGGTTTTTGGAAGGCACCATAGTTGGAGGACCAGGCCTTCGCTGGATAAACTGACGTGACGGGAAATGCTGTGCATCTGACTTCTGTTGCTCTGTAAAGAGAAGGCAGCCATAAAAATTGAGACTCTGCAATGAGCTTCATAGACTTAATAAACAATAAATAGGCCATACTAGAGTACAACCATATCTAACCATGGCCGGGAAGCTTGATTTAACAGTAAGTGCACGAATATTTGTTTTTACCAGCAGAACGATCTTCCTCTCTTCTTGCCCTCCAGTTGAAGCGTCTGGACTCATAACCTAGAGAGAGCCAAATGCCAAAAGGTAAAAATTTGTTTTCCATTCTGAAAGACTTGCCTTGCAAGAGTTCTGTTTCGAATCAGCCACCTCTCAAATTTTTGTTGGATAGGTTATCATCTCACACCTGTCCCCTGTCCTCACCGTTACTATACTGGCTCTGACTCTGCTCCTGTCCCTGGCTCTTTGTGGAAAAGATGAAGCGGTCGAGCTGGCATCGGAGGAAGTCCCTCTCCTCTTCCAGGTCCTCAATTCTTTTCTGCAGCCAAGAGTTTTTCTCCAGAGAGATCTGTAGCTGGGTCCGCAGGTTGGTGATCACCATGTATGAGTTGTTGACTGGAGACGGGCCAGCTGATGGGGGTGAATCTAAGGACAAATAGGATAGTTTGGGAAATCAGAGCTATTATTAAGAAACTTTGTGTGAACCAGATGTAAATACATTGATCCTGTCACTCACCATCAAAATTCTGATCACTCTGGTTGAAAAAGCCTTGCTGCTCAAAGTTGCTCTCCTCATAGGGGATGGCAATTTCATAAGCATCCTCGTTTTTTGGAGCTGAGAAGAGAAAATATGCATAGCAAGGAATTGTTGAGCTTGACCTAAAGGCAGGACAATAATACCATTACTCGGAGCTTTTAAAATCTTACTCTGCAGGTGGAGTGAGCCTGCGTGGCTCTTGGATGTGGAAGCAGCATCAGTCCTGTTTCCGTCCTCCATCTCATAGCCCAGACAAATGTTAGATTAGTTTACGGTTTTAAAGAAATGTCATCAGGCTACGCATGTGAACCAACAGGGACATTTCACACTAATGCACTGTAGAGACTTCGTCACACAAATATATTATGCTTATGTAGGCACAGGCACAGGTCATCGGTAGGCTTTCATAACGTGGACTGTCGTACTTTAGGCATCCACAGACAGCCAGCAAACCAAAGCTAATTTTATTATGTGACGCTCCGGTCATGCACGTATAAACTGAAGCAGTTAAACGGGATGTGTTACTGAAATACAAGTTTGTAGCGGCCTGGTAATGTCCTCAGTAGAATGCGAGATTAGCTCCACACTATGTTAGCCTCATGTAATGTTAGCAAAAATGTAGCTGCGAATATAAAATTACAATCCCCTTCTTTCTATACACTCCATTGTTTAATACCGTCACTCAGACATTACCAGAATCTCTATGCTACAAATATATTCTGCAGAAATTGGTACATACCACTTTACGTTTGTAATAACTTAATCGTGTACATGTAATAAGTCGTTATTACTCTGTCATATCTCCATTTCTCGAGTTCATCTGCTAGCTAACAAGCTAACAATAACAATTATCGCTCTTTTATTTTTTTAACACTCTCTTGCGTCATTTCCGGATGTAATAAAATTAATGAACGTCCTTGGTAAACGGTACTGATTGAAAAATAAGTACTGCAGAGGCTTTCATTGTGAAGTTTTTCCGTAGCTTGTGACAGTATTTTGAGCGACGAGGCTTTTTAAAGTGCATGTATGATAATATATATTTAAAAATCATTTTGGGAGGAGTAAACTTACATATTCAGGGACAGTTTTCAAATATTTGATAAATAACATTAGCATTAAACTAATCTGCTAAGACAAAATATGCACTGAGGCAACAATGAAACATTGTCCACTATCAGCTGTGACATCAGGACACCAGTAAAACTGCAGGACAGGTAGAACAGGTGACGAGGTGTCAGGTTTCAGTGCCGACTGCTGGCTTCTCATAGAGCAGATCCGGAAGACTCAAAACACACGGTTTCCATTGTAAACACCTTTAAATTTTGTATATTCAGCAAACTGGTGACGTAAAGGTAAGTATTTTTGGCGATTTTGTTCTCACTAAAAATGAATTCGTAAATATGTAAACTTTGCTGCCTTGTTTTTAGTCTGCATAGAGAAAAGGTTTAGCACGCGACAGGTGTGGCACCTGTTTTTACTGTTGACTGTGTAAGAAAACAGAAACCAGTATTGAAAATAGTTTCAAGTTATTTTAAAAATCACTTTATGTGTGCTTTGGGTGTAGAAAGAAAATGCTATTGGCCTATATAACTTTTTATTTGATAATTTCCATTTATTAGTTTATAATGTTTTTTCTTTTTATTGTGGAGTCTGAAGATATTTGATACGAATTGAAACGTCCTAAACTCAAGGTGACATTTCCATATAACATCTTCCCCTTTCTTCTTCAGTGCAGCCATGGCACCCAAGTATGATGGCGTGTCCCACTGTAAACTGGCGCTGGTGTTTGCTGTTCTGATGGACCTGCTGGGTGTGATATCCCTGCTGCTGGGGGTGTTTGCTCCACTGGAGATCCAAGGGCAAGACTTTGGGGATCTGCTAGTTTACTCAGGAGCTTTGCTGGTGCTTATGTCCCTGGCAGGCTGGGTCATGTGGTATAGTGGCAACATTGAGGGTCTGACCTCCAAAAAGGAATTGGGGGGAACTGTGGGTGGAGCTGTGGACCGCCTTGCCCGCTCCCTGAGCCGCAGAATACGGCTCCCTAGGACTCACAGCAGCCCAACATAAGAGGTGGCGCCAAAACATCCCCAAAACTGACTATGACTGCTGTTACATGAAGCGATGTGCCTAACAGGCAATACTGCCTGAGGCAAAGGAGTGTCATTGTTGTTATTTCTCTTGTGGAGTTAACCAACACCTGATGACTCAACAGATGAGACATGTTTTCATAAAGAAAACTGGAAGAATTTGTATCTCTGCTTAATAACTTATGTGGACTACATTCCAGATTATAATGTAATGTGCACTGATATACATTCCTTGTATATGAAAATTAAAAAGATTAATCTGCAGTGTTATATTTCAGTCAATTTTGTCATGAGTCATTCATTCATCTATGGACTGTTCTGTTTGCGTTGTGCTGCTGCACCAGATTGTGGCAATACTACTCAGAACGAAAGTTACTACAGTAACCATGAAAGACATTTTTAATGATAATAATGTTTGGACACAGTTGGAGTCAACACCAATACTCAAGTCACAGTCCAAGAAGGATAAGGAGCTGTTATGACATCAGCAAGTGTGTGCAAACTTGTAATTGCACATACTGTAAATACTGCAAATGAAAGAATTTCTCTCCCTTATTTTACAAAACAGACTGAAATCAAATGAAAACATAAAACAAATGAAGACACCAAAAGCATTTCATGCCATTCAAAAAAAGACATCAAGCAAAGAGCTGATGGAGAAAATAAATAATTTCTAAGGACAGGCACTGACATTGTTCATTTAGGAGATGGGATATCAGACACACATATGTACAAACATTTATAATGTGCAGTTATTTGTTATTACTCCACATGCAATGTGGAAGGGTAGAGTTTGAGTAAATGCGTCAGAAATTGCAAAAATACACATCACAAAAGTTATCACCAGTCTCAATGCAGCATCAGAAGATGAGATCAAAAGGGTCTGATTGACTTTTCACTGAGAGAAGAGTAATAGAAGACTAATACCAGTTTCCAGTTCACAGTTTACAACAAGGTCTGTACACAGCAGCTTCAAGAACAGACACATAATTAAGTTAAACTTTATGATGAAAATATGAAATATCTGGTGCTCTTGGTGGAATAACGATGTGAACGACAACTCTGCATGTTCTTTAAGAAGCAGTAGAACAATGTATCAGAAAGCTATATGCCAGTGAAACTAAATGCATTGTTAGTGCAAAGGTAAAATTGATCTGAATTACTGACCCATTATACAGTATTGATATAAAATCAGGTGAAGGAACAGAGTAAGGCATCATCATCCATTAGGATGATCCAGTCAAAGGATAGATGTACAAAATGAATGAGGTAAACAAAGAGGAAACCGTGTGAATCCTATATTTCTCTTAAAGGATACTTTTAATGCTGCCACACTGAGACGATGGTTCATTCAGTTCCATGAAAGCACCATTTCCAATGTTGTCTCTAGCTTTGCTTGTGAACAGTATTCCTCTGCTTCATCTTGATCCTATTCCAAAGCGCAGAACTAGGAGATGAATAATATCAGAGGGCAGGGCTGGGCACAGCAGGGGTGGGATTCTGCCAAATGATCATGTGACTGCGTTCAGACCGTTGAGGTGTAGCTTGGGACAACTCAACTGATTCGTCACTTGCATCATCTCCTGGGGAAGTAAATGGCTCATTTAGGCATTTAATAAACTAAGCACTGACTAAAAAGTAAAATCAATTCAACACGCGATACAAAACTGACAGATTCAAATAAGTTGACAAAACAATGGGATTTTCCAGTTCTTAAACTCACCAATTCTGAAGTTGATGTAGCCCTCTCCTCCGCTGAGGATAAGCTGAGAGGTAGTAACAGTGTTGCTGCCAGGAGAGGTCATCAAACAACCTATAAGACACAGACAAATACAGCATTCGCCTGCTTTCTGAAGGATCTCTCTGAATTAACAAGTTATTGAAAATGTTTAGCATATTTCAGTTACTGCTATAATATTCTTACCAGGTGCAGCAATGATGAATCTGACAGCTTGTCTGTGTCCATGGTAACACAGCTGGGCAGATGCAAAGGAGCAATATGGGATGGAAACAGCTTCTGAGGCTGTGGACAGTTATGGGTACAGGTCATACTTGTTAGAGCACATTTTGGGCCAAATGAAATTCAAGCATCAATCAATACTCTCAGTCTAAATAAAACTCACTTATGGATAATGGGATGGAGAAAATGGCACCACCTCCAGTACCCACCCACAGACGGCCAGAAATGACTGTGAGAGACGAGATCTGGAGTGGTGAGAGTGTCAGGAAGGGTTGGCCTGCAGAAGGTGACAGAAATGTGTTTTAAAGCTGTTTAGCGGGAAAGAGCTCTAAGCAGTCTGACACAAATAAGAAAAATAAAAATTTATTTTCAATTCAAACTGGGTATAAACACAGCAAATAATAAATGTTCATCACAACCAGTCAACAGTATCGTTTTGAGCTAAAACATGATGCTTTTTCTTTAGATGCTGTAAATTGCAGAGGCCCACTGTACATGTCCAACTGTATATACATTTAAAATTGATTAGTAATAAAAATAAAAAGTTACAGCTTCAGCACCTAATGTTTTAGTGACCAAAGCAGTAAAATCAACTTCCTGCAGTGGCCGTCCAGTGGACCAGTCAAACAGTCTGAGGATTGGGTCAAGTCGACAAGATGTCCAGACACCACTTCCACCAGCACACAGGAAACGAACCTGCTGCTCATTGCGTTCAGAGACTGAGAATGTTTGCTGTAAAGTAAGATCAGGGATAATGTTGGTGAGTTCAAAGATGATGTGAGCATGAGACATGAACAATGTTGGTAATTCCTCTGTTTCTTACCTCAACCTTCTTGCTGTCAATGTCAACCACATGGACTCGGTTCCAATATCCCACCCACAAGCGGCCACCTTTTGCGAGGCAGCAGCGAATGGGCTGCAAAGGGTTTGATCCAAGTGGCATCACTGAGTGTGACTGCAGATTCCACCCACCTGTCAATCACAGCACTTATTACTTGTAAGTCACAAAACACTGACTATGTGAATCACGCAAAATGGAGACAGATTCCCCTTGACAGTCAGATATAACTATAAAGAAACAGAAAAACCATTACCTGAGCTGTGTGAGAAAAAGGCTAATGTCCCATCAGCTAACCCAGCTACCACTTGACCCTGGGAACATCTGTGAGATTGAGTCAACATAGAGTATATCGTTTTCATTTCTGGATTAAATTACTCAGTGGCACATTATGACACGGGCAATAATTAAATGCTAATACTTAAATACTAATTCACATGTGGTTGAAGCACAGAGCAGACAACTCACGTGAGTGAATGAACACCCTCTGAGAGGGAAACAGACTGCAGACAGCGCCTCCTGCCAGCGGAGGCCGAGTGTACCAGTATACTGTGTGAGAGAGAAGCAGTGGGAGAAAGAAGAGGATGGAAAAAAAGAGAGAGAGGGAGTCAGTCAGAATGCTTTGCCAACAAGTATTTTACTCACAGACAGTGTTTTTTTTAAGTGAGCTGCTTATTCAGCAGGCACTACCTTCCTTCCTGAGTTCCAATCCACACAGTTCCAGCAGTGTCACCTGACAAAACAAGACAAGAAAGATTGCTTCAAAGAAAAAGCTAAGCAAGCAGTGTTGACCTTTCACTGTTTCCAGTAAAATATCAGTATGGTATGAAGGGATAATAAAAGTACACATTAGACATGTTGCCTGTAGGCAGCTGCTGTAGCCCATTGTACTGGCACTGACCTATGGGAGGCACAGCACAGATGCAGAGTGCAGGAGCTGTGGGAGGGAGGCTGAACTGATCCAGTACTGTGTTGGACCGTGCTGGATCAATCACTGTAATATCACTGCTGGAGGCAGGACCAGAAACTACCCACACAGAACACTGGCAGAGAAGGACGGATATGGAGTTTGGAAAGATGAGTGGCATGAAACTTGTTCCTGGGCTGTGTTAGTTATGGTTGGATGGCACTGAACATGTACATGGTGATTAGAGTGCGACTACGGTCGCTATTTAACCAGGATAATGACAGACTTACTGTGGCCTCTCCTGAGATCTCAGGTGCGACTGCAACTGCACAGTTCAGCTGAAAAAAAGTTAGGAACCATGTTGAACTGTACCACGGGTATCACGTGAAGTCTTATGGGTTTATATGAATATTTCAGTGGCAAGATTTACCTTTGCAGTGGAGTCTCTTTGATCCAACAGTCTGAGCTGCACTAGAACAGGCACATCTTTAGACTCTGGAACAGGTTTATGGGACTCCTGCAACAATGACATTTAATCACCAGTATATTAAGAGGATTGTGGATATGTATATATGTCTGTGTATGTTAAATTCTCTGTAGTACGTCCCTGGTATAGCTTGCTTAATGTTAACAGTGGATTAAAGACAAACCATTTTCCTTGGTTTGGTTAAAAAGAAAAATAAAGGCTAATATCAAAACCAGGAAAGTTTTCAGCCCATTTGTCTTATATACTCTTCTACATTCTGTTCTACATACCTGTGTATTTGCCAGTGGTGTGCTCCAGCCATGCATCTGCTGTTTTCCCAGGGTTTCCCAAATGTGGGAGCGAATTTCTCTGTAGAGCTCCCTCCTCCTGACACGAGGTGAGAGAGCAGCAGGAGAAGCAGACCTATAGAGGGTGGTCCAAGTGTTTATCAGCTTTACTGATTTTCAAAATCATTCAATTTTGTTGCAAATAATAATGTAAACGGAAGCGCATATGCAGGAGTGAAATGGCCAGAGACAGTTGCTTACTCAGCCTGAGTCTGACTGACAGCCGGTAGCTGTGGAGATCCCAGAGGGGAGCGAGTCAGTGATGGGGAATGTGGCAGGGCGAATGCAGAAGCAGGAGGTGGGATTAAGGGTTCCTTGGATAGGCCAAACAAGCGGTTGAACCTTTAATAAAGAAACAATTATCAATATTTTATACAGACCATAAAACCACTGTCTGACTACTAACATGTTACCAAACTTTCAATTACATTGCACACTTGTTTATTTCAATCCCACGGTCTTGTCCACCTACTGCCAAGTGGTTTTACTGACAGATATAGTATGAATCCAAACACATGAATGATTCTTCTTTCTGAGAAATGTATTGCTCAGCTGACACTGTTTACCTTTTCAAACACTCAAAACACTCACTTTGCCTTACAGCACTCTTAAAGAGCAGTTTGCTTTTTTTGCCCTTGTTTTCTGCATTTTCAAGTAAGTGAAAGTTACTTTTATAGTCGTTACTTTGGTGACTCTGGAGACCATGGTTCCCACTAGTTTTGTAATTGATATTTTAATGTCTGACAACAGGTTGCTGTATCAACAGAAGGTCAAGGCAACTTAGCGAATTTCACATCTTGATATTGTGGAAATCATGCAAAATTCAACTTCCCTATTAGTTTTTCTGTACGTCATATTGTTTCCGGGTTGTTTTAAGGAACCTGTTCTGTTTTATCCTCTGGCACAGAGCAGCACAGGCCCAGGTCAGGCCACCACTGTCATTTTGGGGAGCAAAGCTGCACCTGTGAACGTTTAGTGTGTAATGAGGACAATGAGATGAGATGAGAGATAATAAAAACACCTACTTTCTCCAAACACTTGATCTTTTGTCCTCTGTTAACCTCTCTTCCTTTGTTGCTCTGTAAAAAAAAAAAACACTAAATGAGATTGGATGTAAAAACCTGATGCAAGCTGTGTTGGCCCAAATGTTAAACTCTCTTGGAAAAGACTTTAAAATTGAATGAAACAACAGAGCAAAAAAAGTATATGCTACTATTTAGATTAGTTACCTGATTGTCTGACTACGTCTCACTGCCTCCTGCAGCTCAAACAGACGCTGCTTGTACTGGTTCTTCTCCATAACAACACGAGCCATTTCAGAACGAGAGAAGTGCCGCGTGGATGCGAGAAGAGAAGCCTGAATACAGAGAGGCCATTTAATGGAGAACATGTATCAGTCTCACACATCATTATATAATGAGCAGTTAATGGATTTACAAAAAAGCTTCACCAATGCAGTGTTACAGCAGATTGTTACAACAGTTTGACAATGACAATATCTCCTTACATCAGGATCCTCTGATTGGCATCTTTCCAGTTCTTTGCGAAGTCTATGAAAAACAGTGGAACATCAGTATGCTATAATAAATGCAATAATTTTTCCACAAAGTCAAACAATTTCATTAATTGTTTGATGATTTTAAAACATGGAGAATATCAAAAACAATCTTCTGCACCTCTTAGTTTCCTCCTCCTTCTCCTTCATCCGCCCCTCTAATCGTGAGACCGTTTCCTGAAGAGAGGTCACCTCCAGTTTAAGAGCTGAACGGTCATCAGTCAGCTCCACTACCCGAGATATCAAAGTTTTGCGGGCAACTTCTACTAACTCACTGAAAAACAAAGAAACAGAGCTAGAGTTGAATATTTCATTATGAAGAAACTGACAATCCCTTTGGTAAACAGATTAAACATTTCAAACAAATTAGTGACTGTAATATTTTCCCCTTTGACTTCATTTGTTTCAAGCGTTTGGAAAACCCCTGTGCTCGAAAATCACACAGAACTCAACAGGATCATAGAAATTAAACATAGTACTCACTGTGTGACTTTCAGTTCCTCATGATGAGAAAGAATCTCCTCAAACTGGTCTGCACTGCCTACACAGAAAAAAAGGATCAAACAAATGATTGAATACAGATGCACACCCTTTACAAAACTGAAAAGCAATATACACTTGGTCTAAATGTTAGTATTTTCTCTGCATTCATACCCAAGAAGAAGTTACTCTACATGGGATGATGCTAAACAAGTAAAGCTGCATGAAACCTCAAGCAAGAAAACCCTTTTCACTTATGTACTTGCACTACATGTTAGCAGAGCTGAAATTGTTTCACAGCGTTGCCAGATTTTTTTTTTTTTTTTTTTTTTACAAACCAGCCTACTTTGTGTCTATGATCATTTAGTTTGAAGCTTTATAAAACAACATGGGCATTGTTACTGAGATTTTTGTTTTTATCTGCAGCCATGAGGGGTCACAAAATCATAACGAGGTAATTCCTGAGCAGTTAGTATTTTGTAACTGTTAATGAAACCTCTGGTTAAGATGAAGAGAAAGTACATCAACCAGTTTGTGACAAATGTCTAGAAATGTGTCTTTATATGAATTTAATTTACCTCTGACACTGGCCCCTCGGTCTACACTCTCCACATAATCCCGACTCAGCTCAGACAGTTCAGAAAACACAGAGTCAGTGTTGCGTAGCTCCCACTCCATACTATCTTCTTCCACCTCCTCCTCCTCCTCAACTTTTTCATGCGTGTTTCCCTCTTCTACTTTGTGTTCCTTCTCTTCCTCCTTCTCCTCCCTCATCTCATCCTCCAAACTGGCCTCCAACTCATCTCTCAGCGGCTCCTCAGTGTCAGGTCTAACTGGGGTGCTGATGACGATAACGATGATGTTGACGGCAAAGAATAAGAAATATGAGAAAATACAAGAATGCTCGATGTGCCGTGTGTGCACATGTTGATCACCTAAAGAGAGCTTTTTTTAGTTAATGATTACATCATTGATTGACATATTTCCTACCCAGAGCTTCAACTGACACAAATTAGTTTATGTTTTCAGATTATTACCTTGCATCCACACAGCCATGAAACTGTGCCAGCTCAGGAGTGGAGCTTATGATATCACTGACAAAATGATCCGGGTCGGACTTCACTGCAATGTCAATCGTCTTTTTTTCTTTGGCTACTAGATCTTCCAGACATGGGGGGCCAGAGTGTGAATGTGGTCTTTGAATCATCTGTTAAAAAAAAACAAACAAAAAAAACAAAAAACACTACAGCTACTTATCTGCCAAAGTCTTGATCTATTAAAATTGAATTGAATTGAAATATAGATGTGAAAAAGTGAGACTCTGTTTACCTTTTCATTAATACTGGATTCTGACAAAACTTCGTTGGACGGAAATTCAGCATTCTTGGGACGCACATGATTCCTGAATGTAACACGCAGTGTGACACACAAACAAAAAGTCACCTGAATAAACAGTATCATTGTGTGTTTTTCTTACACTTTGTACCACTTTGTTGCAGCACTTTTACCATTACTGAATTACACCCTGTGACTTATGATCAGCACATACCAACAAGCTTAAAAAGGTGAAATTGCAGAGTTCTGGCTAATGAGCTAATCATTTCCATAAATACCTGATTTAAAATCAATGAAGCATAGAAAAAATATGACTGAGAACTAAACTTTTACATTTACGAAATGGTCTCAAACTGCCATTTTAAGTTGATATACTTTTCTTTGTATAAGGCAAACAGAGATATTGCTACAGTACTGTTATATATGCAGTAGTTAAATATTAGATAGCATGTAGCAATGAGGACAAACTTAGAGTGGAATTTCTTGAATTTGTTGTTGGCTACAGCCCAAAGTAGCTCAGATATGGTTCACGATATAGCTGCTGTCATGGAATACCTATAGCTTTCCTATGAGAGGCATTATATACAGTATAAAAATTAGTTTTACATAAAAAAAGTAGTATGAACAACCTTAAAGGAGAATCTCTTTCAGAATCCTTTCTCCTTTCCAAAAGTTCCCGATAAGTGTGAGCCAACTAAAGGAGATAAGTGATAAGTGATATATAAGAAATAGAATAATGACAAAAAACAGCTAAATTTTGTATCACGCTGTCTGGGGATTCAACAGCACACAGGTTTGTAGACTAAACAGCAGTATCTGACCTTGTTGTGAGTATGCCTCAGTGTGCTCAGTTCTCTACTCAGATTTGCTTTCTGCTCCTCCAAGGCCACCACTGTGAGAAAACATAACAAATATAGCTTTACTTGTTAGCATCACTCGCGATAAAACAAGACACAGTCCTGATGTGTCTGATTAAGTATCATTGGAAACTTTGTAGACCCTAGCTTCTTCAGCAGCATTTAAAATGTATCTAGTCATGATATGCACAAGAAGGATGAATGACATCGAAAGGAGAAAAAAACAAAGATGAAAAGAAATGATTACGAGTTTGGCTAATATGCCATTTGACACAGTTAATATTCAAATGCTCACACTGATCAGCTTGCTCTCTTGCTTTCTTCTCTAGCTCTCTCCCTCGTCGTTCTATTTCCTTTTCCCTCCCCTTCATGGCTCTCCTCTCTTGTTCAATTTGGTCATCGAGCTCCAGATACCTCTAAAAAAATACAAAACAAAATGATTTAACAGCGTTGAGCACAGTTAAAAAGCTTTTTTTTTTTTTTTTTTTTAATTTTTAAAAACATGTAACCAAAATCATGCTATACCACACACACCGACCAACATCAGCATTTTCAAAATTCTATCAATCCTCACCTCTTGGCTATCTTTCCTCAGTGCTTTCTCTGCTTGGTATCTCTCCAGCAGCTCTTCTCGCTCAGCTCTCTCCCTCTCTGCCTCCTCCTCCCTGTCTCTCAGCTGGGCTTTGCAGCTGGCCAGCCCCTCCAGCACCCACACAAATATGGGTACCAGCGACTCCACCACACCTTCACCATAGGTCTCAATAACTGTCTGTGATGGTGCAGAGCAGGATAGTGAGAAACTCGGTATGTACAACCACATTTAAACAACCATTTCATTCAGAAAAACATGGCATTTTTTTCATGAAAACAATAATGGTATTTAAAAGAAAAATAACGTGACAAGATGCCTCACCTGTAGTTCTGAATACAGTTTTCCTGCCTCTTCACTCACAATGTTGGGGTCCAGCTCCACCTCCCCTGTCCCACACAAAACTCTCTCATTGCACTCCATCAGCCTATTATTTTTATCTGCTGTATTAACTGTCAAAATCGACTCAATGATCTTACAATTCTGTGGCAAAAAGTTCTCCTGACTACACTTCCTCACCAACTAATACGCTAGTGGAACCGGTTTTATATGGCTTTCTAACATTTTTGCTAACACCAGCACCACCCATCCTTAGCAACTTTATGTTCCATTTGTCCTTGACAAGGGAAGCATCCTCTTAGACTGCAGCCAGCTTGCTGTTTCTGTACTGTTGTTTATCTGTTCTCAGGGGGTGTCTTAGAGTCCATCCTGAAAAATAAAATAAAATATAATGATACGTAATGATAATCAATCTCTTCTGTACTGCTGCTAAGTTTAATAGCAAAAGGACAGACGAATGCTTTGTGCAATAATCAAGCTGAGACATGCATTTTTTCCCTGTCTAATTACAGTAGGATGATAATTGGTTGAACATGGTCATGTGGTTTTCTGCTGTTATAATCTCTGACTAAATGGTTTGTTTAACAGCAAACAAAAAACAAAGTATCTGCGCAGTAAGGATGAAATTTAAATTCCAATGGCTGATCTTCAGACAGGGTAAACACTAACAAAAAATTAATTAAAAGATCAGTAACTTGTTAGTGTTTAGGCTCATAGAGCAATGTAAACATACACTTTAGATTGTGCTCAGTCACGCATTCATGCCTGGATTTAGTTCCGGTTAAAGCCATATAAGCATTATCATGAGGAGTTGAAATGATTAGCTGATTAATTGATTAATCAATATGATCAATTCTCGATTGATAAATTCATCATTTTGTCTACAAAATAACAAAACACAGTGATAAAGTGCCAGAGGTAACAGATTGAATTTGTTTTTTCCAACCAAAAGATATTTTCTGTCAGTCAAATAATCGATCAATCAACCAATCCTTTCAGCCATACCTCAGACAAGCAATCTCAAAATGTCACATTGAGTGTCAGGAAACGGGATATTTTACAATTTTCTGACACCTCAAAGACAAAATTACTAATCTAGAAAATACACAGCAGGTTGTTGTTGAAAATAATAATTACTTTCAGCCTTAATTACAGTAACTACAGTACATATTTGGCAAGGTGTATCATGAAAGCTCAAAGTTGTGTTGGTTCTTACAATGGTTTTGTTTTTGATTTTAAGGTCTTGCCAGGGTGCTTTAAAGACCCCTTGACCTTTAACCTACATATGAAAGAAACATCTTCATGTTAAATATTTATGTATTTCCCGATCTCCTAAAACAATTACATAATGTACAGGGAGCAAACGAGGCGCGCGCGATAATGTATAGTGTGCTGTGTCGTGTGTGTGTGTGTGTGTGTGTGTGTGTCGTGTGTGTGTAACAGCACCACAAATAGCACACAGACATTCAAACAGTTACATGTAAACACACAAACATGACAGCGTAAAGACAGGGACAGGTTTTATAGGTCCATAATTAGCCTAATTAGCCTTCTCGGTTCGCTAAGAAGATGAGACTCTTGTATAGACATACTGTATGAATTAGTAACACGACTGACAGTGGACACCTTGAGAGATCTTTGGTAGCAAGTTTACAAAGCTGTGACTGTGCGCCAAGAAAACCGCCGAGTCGTCGCGCTGTTCGACTGCGGTTTGACAAACTTACCTTAACAGCGGACTCCTTGGTAACTTTAATTCCTCTGCCTCAAACTACAGAAAGTCCTACCGTTTTTCTTCTTGGACGGTCGATATCAATTGCACATAAACGAGTTTAAAGTAGGGGGTGTTGTTTGATTCTGACGGGCACATACAAGTTCTCAGGCTGGCCAATCAAAGCGCTGTTGTTGTAAACCGTAACCAATAGGCGACAAGCAGAGGCGGGACATGAATAGTTTTGCTTTCAAAAAGAAAAAAAAAGTTTCCTGAAACTTGAACTATGACATGTGACCAGAGGGCTGTCAGGTGATCTGAATAAAGCACGGCTCAGTATGTTACCTGTCCAAACGCCTTACATACCTGAGAGCTAGCTGGTTTCTTCACCTTTGCAACCCTAACTGATTACAATAGTTTGAGAAAGTTAACAATGTTTGTAGTATGTGGTTGAAGAGGTATTCAGATCCTTACTTAAATATACTAATAAACTTAAAAAATACTCCATTACAAGTAGAAGTCCTCCATTGATAAGGTTACTGAAGTAAGAGTACGTAAGTCTTATCAAGAAAATGTACTGGAAATATTGCATACCCAAAATGGTCTGTGTAACTATTACACTATTATATAATGATAACATTAGATCTGACAAAAGTGAGAAATGCCCATTGCACAAGTGACTTCTTCACAATGACTTTTTTTGTGCAACCAATAGTCCAAACCAATAAAAAATTATTAAAAACAAACTGAAATTATTTATTTAAAGAAAAAAATGAAAAGAGAGAGTGAGAGAGAAAATCTTACATTTGAGAAGCTGAAACAATTTGGCATCTGTTTATGAAAAATGGCTTGGTTGATTATTTGCCTGCCAGTCGACTTAAACATTGACCGGCTTTAAACATTGACCAGTTTTTGTTACAGGCCTACTGTTGGGCAATTTAACTTAATTCATAACTCTGTCATGTGTTTTGTATGCAAAAATTTTAACCTGCAACCAAAGCTTTCAAAGAAATGTAGTTGAGTAAAAAGTACACTATTTCCTTCTGAAATGTAGTGGAGTAGTAGTATAAAGTGGCATGAAAAGAAAATACTGAAGTAAAGTACTGTAAAAGTACTTCAAGTTTGTAATCGTACAGCGCTTGAGTGAAAGTAGGCTACTCAGGTCCACCACTTATGAACCATGCTAGCAGATAAAGTTATTGAGGTTTCAAGTGTAACCAAAAGGTAAAAGACTTTTCGTGGGATAATCAATTTCAAAACAGCGTACAAGATGAAGTTACAATTTCACACAGTGAGGCATAGAAGGAATCAATAACATTTACTGTATATCACAGTGAGGAAGTACAGTTTGTTTTTCTTCCAGCAGATGGAGGTACTCTCCTGTTGATTTCTGTTGATGTTGTTGGTTTCTGTTGGCCTGCACTCAGTAGCTATTTAAAAAACAATCCTGCCCGGCCTTTAGAGCAAGAGACCGTTTTACATTTCAAGTTATAGGCTGTAACTTAAAATGTAAATGAGTCAGACTCGAGTCAGTGGTGTCAGTTATGGGTTCAGAGTTTCTTCCATCAGTGTGCCAACAGTTGGTTTCACTTGAACATTTTGTTGCTATAGCAACCACTACTGGCACAGTTCTATGGCAGTTATAATATAACTGACATTGTTACATCCACCATTTTCTCTGATCTACAATTAAGTAAATTGACAATCAAACCCTCTGAATGGACACATAGGAACAGGTGTAAATACTAATAAAATGAATGTTGGCTGAATATCGATTAGGATTTCACTGTCACACTGTCATGACTTGGGAGTGGGGCACTTCAATGAAACAGAGCCATTGTAAATGTTATTAATAGGTCAAAATGTCTGCTATTGATGTCTGTATTTTTATGAATCCTGTTTCACTCAACTGATTGATTTTTGGTGTACCTTTGGCCTAACCTTGCATTGTGGTTTTTTAAAGTTTCATACAATAAAAACTTTAAAGACCAATACCTGTCTTCTGCCTTCATTGAAAAGATGTGTAGCTCACCTCATGTTCCTATGCACTTACAGGCATACAGAGGGCAGAGGAGAGATTTTGAGAAACAAAACAAATGACATTTGTGAAACTCAAGAACTAAACGTCTTGGTTAGCCCAAAAAAATTAATATCTCCATGTCAACAGTGTTTATTCTGACTATTTATTCTCTTGGTCCAATAAAAACTCTTGACAGTAAGGTATGTGAATTATCCTCATTAACCAGACAGACAGTTTCTGTAAAGAATGCTGGCGAGTTTTTCCAAATTTCATTTTTCTGTGAATATAAAAATTAATTCCCCTCCATTGTTTTTGGGGTTGCAGCAGCTAACACCTATCTCAAAACCTCTGCAAATAAAACAAAAAGCATTTTTGATTTGATACAAGGAATAAATGAGAAAGGAATAAACGTTTTTTGTATGCTCTTTGAGTGAACGAACCTCACAGCAGATTTCTGTATTCTGTAATAACGCAACCTTTTATAATCTGCATTCTCGTCCTTTTTCCAGGTATTAATCTTTTTGTCTTTCTCTAGCTCCCTTTCTCTTACACTTCCTGTCTCTTTCTCACGTTCACACACACGCAAACATACACATTTCACATATAATCTGTTTATTGCATAATTTACATGATCTGTTTTGCATCAAAAATTCTCTTTAAATGTAGTGGAGCAGAAGTAGAGCATAAAATGGAGGGAATGTGTTATTGTTGTTGTGTTTCCCTGGAGCACAGATGCTGCATTTCTTCGTAATTTCGATTGAATGATAAAGCAGAGAACAGGAGGTAGAGTGGTACTGACATGGAGTGAGCACAACAGGAATGTTTTTTCCTGCCCATTAAGACTGTGTGTTATGTACAGAAGAGTCATATTTTTCATCATCTTATTTTATATCCTGTCAGTGACGTCTTTTTTATACAGTGACTTTTTTGATAACCCTCTCACTCTCCACAAGCACTTCTTTTCCATCCTCCCTCCACTCTCGTGTCATCTCTCTCTCCTTCTTTGTCAGGAGATCATACACCACTACACTGCCCCCCATCACAAAACTAATCGCCAGGATTACAAGTCCCAGTCCCAGTAAGTGAGAAGTTCCTTCTTTGGACTGGTTCAGTTGGTCCCACAGGCCCACAGCTACACAGCTGAAGCCGATGAGAGTTTTCCAAAAGCAAAAGGCCATCATGCAGGATCCACAGGACAGCTCAGCACCCCCGGTCACCACTGTGATGCCCGCCACCGAGGTGAGCCCTCCTGGTAAGGTCACTATCTCAGATTTTGGCTTGCAGGTGACAGTAGAAGTGATGTCTGATAGAGCTGAAGGATCAAGCATTTCCATCTTGGTCGTCTTGGTTGATATTATTTCCCTTGTGAGATGGCCAAATGTGATTCTGCAGGCACTGCAGCCTCTTCCTCTTTGTTACACCTACAACAAGACACGATACAAAGTGTTGATTAAGGAAATACAGACTAATAATGATATTTTAACAATTTAATTTAAGTGGAAAAATAGACAATTCTTTTTTTTAATTTTTAGATAGTATGACAGGTGAAATGTTTTTTTTTTCATTCTTCTCGTCATTGGAACCAGCAAAGATTGGAGCCTGCACGGTGTCTATGATGTGTTATTTAGCAAATAGCAAAACATAAGCCTTAATGTTTCCGACCTCATGGGTCCTTAACAAGTCCGTCATCATAAACTCATATGATCAAAATTGCTCCAACCCAGAAAACCTTAAACTAAAATCAAGATCCCAAGATTTTCAAAGATAGTCAGTATTTTAAGCAGCATATTTTTATTTTTCCATCAGGTGAATAGAATAGAATATGAAAGACCAGGATTTACACTGCTTACACTAGAAATTTGGATGGATTGACAAGTACCTCAAAAATCAAGACAATGCAACAACAACAAAAAAACTAAAGAAAACAAAAAAACAAAAATGCGTTTTACTTAAAAAGCAAAGCATTACTTACCTCAGTGTTGAAACAGGAGCTTAGATGTCAGTAGAAATCAACTGATGGTCCTATAAATTCATAAATGTGATTTTTTTTTTTCTGAGTGAAACCTAAAGGTGCTGCTGACTTTCTCTCTGGACAGTGGGTGTAGAAATGGGGGCTGGGGGCCCGTGCGTTACCTTTATCAAATACGTCACAACTTGAGGCCTTGCAAGATGGCAGACACAATTGTCAAGATTGTTGTCATTTGTTTGTTCCTCTTTTTCCTTGTGTTGAGAAGGAAGTTCTCGTCTGTCATTAAGCTTCATTACAACCCATTACCAGATATTTATCTAGGGACAACTCCCTTCCTCTTTTCCTCTCTCTTTCAGTCTTAAGATTCCAGTGTTGTGCCACCAAGGCATTGTTTTGGCTGTGAAAGGTATTTTCTTTTCTAATACTTTTTCCTGTTAAGCGTTCCCATTTCTCATGTCATTAATAGAGGGGAGCATATTATTGCATCAGTGCTCTATAAAACTTTCTGACATAATTTGGGAAATATGCTTCTTGAACTGTCTATTTAAAAAAAAAAAATTCCCCTACTGTCACATTCACTCAGAAAACAACCATTAATGATTACACATCAAGAAGTACATGAATGAATGGGCCTAACCTGGTGTGTTGACACCGAGTGAGGCAGATTTGCAGTATATATGTCAGTGCTGACGTTTCACAAGTCAGTGCTGTAACACAGGTGAAGCCTGATACTGTCACTTAATAGGCTATAATGCTACTCAGCCAACTGGGTTGTTGCCAGTGTTGAGTCACTGGCTGAATTGCAGATATTTTTAGATGTGTTGACTCCTACTATTGATAAACTTTCTCCTGTTACAATTCAGTTATTTTATGTGTAGTATACATTACTGGCTGCAAAAGAAATATATATGAAATATACAGTAAATCCTATTTAGTGTTGCAAAGTAATGCAATAGCTACTATAGAGATATTAATATCATTTATCATTTATTGTTTTATTAAATCTCTGACACTCTTAGAGTGTCATTAATATGCTTAGATGCCAGACATCCACATTACATGAATCGTCACCCTCTCCACAATTAGAAAAACATTTCATAAGAGACCACAAATCCTTGCTTGCTCCAGCTCTTGTAATTAGTCCAGCCTAGGGTATAGGTCACGTCAGGGATTGTTTTGTGGAGAGCAGGGGGTAATTCTATTGGCCATGGCACTCACAGGATGAAGATGATGATAATTGGCTAAGTGTTGAAATGGGTGGGAGGGGGCAGGGCATGAGTAATCCAATATATGGACTCAGTGAGCATATTTATGGAGCAAAGAAAAACCTGTTGGAAAAAAGAGACATGAATATGTATCACATTAACTCTGCCATAGACCCTCATGGCCATACTAAGTTAGTCAGAAGCAACAGTTAGTATAGTGACAATCAAGATAATTCTTTCAGTCTAATCAAAGCAGACACAGACAAAAGAGACTGATGATGTTAACGCATCAAACAAAGTATCATGAAGTGTTAGATGTGCTGATTACTCTGACCCCTGCCGTAAGGTGATGGCCGCTGACAACAATATAAAGAGATACAGGGAACTGGGTAGAAAGGTCCTGCCAGTGAAAAATGAAAGCGAAATACATTGGTGTGTAAAATAGGACGCCTTTAGTGCACACGTACAATACTTTGTGGAGAGAAAAGAGAAAGAGTAAGAGAAGCAAGCCACTCTACAGACAACAAGAGAAAGGAAAGAGGGGCAACACTGCTGAACATTCAGCTCAGTAAAACAAACCCAGGCTAGTGATGGAGAAGTCAGTCAGAGGAGGGCAACATCGTAGCTCATGTAGGACAGGAAGGAGGTCATGCACAAAGAAGGTGATGATGATGTGAGGGGTGTAGGTGGGATTGGTGGTAAAGGTGGGAAGGAGAGGGAGTTAAACAGCCTGCACAGATGGTAGTCTGGAATTAGATGTCAGTGGTCAACTAAACCCATTGAAAGGCCACTACTGAAATAGCAAACCCACCTTAAAAACCCACCTGAGACCATGTTCACAGCATTTGCCTGAACATGTCTGCTAATCTGTTAACCAGTTTAACAGACTAATGTTGATGTTTTTAGGATTTATGGCACTCAAATACCTCTCAATTTCACAAATTATGAAGATATAGTGAAATGCCCCTGACCCTCTGGTAAATGATTAGTATTTCGTTATTAAATAAGATTATTAAATTCTTGGATAAAACACCACAACACTACATACCAATGACTCAGTCTGTATAAATAAATGAACAGAAGAATGAACCCAGTGTGGTCATATACAATAGATATTTCTAGACTTCCAGACCCATAGAGAAAATTAGGATGTGGGGGTTCATTTCAGTCAAAGCTCAGCCACTTTAAATCCCGCATTAACAGAATTAACCCAGTCATCCACCGTAGGAGTGAGTTTCCCCCTGCCCTCCTTATCTCTCACTGTCTTACTGTCAAGACAGACACTCTATTCTCCTGCCATTGCCTGCCCACTCAGCACACAGGTAAGATTTCTCCACGGTTTTGACCATCCTGACAGTGTTATTTACTGAGTAGTGCAACTAATCTCAAGTTGTCATGAGCAGATTGTGTCACATTTCTAAATCATATTGCTTTTTTTTGCCAGTTGTGAAGAATATATTTTGGACTAAGGAGACAGTCAGGTGGAACAGGAGAGGAAAGCCTGTGAAGAAAGTGAAAAAGTGGCAAATACTTGCCAGGGAGTTTGACAGAACTGACACATTACTAAGACACTGTGAGCAACTACCATGGGAAATACTACCAGTAGCGCATTATCAAAAGAGATCCTGGAGGACCTCAAGCTCAGCACCAAATTCACTGAAAATGAGATCTGCCAGTGGTATGAAAACTTTCAGAAGCAGTGCCCGACGGGACGCATAACTCCAGAGGAGTTTGAGGAGATCTACACCCGCTTCTTCCCTGAGAGCGACGCCAAGAGCTACGCACGGCATGTGTTTCGCTCCTTTGACACCAATGACGACGGCACTTTGGACTTCAAGGAGTACATCATTGCTCTGCACATGACCTCCACTGGCAAGACGACCCGGAAACTGGAGTGGGCCTTCTCGCTGTTTGATGTAGACAAGAACGGATACATCAACAAGACAGAGGTGACAGAGATCTGCCAGGTGAGAGCGCTGCACGAGGTGGTGTTTGAGGCATGAGTGATGGTCAGTGGCTGAGTGACTCAGATCAGATGGTTCTAGTGTAACAAGCAGCAGTTAGTGTTATCCACAGTTTCTACCGCGTGATGATCTTGATCCAAACATTTTATCTTTTCTGACAGATCAATTTCTAAACATGTATCTCATTTTGGATTTTTAATATTCTCCCAAAAGTTATCAGAGATAGTTGTGGACTGACTTGAGAGTGCTTGATACAGAAGATTAATTTTGTTTCACCATAATAATTATCTATGCGAGTGGATAATATCAGAAGTCCAAGCCATTCTCTTGCTCATGCTCCTCAGGAAAGGGTTTTATTCTAAATTGTGGAAGGAAAATATTACAGGAAAAAATGACATAATGCAATCTAACATTAAAGCTTACAAGGTTCAATTTTCCTGAATGTTCTATGTCAGTGAAGTGTTGGTTTGATTCTGTGGCATCAACATTGAGGTTGGTAGCTGTATTATTATTGGACTGCAGTGCATTGCCAGGTTTTGCTGTTATTTTGTCCACCTCATTTAAGCTCCATCCAAGATGTGTTGCTATTTGTTGGAAAGTGGCCATGTAGGTCCCCGTCCTAATTGCCAGCCCAATTAGCCATCTTATTTGAGCCTCAAACTCCTGATAATCTCTGTGATAACAGGTTTAGCTCTCAGACAATATAGGCAGTCCTACTCTTAAACAAGGCTACTCTAGAACTGCACCGCCAGCAGAAAGTCTCACCATCCCTGAGTCTAATCCAAACTGCTGTCAAGGCTGTCACTTTTGATTGTATGCCATAATATAGAATAATTGTAACTTATTGTTTTCAAATAATCAAAACTGAGTGTGATGGAGGATGTGAAGTTTTTTATCTTCTGTTTTCAAGACAAATGATATAGAATTGTAAGAGGTTTAGACAGATCAGCCAAGAATCCAGCTGGCATTGTAATGGGATTTAATTCCTGGCCAACTGGCCCGAGTCCATATGCATCATGTTTACAACCACAAAGCAAAATGGCTGCATTTTAAAGCCCTGCTAGAAGTTTAAAAACCGACAACAAAATTAGATTGTTCCTAATCTGCAAAACACCCTAGAGGTAGTTAAAGACAGATCAGCTGCAGTGGGGTCCAAAAGTCTGAGATCACTTTCCCGTTAGTGACTAGCTGAACCCCCCTGTATATACACAGTAACAATTACACTGCAGAACAATCATGAAAGATCTGGTCTGTTCTAGATGTAAGAAATTAGAGGCTAAATGAGTTCAGTATAGTATACTACACAGGCTGGCCAGACAACGGTGTAAATAGGGTCAAGTTTACTTCATTAGAGAGTAAGCAGCTGTTTCACGCTGCTTGGTTTTATTTTTATAACAAACTACAACCTCACAACCTGGTTATCGACAAGCTCACAGTTTGTTTCTGTACAGACCACAAGATCTGAGGGGCAAGATGGAGGGAGAGTCCAGAGAGAAAAGAGATGACATCTTGGTGTTTGGCCTGTGGCCTGAGTCTTGGCACTAATCCATGTTAATCTAGGTGTCTTAAATGTGGGAGATGAGTTCTTCCTCTCTAAGTGGGACACACACTTAAAGTCCTGAACCTAAAGTGCACAGTCATTTAGTCATTTAACAATCTGCTGGATTCTAAGTGGCCCATTGCAGATTAAGTATCTCTGAATAATGACACACAGGCCTGAATGTTTCTGCCGTGGGCTGATTGCATTGACATAACTAGTGGACTGAATTGTAGGCACCTTGATTTGTTTGTGTTCAGCCAAATTGCAAAGAGTTCACAGTGAGTAACAACAGAAACATAAGGAGAAAATGCAGGCTTGTAGCTTTTCTGTAAATATCAAATTGTTTTACATCAGAGGCTTGATAAAACTCATATGTCCACATGTTTCTTGGCTTCCACACATTTGTTTTTTTGTGCTGTGTTGACGTTCTGTACATATTTGTGTGAGAGAAAAGATGCAGCATTATCATGATACCCATTTTATACCCAACCCCCCTCTCAGGCCATATTTAAGCTGATCCCCAAGGAGGAGCAGAGCAAGCTACCAGAGGATGAGAACACACCCGAGAAGAGAGCCAACAAGCTGTGGGCTTACTTTGAAAAGAAAGACAACGGTGAGGGAAATACCACACATGCAACACGTGTACGGTGCATGATAGGCCTTTGTGTCCTCACCACTACGTACTTATAATAGAGAGATAAAATCAGTGTAAGCTCTTACTACCTTTCCTTCTGCAGCTGTTCCCACATCCTGTGGCGAAGATTACATTTTACAATCAGCTGTTTGGCTTAACAATAACACAAGCAATAAATCCACCTGGGGGCACACCCCCAGTTACAGCATCACTTGTGTAATGCGAGCTTTATTATGTATGTACCAGCCATGGACCATGAAACCTTAAGTGACTCCAGTGCATTGCATGCTACTGTCACACACCCACTCAGAGATAAGACCAGATTTCTCAACTGAGATACAGAGTCATTACGGAGCCTCATGTTTACCCCACATTCCTCGCTGTGTGCCTGGTTTGTTACCTACTATAACCTCTCCTTTTTCTCTCCTTTTTCCTTATAGAGCGACTGGCTGAGGGAGAGTTCATCAAAGGAGTGATTGAAAATGAGAATGCAATGCGTCTTATCCACTATGAACCGATCAAACAGTAAAGTCAGTCTCACTTATCCCCTCTTCTTCTTTCTTTAATTAGGCTCTTTCTATACTTTCAAAACTTTTGTTTTCCTTCTTCCCTTAAAAGCCTCGTACTTTTTCTCTCCCCTCTGCTTTAATCCACCCAACTCCTCTGTGTAAATACTCTTTTCTGCAGTGTCTTGGTTGCAACTAACTTTTTAGTCACTCTCCATTATGTGACATTGATTTACTTCTGTTTTTGTCCATGAATTTATATCAAATAGAGAATAGTAGAGGCAAAATAGTGTTTCAAAATGTGTACAGACAAAAAGATACGTTTATGATGACCATATTGAGCCGATACATATCATATTGTTAACCTCTAAATGCTTTAAGTGACATTTTGGCTCTGGAGAAACTGATTGTTAATGACAAGTATCATACCAGATATTAGCTTGTTAGCTTTTTTACAGACTTTGAGATGTCTTAATATAGAGTTGTAGTTTACAAGTGTTGTACTCTATTCACTGTACAATAAATTAAAGGTTTTCTCATACATCTGTGCTTTGAAAATCAATTTATTTATCTTCCCCAGAAAACAATAAATTCCTCTTTGACCTAGAAACATACTGTGTAATATAATGCTGGTGGTTGACAAAAATGGAGCTTTAGGTTTTAAGTTTCAGTTTTTTTATTTATTTATCCCAGACACTAAATCCAAGATTATCCCAAATGTATAACCTATTGACATTTGAGGTAAATTAAGGTCCATTTATTTAACCTTAGAAATAATTTCCTGTATAATATGAAGAGTAACATATTAAGTAAAATCCATTTGTAAACCATTATTTCCCTGAAAGTGTGATGTTCTCATGATGCGTGGTGCGTGTGTGTGTGTGTGTGTGTATGTGTATGTGTGTGTGTGTGTGTATGTGTGTGTGTTTGCAGTTCATGGGTGAGCGTGCCTGCATTTCTTTCCAACTTCATTTCTGACCCCCCACAACCTGCCCCTCCCCTGCCCCTCCACCCCCGCCTCCCTCTCCATCTCCATCCTTTCACATGCCTCCCATCTCTTCACTCTGTTCCTCCTTCTTTCCATCCAACTCGGGATTACTGGTTTACACATAATCTTCTGTTCAACATCAGAGAGCAGACTTTTTAAAATCTCTGTAATCTTTCTATCTCTATGTGTCTGTCTTATGGGTTTGTCTGTGTGTCTGTGGAGAGACTGCGTTTGTTGTGGCCTCTGGTATTTTATGCATTGAATCGAAATTTTGCAACCGTCAAAAGTTTGTCATAGAGGGAGAAGACTTTGAAAAAGGAAACATGTTGAGTGTCCCGCTCAGATTAATGAGTATATATTGTATATTTAGTCTTAAAGGACAGGCTGCTCTGTTGGGTATCACCGGGAAAAGAAACATCCATCCTGTGTATATAATGAAATGATCATTGGGATGACTGTCATCCTGATATATTGCAAGTTAATATATAAACATTAAAATAATATAAACATTTATATACATTTACATATGGAGACAAATTTACTTTCCTACCATGAGGCACTGAGAAATACCCAGAAAACATGCACTCTTGCATGTTAGTGTGACCTATACATACAATGTAGTCTTTATATTTTGATATGTTTTGATTTCATTGGCCTTCCAGCCTGGTTGGTTCGTCCCCAAGTTCACTGAAAGTCAAAGTGGAAGAAAAGAAATCTGTTTGCTCACACTGATCCGTCTCCAGCACGGTGACAGTGTCTTTTCCTCTTTTAAAGTTTTTCAACCCTTTTAGTTGATGGATATATGTGACTCCCTAACAAGGTGAATCAACTCGGTCCATGGCCTCCTCCATCTCATCCATCTCTCTCTCACAGTCTTCACACCCCTCTGGCCCACAGCCTCCTACCAAAACCAGCGTTGGTACATCCCCATTCCCCATTCCAACCATGCTGCCGTTCGGGGCCCACGACACATCAATCATGCCGTCTGGACACTGCAGTAGGCCGCTGACAGAGTAGAGCCCGCCCCCTGGAACGACCTCATCATAGGCTGGGGCGTGACTGGCAGCTCTCGCTTCCTCCAATCGTAGCCTCTGTCTGCGACGAAGCTCGATGATGGTCTTTGTGTAGGAGTTGAGCGTGACCACGGCTGCCCCCATGCAGCAACTGAAGGACACCCACGCAAGACTAGGAACAGAGAATATGTAGAATAGTTAGGAGAGAAGAGAAACTGCAATCATGAAAATAACATTTAATACACACGTTTGAATAATACAGACACTTACGCAAATGACCAGCCGTAGTCCCAGGACTGAGGCCTCCAGTCTTTGGGGCCCACAATGACTGTCATCTGAAATACTGTGGTGTACATCATATGGGCTACCATCCCGAGAAGACCTGCATGGGAGGTGAAACCAACAATAAAACAGACAGAGAAAAACTGTTAGCCATGCCCAGGAACACTGCGGATGAGCGGAGAGATCCAGGATTACTGTGCATATACGGAGGAGGAGGTGATTGTGAAAGAATAAAACGATGACAAATTGAGAGATACACTACGTCTCACCTGATAGCACGGTACAGATAGCTGCATAGGCGTTGATTTTCAGCGAGTGCATCTCTTTATGAGAGCACAAAACTTCCAGCCACATTAGTAAGAAGCCCATCCCCAGCAGGCCGATGTACGTGAACTCTGAAATCACTGACAGCCAGAGCACACCTGCGACATGTGCAAACACATACACAACGGACACACGCATCCATTCAGAAAACTCAAATAGTACTGTAACAAAAATAACTCATTTAATCACAGTATTTACAGGGTTACAGAGAAATGTACATATTACGGTAGAAAACTGTTAATTGATACACAACTTACCTTGTGTTTCCCCTGGAGTTAACTCTATAAAGCTGCGACATTTCTCCCCTGAAGACAAAGGTTTGAAGAGGACGATGGAAAGCATTTCATCACTCTGAATAAATGGTATTTATTTGTGTGTATGTGAAGCTAAAACATAAAATAACATCCCTGAAAGCTTAACCAATATTCTGACCAGGTTCAAGTAAGCGAGGTTATGTATGACTGGACGTGCGCTTTGCGGTCTCACCATCGCTGTGTTTCTCACAGCTTTCCCAGAAGCCGGTGTGAAAGTATCTGAAAGCAAACTTGTCTTCCCCCGTCTCCCAGATGTAGTGCACAGCGTTGGCCAGCTGCCTCTGTCTGATTCTGGCCAGCTCCTCCCTTCTGGCTGGAGACAGTGTGCGGTTGAAGGGGTTCTGAGTGGGACTCTCTGTGTGACAACACAAGAAGGCAACGCTGAGAAGAACACTTGCTTATATCTGTTATGGATAGTTAAGTTAGTGGCTCTTCAAAGCTCTTTGGAACTATAAAGACAAATACAGTCATACTCACACTCACACATGGGAAATCTATATTCTCCAAACCTATCCAGACTTGCGTTTTCTTAGAACCCACATGCACAGGCGCACAACCATGCAAACATCAAACAAACATCAAACAAACACAGGTCCCTCTTCCTCTGAGATATGAGCTCTAACAACTGATCCATTATGAGAAAAAAACACAGGCATGTGTAGGCAAGCAGATACACAAACACACACACAGGTGCGTACTGCAAATGCACTCCTACTTCACAATTATCTTAATAGGTTTGCTGACTCTGTGTTTTCCTTTGCCAAAAACTTAATGCACTAAAAGTCAGAGAGACAATTAAATGTCAAACACATGCAGGTGTGTGTTGCTGGGGATATTCTGGAGGTCCGTTTGAAAATGAAAAAGAGTATGTACTTCATAGTGAGAGAGGGAAGCAAAACTGGTGAACACAAAACATCTGCAAGTCTGTTAATCACACCCTGGCCGTAAAAAAAAATAACATGCCTCTGTGTAATCATATGCAGCTTTGTCAACCAGCAGCCAGTGTGTATTTGTAAACCAGATTTAGAAGCACTGGTGCATTGGTAAAGGTAGATCTTCTTTTTGTGCAAATACACAAAGTACGTGTAGTGATAAAAGTTGATTCCTTTATGCAGTAAGAGCTGTTAATCTCAGAGTGGATTAAGCATATCTACTGAGAAAATAAAGACCAGGGAGCACACAGAGTAAACCTCTGCTCCATGGGCGAATGAACCTTTGGGAGACACCCTGACACCCCACAGATTAATACTAAGCCATAATTAAATTCTCTCTCAAACTACAGTATGGGAAAAAGGAGATTAAAATACATCAAAACCGAGGACAATCACTTTCAGGGAGGGAAGCCTGTCAGTTCATCCAGCCGGATTAGTCCCAGGTACTGGTTGTTATGCAGAGTGCAAAGATCAAGTTCCATACTTGTAATCAGGTTCAAAAGTCAAGGCCAAAATTTTGGTAAAGTCAACATCAGAAAGCTGCATTTTGCAAGACTTGTGCAATAATAAACAATAACAAACACACACATGTGACATAATACAAACTGTGTATACACAGTTTGTAGTATCCACTATATCTGGTACTCCAGTATCAAGTACTGTAAGCAACCTCAGTTTGCCTAAAGGAAGGTTTGAATTCTCAGTAATTTAACACTGGATAGAAATGTTTAAGTCCACGATGCCTCAACAGGCATTGTGATTATTGAGCAGGAGGGTTAATTCTTAAACTAGGGAAAAAGTCACACTTGTTAGCTTCTTCCAGAGCTTTTTCATGGGCTTCATCAGCAGATTAAGTTTGGACTGTGAGGAAACTCCATCTGTTTTTCATGAAAAAGTCCATGATGAACACCAAGAGCCAGCTGACAACCTGCTAAAACAATGATCCTGCTCAGACTATCTGTCTGAAAACCTGTGGCTGACTGTTACAAAAGCCGAATGCCGAGAGAACGTCACATGACTGTTGACGCAAGGTAGGATGAATCCATGAACTCATGCTGCCGATAACAAACTGTTACATGCCCGTGAATGTGTTGCAGCAGAATTTGGGATTAGTCGCCAGGAAACTTTTCCCCACTCGTCACAGATCTAGTTCGACTGTAGTCAGGTCCTGTATGTTGTAGCTGTATCCACTTGTTCCTGCCTGACAGGAGGTGAAAGCTTCACGCTCTGACTGTTCCTGCTCACCATACTAACTAAGTACATTTACTCAAGTACTTAAGAACAGTTTGAGGTTGTGTCTGCATTATGACTTGGTATTGCTGCTTTTACTAAAACAAAGGATGCAAATACTTCTCGCGATGCTGTCATTAACATATTTGTTGTTATTTGAATACTCTGAATACTTGTTAGTTAGTCCTAAGTAGAACAATCCTTGCAGCATGGCTATGCATTACATGCTAAAAATAGTTAAATAAATTGATAAATAATTGCACCTCTGCACCCTGCCTGCATACGTGAATGCTATGTTGAGACACAAATAATTAAAAATCAGAGGGGAGCTGCTTGCATAAATAGATGTATGTGTACAAATTTGTGTCCAAGGCCCAATAACAATAGTATAAGAGCAATCTAAGTTACAGTATACTTAACAGAATAAAGAGAAACAGTAAAGCATTGGAAAGCAATCTGCAGAAAACACTTGTTGATGTGTAGAGGGGACAGTGTGACATCTCAGTACCTGTGGTGTAAGGCTCGCTGTTGTTCTGACCGCAGTTCTTCATTTTGACGGGCGACAGGCAGAGGGGCTTGACCACCTTGTGAGTGCCCTCACACCAGTAGGAGGTGCAGAGAGCCAGGATGGAGAGGGCCAGAGCCAGAGTGGTCAAGGTCAGGGAGAGCAGGGAGCGAGAGCGACGGGACATACGCTCCAGCATGGCCACACAAGAGAAGGGGGAAGCAAGGGGGATGGTTAGAGAGAGGGAGTGGGGGGAAAAAGTGATGTAAAGAGGGAGCAGAAGGGGGAGACTGGATGCGGAAATAAGACAAACCGGACAGAGGGTATGAATATAGTCACAGATGGAGCCGAGAGGGAGGGACAGATGCTTTGGGGTGGTTTTAAGATGTGATGAGCTGCCAGGTTTAAATGGAAAGCAAAGATAAATGTGACGTAACAGTACTGACAGAAGATAACAAAACAAAGCTGACAAAGAGATACTGTACAGCCTGAGTGATTAAAAGAGAGGACAATAAACAGAGCGAGACGAGAGGAAGCAGGATAAGATGCTCTGAAGTTGATACACGTGGGAAAGGACAGATGGAAGAAAAAAGTGAACAAGAGAGGATTTAGGTAGACGATGGTTCACGTTAGGAGAAGAGTGGGATGCAAGGACATAACAGCATGCTGCGAAGACAGCTTTAACGTGATATCCTGCTGGGGTGAATGGTGTGGCCTTACGTACATCCCCTGACCTCAACACTTGCAGACCCTTTGTGTGCACGTATTAGATCAGTGGGACTATACCATCATTTAAAAATATTACAGATTATCATTAAAAGTTGGGAAACTAAAGAGGAGATGGAGGACATCCTTAAATGTAATTCATCACCTGGGGAGAAAGTAAACGGTTCAATGGAGCACACAAAGACTAAAACCAAGGTGTCCATATGGTGACATTCAATTTTGTTGAATGTTCCTTGAGTCCGTACGAGTCATTAGACTGCCTGAGGTCACATAAGTCCCCCAGCTGTTTGTATGGAGGGGTTATGGAAGAATAAGTAATGTCCTGTGCCCGAAACTAAAGTCTTCCTGCCTCCTGATTAACACACTCCGGCCTGACCCTGCCACTCATTATCAACTCCACTGCTGGACCCTAAGAAGACAAGACAAAGGGGAGGAAAAACAAGAGATTACTTTTTTTGATGAAATTATGGATAAACCACAGATTTAAATGAAAATTTTGCAAGTAATCCCTGATAATCTGCTTTAATCTGTTTGTGTTAGGTGCATTTTAGTGTGAAGTGCACTCTGACCATGTCTGCTGTCTTCCTCTCTCCCTCATGCAGTGTCTCCCTGTCGGCCCACAGCACCTGAAATACAACAGAACACAGATTAAACCAGTTGAATGAATCACTGGTCTACACAAGAACGTAATCACAGTGGTTTCTGATATCTGAATATTGGTGACAATGAAAAATACACACATTAGCTAAAAGTCAGACATTTTCAATGTATACATCTGCATTTAATTTTTCCTGTATTAGTAAAGAGATCTGGACAATCTGCCGAATGTTCAGATGCTAAGGCCTTCTTAAATGTCTGCAATATGTGCTTTCTGACATGTACAGTTTGTACTCTAATTAACATATATATATATATATATATATATGGGCAATATATAATAATGATACTGTAACTCTGGTGACTCTTTGTATTAACTATAAACTTGATAAATACTGAATTGCTTCTTCTTCTTTCTGGTTGTGGACAAAATAAAAACTCAGGGACAGTATCAGAACATCCTCACCAGCATTTTCTCTCGTGTTAAAAAGTGGTCAAGACATTACTCTTTAGTCTTGGTTTCGCTATCAGATTGGTAACATATTGAACATAAAGTGTAAAAGTTGAGGACAGCATCAGCAAGTTGGAACTAAGCCACTCAAGATTTTGCTCGAATTACCAACATCAAGCATGAAGACCTTAAGGCCAATATTAGTTATTTTAATCTTACTAAATCTTGGAAATTCATTCTTCGACATAGACTTAATTCTGTCATAAACACAAGTTTTTTGCTTTTTGTTTGCATTGACAGGTTTGTCAGATAGATAATTGGACACACACCACTTGCCTCATTTAACCTGCATCTCAACTATCAATAGATCTAAAACTCAGTCTAAAAAAGCAACATACAGTTCAGTTATTTTCAGGGCTGTAAGTAGCAATTATTTTTTCAGCCTATTTATGTCAGAAAATATTGAAAAATTCTCTTTATTCCAGAGCCTGAAGTGAAATCTTACTTGTTTTATCTGTACATCACTCCAAAACCTGAAGCTATTCAGTTAATCAGAAATGGCAAAGAAAAACATCAAACCCTCATATTTGAGAAGCTGGAAAAAACAACTAGTATTTTTCCTTGTTGTAGACTGAATTGATTATTAAAACAGTTCTTGATTTTCTGTTAACTGACTATCAATTTCAGCTCTAATAAAATTAAAATAATCAGTGACAAGTACCTACCAAAGTGTTGCAGTTCAGGTCAAACATGAAGCAACTACCACAGTAAAACAACAGTCAGTTCTCGCAGTCCTCTGAACCCACAATCCTCGGTTATCTCCGCCTCGTTCAAGAGCCCTTAAATCAAAAAGCTCCTTAAGAACTTGCTTTTAGTTGCTCCATCTTCAACTGATTCTCCGTGTCACTGCCCTCTTCGTGTTTTCCCTCTGAATGTGTCACCACTTTTCCTCCTCCAGGATGAGCATCAGTGACCCTTACCTCTCCAGCTGCACTTCCCCCTTTAATCCTCCTGGCCAATAGACGAATGGAGATGCAAGACTGGTGGAGCAACTGTCTGTCTCCACGCCACTCTACTCTCTTTTCTGTCTTTCTTGGGAATTTATGTCACAAACCCATCCTGAATCATGTAATCCCTCTAAGTCCATCTGTTACTGCAGTGCCCCCTCTCATCCTATGTCTGTCCCTGCTCAGAGGTGATTCCATCTCAACCTCCTGAAACCTTTATGACTGGTTCAAGTTCCACTACATTACAACTTTATCTTTATGCTGGTATTTAATTATCACAAAAAGAGGGTGGATGAAACGGTGAGCCAACATCCATATGAATGGACTCTCTCTTGTGCTTTTCCTCTAATCAGCACCAGCAATGTGCAAAGCCAAATCCTGTGCCCACGAGTTAAGTGTTTATTTTTGGGTGCTAAATATGGCGCCTAAAAAGAAAAGGAGAAAAAAAAAAAAACAGTGGAAAGAGCTTTGCATTGTCACAATAATTTATTTACAGTTTGTATATACATAAAACCTGAAAGAAAACAAATGGAAAAGAAGCAAAGATAATGTTATGTGCATGTTTGGAGGATGAATTAAAAAAAGGAGAGTTCAAAAAAATTGAGTTGTGGAAAAGGAGTTTAACCCCAGGCTTGAGATTTACAGTAATGTAGAACCAGCTTGCCATCGCTACCAAAACACTGAAAGAGAGACAAAGAGAGAGAAGACATAAAGGTAAATATTAAATAAAACAACCCTGAAGTGATTTTTCATTATAGCTCCAAAATTACTTAACTGATAAACACTTTCAGATGTTAACTGACTTGATTTTTCAGCCTTAAGAAAACACACATTTTATCAGATTTTGAGCTGTCAAGTAGTGAGAGCAGAGGGATGACCAAATGGCCACTGTGAATTCTGGACTTTGAGGTCTTTGCGGTTACTTATCTAGACATTAATCAGTGGCAGAGGATTTTAGTAAGTGTTCCCATGGTGCTTCCAAATTATTGCCCCCTCTGCTGGTCAGTGCACCACATGACCCATTCACCTCTATGGGCTGGACCCAATTCTAATATTTCAATAAAGAGACTATATCAATGGTAAAGATAATTTATGCTGTGGTTAAGTATCCAAAATCTCTTCCCAGATGAAGCCTGACAAGACTTACATTTATCGTTAGAACATGTCTGTACTTCATGTCTACTGTAAATTAGATTGTTAAGAAGATTAATATCCTGAAAAAATGTCTCATCTGTAATCACTGATAAAGCCCCGTACCTTTGCTTCACTTACAGAATACATCAAACAAACCAAAAAAGACTTAAATTTATGTTGTTGGAAAATAGTCTAGTGAGCGTGAATAAACTCATCTCTTGTGTGTACATGTGCATGTTGCAGTTGTATGTAGAGACATGGTTTACATTTGTTTAACAACTCAAATGTCCAGTTATTAGCTTCTCTAAGCTTTCAACCGCATCTCATGTTCTTCATCAATGAATGGAACTGGAATGGAGCATCTATTTGTCGATTGTGTGGTTAAAAGCTGAGAAAAAGCTAATAAGTGGACTTTGGAGTTGAGATTATTTAGTTACACATAGTGTTCCCAAGGTCAAAAATGAGCATATTTACACACATACACATTGTGACTATTGTTTAGGTTAAGGAAAATAGGGTGTAAGTCCATAACACACTACAATCACAGGGAATTAAAAGTTGTATGGTGCTTGTATGTACTCACATCAAAGAGGACCCCTACTTCTTGATCCGGTGAGGGGGCAAAAGATTGGTTAACATAGATGAACTGAAAGAAAAAAGAGATGACATCATGTGTAAAGACTTGAAAGAGCTGAAGCATGGAAGCCTCCGTCCAAGTCATGATTTTGGGGCATGAACAAGTCAGGGAACAAATGTATCTCTTACTAGTTGTTCGTTGGCATCAAGCTTGAGGAAACGAGAGATGAACTGAGCCAGGGACTGTACCGTCCTCCCCCGATCTACTGCCCACTTCTTTGTTTTCATTATAGGAGTGTCTCCAACTGCCTTCAACAACACATCAACTATAAAAATGGAAAAAATAAAAGTGAAAGTGCTGCTGTCACTCAGACAAGTCCAGGCAAATCTAAACTTGAACTGTTAAGGGAGATTTCTCATGAAGTGCTTGTTAAATTCATGGACGTGTTGTCAAATCTACAGTGAAAACAAGAACTATGACAGCCGTCTTCCTTTAAGGCATATGAGAAATTACAGCAGAATTGCATGCCTCTATAATGGGCAGTTCTTTTTGTGTAATATTTCCTTCTGATATTCATTTAAATTATTTTAATTCCCTGATTGTTTTCTGTATTGATTTATTAAAATGTTTTGTAATGTGTTTGTATCTGTGGAGAATCTTAAATAATTGCATGTGGTGTGTTCAAAATGTCCTATCTTATGCTCCACAGATCTCGTTCAAGTTATAGCTCAGGTTTCGAACATTGTACACAAACAACATAACTGAGCCCTATTTACAAAATGAATGTACATACAAGCTAGTTAAATCGGCATTTACCTGTATCTGATTCTTATATACTATACATGATGAATGACAGTCATTTTGCAGGTGTCCTTTATTTACTGGTATCCATTTTTACTTACTGTAATATGATTTTTTTTTTTCAAAATCTTAACACCTAGTAATATTAATAGGTCAGAATAAAAATTTTGGTGATATAACTGAATGAAGATGAATGAAGATGCTGTCTTGCTGACCCTGATGTGACTCTGAAATGGTTTCATTGAAGGTTGATAATAACATATAAGTTTTTGCATGTATGTATAAAGTATAGGCAAAGACGCCAATATTGTTTTCTCAAATAACTGAGAGTGAAAGACAACCTTGAATAGAAATGTGGTAATTAACTTTAAAACCCCATAGTTAGCATTTATAATTGATATATAAACATTTATTAATTGTTTGCAACACATTACAATGTTTATTAGTGTATCTGACAAATTAGTGACCTGACGATTAGTGGAGCTGCTGCCTAAACAGATAATCAGCATAGTAAAACACAGTTGTAATAATACAAACATATCTTCATAGGGGAAGTTATAACTGCTGACGAATATTGTTCATTAGTAAACACTTAAAATGTCCTTAATCTTCTTACAACTACATTATAGTGCGTTATAACCTACTTGTTAAATGTGTATGTACTGCTTGTAAATGCTACAGACAGGGACTTGCAGTAAAGATGAAAATGTAAAAAGAGTATTTCTAGCGATTCTTGAACAAACTGAAGAAAGCCCAAAACGCGAGGCTAGAAATTTTCAGTAAACTGACAGTTTGACAGTTTCAAGCTAACTTAGCTTTATTAACTTATCCTTAGGCACAAGATATGAAGTTGCTATTGGCATAAGCGTAAAAGATAATTGATAAATTAGGGACCAAACAGTCTCTCTGTAACAATATGTGACCTATCAGTGAAAAAGATGATATATTGCCTTAATAAATATTAGCATTAGCTTTAGCCATGCCCCAAACCGGTAGTACCACATGTTAGAAAGCTTAATGTTTACTGGTTGAGCTGAAACAAACCAGCACCCTATTGGCCAAAATCTCTGTCAATCGTTTGTCACGTCACACGAACTGGTTTGTTTTCTTCAGTATCAGCAACCGTAATAGTAAACAGGTGATTGCTTTTGATATGTAACACTTTCTTACTTTTTATCTTCTCTTCGTTCGCCTTCGAGTCGTCTGACGGTGGCTGTGACTCCTCTTTTTGCGTTTCTGTTGGGGATTCTGCATTGTCAGACATCTTCAGGGGAGCACTTCTGGTTTGCTTGCGGTTCCTTCCGAGGCGAATGGCGACGTACTCTGGCTGTTATTGGTTCAGAGAAACATCAATCTCAACAACACGCAATCCTATTGGTCAATACGATTCTAGGAGGACAGTGCTTGAACTTGTTCTTCTTAGCTAAATGCTAGGTTAGTTATTATTTTGACTTTGGAATATATTTGATAATAACGTAGTTGTTTCATGACGAATTCAGTTGCTGTTAGTATATTTGATTAATCTCGTGATATGCTGTTTTTGTTTAATATTTAATTCATTTTTTTTCTTTGTCACTTTCAAGTAAAACTACTACATTTTGTGTTGGTTTCCAATGACACAGGGGGCGTTACATGGGAAATAATACTTTAACCTAACAGTTGAACTTCTGTCGCCACACATTTGGACCATTCAAGCAACAACAGTAAGTCAGCTTTCTCATGTTAAAACTCTTTGAAATGATGTGACATTTTCGCAGCTTTCTCCAGTTCATTTGTGTTTAGCTATGAAACTGTTTGGTTTCATTGTTAACAACACAATGCAACACCACGAAGGAAACATTTCTTACAAGGAAGAAATCCCTTTTCCTCCTTAGTTACACACAAAATGCACCACATACGTAGAAGTTCGTTAGTCAAATAATACTTAAATAGAAGAATAAATAGACCCTAACTTGCAAATATGACATTTTAGGCTTATTTCTTCAAGTGTTATTCTTCCCCTCAGTGCCATTATGATGTTTACTGGCCCATCATCCTCAACAAATGATCCTTGCATTTATCCAGTGATGGTGCGAACAAAACATCTTATATCAATTCATGTAACTTTTGAACACAATTTGGTATTTTCTGTGACTTTGCTCTTGCTCAGCTATGAATCTGTTTGGTCTCTTTGTGAACAACACAGTGCAACACCATGGAGGAAATATTTCTAACAAGGAAGAAAATCTCCTTCCTCCTTAAGAGTACACAAAATACTTAGAACAAAACATGTTAATGTAATGTAAATTCACCTATCTTCTGAACACCCTTTCTTCTTTTCTGTGTCCTTGCTCTTTCAGTGGCAAACATTGGCAGGCTCTCCACCAAGGATGCAGTACTCTTCCTGTGTGACATGCAAGAGAAGTTCAGACCCAACATCTTTCAGTTCACCAACATTGTCAGTAATGCAGCCAGATTGCTCCAGGTTGGTTACACTCACCTTCACCCAACTACCTCAGTGTCCTACAGTTGACCCAATTATCAGCCTATAAATATTTATTATTTTAATGGATTGGATTAAATCTGCCTGCTCTCTCCTCTGACTCACAGGCCAGTCGCGTTCTGGGCATCCCCCCCATCTTGACAGAGCAGTACCCTAAAGGTTTGGGTCCCACGGTACCAGAGCTGGGGGCAGCAGACCTGACAGCTCATGCTAAAACATCATTCACCATGATGATAGAGGAGGTGGAGAAGGAGTTGCAGGCCCTTGGAAACCCCAAACAGGCTATACTGTGTGGAATAGAGGCACATGCATGTATCGCAGTAAGTTTTTTCCCAGAAACCCTTTTTTTTTATCCAGTGTCCTTTAAGATATTTAAAGGATTAGTGAAACAACCTCTTAACATTTTAAAGATAATTTTAAAGTGAATATGAACCCTTGTGTGTATATTTATGCTGCATAAACTATTACCCTTAAAAATGATTTGAGAATGAGGGAGGGGTTGAGGTGACAGATCGATCATCAAGTAATGTAACTATGCTTTTTTCTGATTATGTTGGTTTTTCTAGGTTAGTGTGCCACAGAGTTTCCACAGTTTTAGTTAATGAATGATGAGTTTGGTGGGAAAACCTCTGCTCCCTGTCTTTTCCATAGTGCACAACCTTTGACCTGCTTGAAAAGGGAATGGAGGTTCATATTGTGGCTGATGCCGTCTCATCCAGAAGGTATCTGTGTTGTATTGTTATACAACATTGTCATCACCTACATCATATAGTTTTTTGTCCTTTATGTGCGAACGGTAGTTATGTATGTAACTACAGACTTTTGTGTCTCCCTCCACAGCCAGACGGACCGTTTGTTTGCTCTGTCCCGACTGAAGCAGAGCGGAGCTTACCTCACCACCACAGAGGCCGTCCTGCTGCAGCTGGTCCAAGACGCCAAACACCCCAACTTCAAGGAGGTGCTCACTGCAGCTGCTCTGTGCTGCACTCATGAATTATTTTTGTTTGTTTAGATGTGTCATAAAGATATTCTTGAGAGTATGCGCCAAAGGAAAACATATTTGGCGGTTCCTCAGACTCCTGTCCCAAACAGTTATGCAAATAAATTTCCAGTCTGCAGCTGCAACTTCAGGGCTGCCAAAAATAAACTGCCTACAACCTTTATCACTGACACTGTTAACCAGTTACAGGTGACTGTATACTAGGGTGCAGTGAGACTTCACTCTGCAGTGATCAAACCCAAATGTAGTGCATTTTCGTGGTTGTAAAACTGCCATCTTGCCTTTGCAAACATGCCAAAATTGATTTCATTCTGAGCATACTGACAGTCTAAGTAATGAAAGTGACTAATACATATATTTTTATCAACTTTATTGGCAGATCCAGAAGCTCTTGGCTCACCCGTCTCCTGACACCGGCCTCCTTGCCTTCTTCAGTGCTCTGTAGCGACATCATCACCTGTCATTCTGTTTCATAAACACTGTTTCACTGCTTCCAACATACTGATGAATTACTTCAATAAAGTGATGCTGCTACTTTGAATTAGTGCTGCTGCTGTGCTTCTCTATTTATGTCTCTGAATCAAACCCTCATGCCTTGAGTGGCAGGTTGAAGGTTTGGACCTTCTTTTGTTGGATATTTAAGTGAAACTTACAGGTGGTTTCTCTGTATTGATAACCTGACAGACCCACAGAAAAATGCCGGTGAAAGGCCGAAGAGGTGGGACCAGCTCCCAGAGGCGGGGCGCAAAGAGTGATGTCACACAGGGGGAGGAGTGAGTTACGTCATTCTGCTAAAGTCAGAAAGGGAGGGTAGGGAGACAGGGAGGGAGAGAAAAAGGAAGCTGTCCGATAAGTTTTTGTGTATATTTCTTCAAAGTTACACAAACTTTCTCAAGCCAAAGGTGTGATTGGAGGCCTTGTTGAGATCAGCGTGCTGAAGAGAAAGATCTGAAGAGGAGGACGGACACCAGTTTGTCTGCAGTTGTGCACAACTGATGACAACATCAAATATTAACACTTTCTAAGGCCTTGGGCCTCGAGTGAGTACAGAGAGGTAAGAAAGTCATTCTCCTTTCTCAGTAAACAGAGAATGTAGGTGGAACTGGCACATTTATATGTAGTCACATTCATGCAATGTGTTTCCTTGTAAATGGATAGTTTCCAGAGAAGCACAACGTGTCTTGTGTCTGAACTTGTTTGCTTTGTAATTGCAACTGGCTGGAAGTACAGGAACATTACGGTTGACAGTGTTACATTACAGGCAGAGAGGGATCCACTGTGGCATTTCTCAGTGTTTTGTCAGCTTCCACACTAAACAAAAAGTAAAAAGACATGTTGATCACGTAGCTCCTCTTCTGACCCCTCAGACCCTGGACAGAGAAAAAGGGACAATGTCCTCTGACTTGGACTCCAGTCTCACCAGTATTGACTGGCTGCCTCAGCTGGGAATCAGTAGCCTGCGCTCGGGGAAAGAGAGAGGAGGAGGGGAGAGGGACAAGAAGAAAGACAGAGGGAGGGAGAGAGGAGACTTCTTACCATCTATCCAGGACCCTTCTGCTTCTAACTCTAAAGGGAAACCCCCTCACAGCTACGCCACTCTCATCGCCATGGCGATAGCAGCTGCACCTGAGAGGAAGTTGAGTTTGAATGACATCTACACCTGGATCAGTGACACTTTCCCTTACTACAGCCGAGCAGGCCGTGGATGGAAGGTATTGTGAAATAACAGCATATTGTCAGTGTGCTAGAATAGTCTTAAGTTTGTTACTTAAGTATAAGCATGTTTAAAGTTGCTGGTCTGGTGACTGGTAACTAATTTTAATATTATTTGCATGACCAGCTGGTACAGGACTGACTTCTTTTATCATGTACTGTGTGTCATTAACAGAACTCCATTCGACACAATCTGTCTCTAAATAAATGCTTCAGGAAAGTTCCTCGGCCCCGGAACGACCCTGGCAAGGTGAATTACTTTTTATATTTTGATGTTGTTAGCATATATGTACTTCTGTTAGAATTTGCATCACGTGAGACGGAGAAATGAATGATTAAAAGAGCGGAAAGCTACTTGTGCTGTATCTGTAGGGTTCCTATTGGACGATGGATGGACCTGCAGAGGCAAATCAACTGAGGGCACCTAAACGTCCCTATCCAAAGGAAGAAGAGGAGAGGCAGGATGTAAGATCAGTCATTCAATTGTTAACCATCAAATTGCCATAAGTGTAAAGAAATTACAATTTACTCAATTAATGTTTGGCTTTCTGGCATTGTAGTTTTGTATTTCCACTTTGAGAAACATCAGATTTTAACTTCACCACATTTCAGAGGGAGATATTGTATTTTTTTTTATTTTTTTATGCAAAACATTCATCTGAAAGCTGTGATTACTAGTTACTTTGCAGAGTAGGATTTTATATGCAGAACATCTTATAATGCTTTATTTGACCCTAAGCAATGAGTGGAAGTGGTTTTGTGGTGGTCACGGCCTTGAAAATGTGTCTCCAGTTATAATGTCGTAGTTACTCTGGATCATCCACAGAACATGCAGTCAAAGGTTCTCATAGGAACTACTTTCCTTGACAGAAATCTTCCCTACGAAAACAGCTGACAGTGGGTTCTGTGGATTATCTACTCTCCACCTGCACTGTAATGGGGTGGAGGCAGATGTCAGTTGTAAATGTTTCACAGCTGTGTTTCTACATTCTTGTATTGCTACTTCTACTTCACCGGCATTGTAACATTTCTCCCACAACCTTTTCCAGTTACAGGTTCCCGAAACACCAGGGACACAGGCGGACAGAGGACCCTCCCCTCATCAACCACAACCGACCTCCCACACAGACCATCAGCTTCTTAACACCGACTCACTGGGAGCCATCAAGCGACAATCACCCCAGTCTGCCTCCCTCTCTCCTCCTCCGTGCATGGTGGAGCCACTTCCCGTATCATTTCCCATCACTAAGTTTGCTGAATGTTTTTTTTTTTTTGAATAAACAGCATACCAATATATTATCTTGTCTTTTATCTTCACAGCAACCGTCACCCTACATGCCGAGCCCTGTCTCCAGTCTCTCCGTCCCTCATCCATCCGTCTCTCCTTCAGCTGGGCTCCCACCTGCTGCCCCCGTGTCCTCCATTAATTCTCTTTCACCTCCCCATCCACCTGGCCCCACTCTTTCCATCCCCACAGCTTCTGCTGCCAATATGTCTACAGCTTCTCCCGCTGCTCCCTCTTTCTCTGCCACTCTGTCCTTTCCCGCTAATTCAGGACCTGTATCTGTTTCCACTTTCTCCTGCGCTCCCAACACGACGCCTGTTTGCACGGTGTCGGGCCCCGCTCACTCTTCTGCATCTGTTGTCGCCCTTCCTGTTGTTTCTTTAAACTCCTCTACTGATCCTCCGCTGCGTTTCACCTTTGATGAGATGAATTTACCAGACTTGTATGCATCTTTCAAGTCGCTCTTCAAGACTATGCGAGAGAGGGGAGGCTCACAGTGTGAGTACGATGTGTGCGTAGGTGTGTTTTGTGTGCGTTATACAGTACACACACAAATGGCCTGGATGAATGACTTTTCTTTTCTTTCCAGCGGATGTTGCTCCCCTGATTCTCCCAAACAATGACACTACCCCACTGCACACTCCAACTCTGCTACCAATGTCTCCGTACCCTGCACCACCTGTACCAGCCGCTCCAGCTGCACCAACTGCTCCAGCTGCACACCCTCCTTCACAATACAGTGAGTCCTACACTTCTTATCACACAGAAATGCTTGAATTGCATTTAAACCAGCAAGATAACATAAAGTGAATTGCTTTCTAAAGTTACGTTCCTCCCTTCCCCTCTAGCGGTGCCACCCGACTGGTTCAGTAACCCAGATTCTCTGAAGGAGAGCTTCCGCATTGCCAGCAATCTAGACTGGGCAAACATAGACCTCTCTGGTCACCCAGGTCTGTGCTGTTTACCACAATCTTGTTTAAAGGGTCACTTCACCAAAATTACAAAATAACATTTTTTTTCTCACTTCCTTCCGGAGTTGGTTTGGATTTTATCTGCTGAGATATCTGTCTCTGAACGTTACTCTGGTTAACCCTTTCGGTCCCACACTTTCATTTATGTATGACCCTCAAACTTTCTTACTAGCTTCAAATATGGATATATGTTGCATGTTCAGATATATTTGATGTGAATAGTTACAAGGTTTGTAATAGATCATATGCACATTTTTTACAGTAACAATAACACCACTAATCAGTTTAATCTGTGAAGTTTTTGGTGAAACTGACAACTGTAACTCTTAAGCTTACAACAGACTCATAACTGAAAGTAAACAAAGGTTTACTCAAATTTAACTCAAAGCAAACCATGTGACTTCCTAGAGTGTGTGGCTCAAAACCTACGTATGTGAGTTTACTAAAGCATCATAACCAATGAATAACAAAGGCAACTATTTTGTCAACTCTGTACAGACTAATTTCCTCTCAAAGAGAATGGGACATAGCCAGAGGTGATGCTCAAAGGTTGCTTGTATTGCTATAACAACACACAAATAGTGGTTACATTTAAGTGGGATAGTTCATTTTGCAATGCATCACATGGGGTTGGAGGGAGTGCTCTCAACAGATAAAAACCAAGGCTCTCTTCATGGCTACTGTAAATACCACCAAGTAATAGTAAATGTTTTTTTTGTTTTAGTTTTTTTTCTCGGTGAACTGACCCTTTAAGATGTTTTTCTTTTGGAGCTAATGCAACAACTTTTACAAACATTTCACTAGACAGAATTTATAGTTAGTGGCCGCTAATGAAGCAATGAATAGGATGATTATTGAGACCTTTGCAAGATGATAGAAATTTTGAGTAAATGCATGATCTGTATTTTTGAAAATTTATGAAGGGCTTTGGCTCTCTTGATAAGAGCATTTAAGACTCAAAACCTTCGTGCTTTGATCAGCCTGTCTGTAAACATTTCTCTCATTTTGTGTTTCCAGACCTGCTGGAAAGCATGCGGCAGGCGGAGCTCTGTGACTGGGCCCTGGACCCGGCGCTCTTCACCTCTCTCTGTGACTCTCTGAACCGCTTCTTCACTCAGAAAGGCATGATCACCTCTGGGAATAATTCCCCACTAGCCCTTGGTGCACCTCACTCCTTACAAGCCCCACCTTTCACCTCCAATCCGCCTCCAACCCTCGCCAGCCTTACTCACCCATCCCCCCTCCCCTACTGTCCCCTAGTTCCCCCTGCCAACGGACCACAGCCGCCCCGGAGGGCTCTTCCCATGCAGGGACCAGGCTTTCAAAGACCACAGCTAACGCAGCCTGCAAACACACCCGGTGAGACCCGGAAATTATTTTTAAAGCATTGTTCTCTTTCAACCTGTTATGGCAACTGAATCCAGAAGGGCGTGAGGAGGAGTCTTAAAGGATGGTTTTACCTTTTTCAAGTCTGCCTTATAACAACACTCACATGTTCATATGTACTCTGGAAGAGTTAGCAGTCACTGTAATCACTCCTATCTGAAGAGATGAAGTAATAAAGGACAGAAAGATGCAGTCCTTGTTTGGGGTTAAAATGCATACAAAGGCTTTGCTGACACTAATATGAGGTTTCAGATGTCTGAATTAGTTAATCAGTGTTTTTAGTACCAAATTTACTCTTTTTCATACTGTCCTCCACTACAGCTCTGTGAGGAACCGCTGTCCAGGGAGTCTCAAATAGAGAATTTGGTACTAGATTAACTCTGACCAGCTCAAGCTGTTGAAGTCTCATATTAGCTTTAGCTGAACTGAACGCATTTTTAGACAGAACACAGGCGGTTGACTTTGTTCCCTAATATTTACATTATAATCATAATAGGAAGGGAGCTCTTCACAGTATGCACAGCAGGTTATTACAGTGAGCAAAGACTCGTTATGTACGTTTATGTACATATGGACATAAACTTGAAAAAATGTGAACGTAACCTCTAACATGATCAGTTGTTGCTGAAAATGGTAGCCATGGTCAGACTGTTGTAAAGGAGAAGTTACTTAAATAGAAAAAAAAAAAAAGTTAAATATAGTTTCACTTCCTCTTGTATACTGACGTCCATATTTCTCTCGTTTCAGCTGGGATGCAGCCTCAGTCTATGACACCACGACAGCGTCCTCCATTAAAGAATCTGCACAGCAACAGCGAGGAGATCCAGGATGACTTTGACTGGGATTCTCTGCTCGTTTGACCCTCACTGCCTGCGAGGAGAAACAATTCAAACAGAACTTTTCAGAGATATGGGACTCTTTACAGCCATGTAAACTAAATGGCTCACTGGTAACAGAACATCTTGAAGATTCTCTGGAAACAAGTTTGGGATCAAGTTGTGTCACATCAGACTGAATGCTGTATTTCAAGGTTACAATAGTTGTACGTTTTTTCACCTGTATTCAAATTCATATGCTGTAATAACTTCTGTTTTATGTATCTTGTGCAGGTAGTTTGAAGGGTGTTGTTTTCTAATGGACTGTAGTTTTATAAACATGTTCAACAAAGAAAATAAAGTATAAATTTATTCTTGTCACATTATTGTACTCTGCAGCAGTAAAAAAAATAAAAAAACAACAGAAAGCATATTTGGGATATAGACATAAGCATAAACTACAGCGCAAGCATGAAACAAGCCAAACACACATCCTGTGTTTTTGTTTTATTCATAAATTTCTTCTGATTTTTTTCCATTTTACTTTTCAAATGTGAATGTTCACAGTCAACACCACACAAAATTCAACCTTACCCGATAAAAGATATTTTTCTTGTTGATATAAAATAACAATAAATTCATCAAACTAAATTAAAAGAACAGCATGGAGCATGTTGTCAAGTCCCTGTTTTCTTTTTCCTTCATTCATTCATTGAAATAATTGTCTTTTTTTCTTTTTTTTTTTTTTTTTTTTTTTTTAAAAGAAGCATCAGTAGCTCTCCCTCCCCAAAGGAAAGAGGGATGAAACACAAGGACAGTGGTGACCTAGGACACCTGTGCACCAGGGATCCCATGTGAAATGTGTGATTGGAAAAAACAAACAAACAAATGTTTCTGATCAACGGAGGAAAATAAAAAGAAAAAAAAGCGTGACAAGATTGGCAGAGAAATGTGTGACCCTTATAATACCTCATTTGAAATCCCAACATTACATAGTATTGATACAAGTGACAATTTTTAAAAACAAAAATAATGGATGTCATTTCTTTCTTTCTGAGTCACTGAAATAAGATTGGACAGATATTGATACATATACACAGAAACAGGCATCTGCACTATTGCATACTTGCACACTCACAGATGAGCATTCATGTTCTCATTCACACATTTCTGCGCGCACACACACGCACACACATTCAACAAACATCCCATCATTTTCCCCATCAGACCACAGATGTCAGAGCTTTCTTTAGTTTTCTACAATAATCAGGAAGAAAAAACAAAAAGAAAATAAGCATTTGATTTAAATGGCATCATCATGTTTGATTTTCCTTGTTTATTTGTTTCCATGAACTGGAAAAAAATAAATTACATTTAACATTAAATTAAATTAAAAATGAAATAGTTGAAACAATTTGACCACATTGTGCCTGAAATGTTAATGCAGGTTTTTCAGTCCATATCTCAGTCTGGAGTTCATTAAAAATCATCCTTTATGCACTCGATTCACCTCAGTGATTCAGTGTTTTCATTCTTGAGGGAGAAAAGTGGAAGAGGCAGGTGCAACAGTTTCTCTGTTCAGTTTGTTAGTGGCTATGTCCCCTCTCCCTCCGTCTCTCTCTCAGTGCAGTAATATTAGAATAGAGTGACACTACTGAAAAAACCTCCTGCTCTCACAGACTTACCTTCATCTCAGACAGGACTGAAAAAAAACACAACATGAAGAACGATACAGAACAGAACAGGATTAAAACAAAATAAATAGATCTCTATTTCCCACCCAAAAATAACCCATACTGAAAAAGGTAACTAAATGTGGAAAATTATTCTGAAATGAAATAATGCTTTTTAAGGAAAAGATAAACTGAATTTTACATTTTTTTTCTTTAAATATAGAGATGTAGACATTTTTCTTTTTGGACACAAATTGTGTTGAAGGGGGGATGAATGAAGGGGGCAGCAGGTACGACAGAGGAGGTTGAAACAGCTGAGTGAACGAGCAGTGACACTTCCTCAAAGAAGAAAAGGGTTGGTGCTTGCTCCCGTTGTTCCTCCGCCTCCCACTGATCCTCCTGCCCCCATCACTCCTCCTGTTCCAGTGGGCCCACCCAAAATCAGCTGAGGAGGTGCTGCACCTCCAGGCCCCAACAGAGCCGAGCCGGGGGGTGCCATAGGGGAGAGCCCGCTGTAGGGCATGCCCATGGGGCTGGCCTGCATCATGCCCAGGCCCATTCCTGGAGCCCCCATGCCCACACTCATTGGCCCTATGCCCATTCCTGGTTGCACCATGCCCAGCATGGGATTGGGAGGCACAGGACTGGTGCGGAGGCCACTCAGACCAAGTGATGAGGGTTGAGGCGATATAGAGGTCATGGGCGGGGCCACGCCGAACGGGTTGGAGGAGGCAGGTGTTGGGGAAACGCCCCTACTTGAGATGGTGCTACCTGGAGTCACTGCCATGCCAGGAGCAGGAGAAGAGCCTGAGGGTCAGAGGTCACGGTTAGACAACACAGAAAAAAAACAAAACAAACCTCAACATGAGTCACATGAGAATATCTCTTTTCGCAAATATACTTTCAAGACATTTTTTATAAACATGAAGACCCCCTCCACTCTAAAATGTATTTTGCTTATTGTGGTTCACTTGGATGTTTGAGCTTGTTGACACTAGAATTCATCTAGAATTCAAAAGGGGAAAGTTTATCTGAGCTCTCCCTAAATCATGATGTATCATAATGTGGCATCACAACTTGTTGGACCACAACCGGGTCAAGTATGGACAAGTGTGATGTAGTGTGCACACATACAGTGAGAATGGAGTTCAGTAGACTTTTCATAGATTATGCATCATTTGATTAGGGAGAAAGAGTAAGTGTAATTTTGAGATTTCTTTGCTAAGTAATTTAACGTTCTTGCAAAAAAACAAAACATATCAGACAAAAAATTATTATTCCAAGCACTATAAATTATCATGTCTTAAAAACTTGTCTTTTCATTTTCTTTAAATTTCATTGAGTTTTCAGATCTCAAAACAGCAAGTGACAGTTGCACAAAACAACATAACATACATCAAATATTTCATCGGGTACTTAAGAGATATAGAGACATTCTCAGTTCCAAGTATTCCATATTTTAAGAGTAATGTTACTTGTTTGGCATCTCATATAATATAAATGAACCACCACATTTCCAAATTCATGTTAAAAACTGTTCTTTTAAACTGTTGCTGTGATTCAGTTCCCGTAAATCTTTAGACTTTTCAGTTTTTTCCAGTGAACAACCGACTAAAGCCTTTCAAGCTTTTTTGTTCTAGCTACAAGCAAATTTTTGTCATGCAGCTTTATTTTATGGTTGCATTCACATTATCCCAGAAAGCCTTTACTTTAGTGCAACTTCAGAAACATGAGTATGGTTTGCCTCCAGGTCACACAGTTGTTGGGTGCTTAACTGCTTTTGATTTTGGGGTGTTCAGAGGAACCAATTTTTTTCCCAGCAAAATTCTCCATTTGCGTGAGTTAATTGTAGTACACTGTGGTTTGTGACATTTAATTTGATCTTTTTATAAAGTGATTTAATCAAATGGTCTTTTTCTGCCAGCTGCATTTCATTGAATTTAATTGTGAATATGAACATGTTGATGATGGCATCTTAACCAGCATAGTTTATGTGGACCTGCATGGGTCTACCAAATAATTCAAACTACTTTCCAGGAATAGGGAAAGGCTTATCTCTTTCATCATCTTTCAGTGTAAAAAAAGTTGTTTCTCTGGTTACACACAGTTTACACGATAGCTGTAACTAACCTGTGTTCTGGAGGAAGGGGTTGTGCGCTGAAGAGGAAGAGATGGAGGGAGGTGGCGGCTGTTTGGGTTTGGGTTTAGATGACACCAGGGAATCGAGATCCACCAGCGATGCATTAGGGCCGAGGAAGGACTCAGGAGTCTTACGAACAGGAAGTGAGGAACCAAGAGACGACATATCAAAGGGCACCGGTGAGCCTGTGCTGTCACAGGCTGTTGCTGAGGACCCTCGTCGCTCCGGTTCCCCTGAGGAATAGAAAAGGAAAGTCAGGCACTGAAAGAAAATTCTTAATAAGCCACAATATAAAACATCATTACAACACATACTAGAGGAGGATGGAATGTAGGACAAGACAACTGTTCTGTGTGCATGCACCTGACAAGTCTGTAGCTTTATGTGGTATGAAAATGTACCAGTACCTTGGTGTTTGTGAGTCCATGTAGCTTTAAGTGTGAATGTACCTGTGCCGTTAGTGTGTTTGGCGGTGCCACTCCAGATGTCGGAGGTGATAGGGTCAGAGGCAGGGACAGGCCCGTCCCTTGCCCAGGGGTCTACTGGCCCCCCCGAGGAGGAAGTGCTGGGAGGCACTGGGGGGCCCCAGGGGTCGGCACTTGGGGGTGTCACAGCTACAGGGGAGGGGAGGAGACGCAGGGGAGGGGAGGGTTAACACAACACCTTACAGATACATTCCACAACAAGGAGGGAGCAGGAAGCTGGGCTGGGTTCCAACAGTGATGTTTCTCTCCTTAACCTCTTCAATACTGCTGACTGGACAAATAAGGACAGATGAAGGTAGATTTTCTGTCTGTCCGCCAACTTACTTTAACCTATTTAATATCTGAAGCTCAGTGGAGGTAAAGGAGAGATAATAAGAAGCTACCCCATACATTAAAAAGGCAAAAAAGGGCAAGAGAAGAGAGAGCTCTGGTTGAGACACAGCCACAGTCAGTCCTGAGTAGAAACAAGAGGATAAAAATCCCTGGTTTAGACACAGAGGGAGAATGGATTCAGCATGCGTGCTTTCCTCATTACAAAATGAAAGCATGTGAGCGAATGAGAAGTTGACCATCATGACAGGTGACATGACAGAAAATGTAACAGGGCTGTTATGTAGACAGGAAATGGAACGGTTGAGTGAAAAGGAGTAAAAGTCAAGAGGTCTTCAGATCCTCTTTCATCCACAGAGCAGGACACGGTTCTCTATAGATACTCAGTCATGAGGACTTTGCCACTAACCTTACTGGCTACAGAAGCAATACGTGACCAGCGTTGTAGCTGCGTACCTGAACTTCCCCAGGGGTCGACATTGTTAACTTTGTTGGACGTTTCTCCCCAGGGGTCTGGAGGTGGGGCTATAGTGGGTGGGGCTCCCCCACTCCAGGGGTCAGAGCTTGTAGGAGATGTGGGTGATGCCACCCCCCATGGGTCTGAGGGGGCTGCACCCCATGGGCCTGAAGCAGCAGGGGCAGAAACCGTGGGTGGAGGTGAGGGGCCGGCAGACCCCACAGTGGCAGTGGTGGCAGCGGCGGCAGCAGCAGCAGCAGGGGCCCCCCAGGGGTCCACAGCACTCAGCTCCATCAGAGCACCCTGAAAAAGAGAATATATTATGGATTACAAAATACAGTTGAAAAATCGGAGGAAATAATCACATCAAATGCTGAGATTCGTTAAGCGTGTTTAAAGAGGAAATGCGCAAAACTGAGAAGTAGAGTGAAACTTAGAGAAGTACAAACCAATGGACAGTCACATCAAATAGATGGTGAAAAATTCAGAATGAATTTCTGACAAATTCTCAGTTCCTTGTCTGTGCAGTGTTATTAAGCTTCCTAAAACTGACAAAATTTCTATCCTAAAGCCCATAGATTTAAACAGAAAAAAAGTTATTATTCATCATTGATAAATGACAATTGTGAGTTGCTGTGATATACACTCACCGAGCTCTTCATTATGAAGCACCTGTACACCTGCTTATTCATGACAATCATGCAGCAGCAGTGCAATGCATAAAATCATAGACAAGTCAGGAGCTTCAGTCCAGGTTCACATCAAACATCAGAATGTGATAAGTGACTTTGACTGTGGCATCATTGTTGGTGCCAGGTGGCCTGGTTTGAGTATTTCTGAAACTGTTGATCTCCTGGGACACAAGAGTCTCTAGAGTTTACTCAGAATGGTGCTAAAAACAGACAAATGAAAAAAAAACATCCAGTGAGTGGCAGTTCTGTGGATGAAGATGCCTTGTTGATGAGAGCGGTCATAGTAGAACCACATGCCTTGTGTCAACAGTCCAGGCTGGTGGTGGTGTAATGGTGTGGGGGAATGTTTTTGGGCCCTTTAACACCAATCAGTCATTGTTTGAACACCACAGCCTATCTGAGTATTGTTGCTGACCATGTGCATCCCCTCATGGCCACAATTAACCATCTTCTATGGCTACTTCCAACAGGATAATGTATCATGTCACAAAGCAAAAGTTGTTTCAAACTGGTTTCAAGAACATGAAAATGAGTTCAGTGTACTTCAGTGGCCTCCGCAGTCACTAAATCTGAGTCCAATAAAACACCTTTGGGATGTGGTATAACTGGAGATTGGTAACATGAATGTGCAGCTGACAAATCTACAGAAATCATGTGATGCAGTCATGTCAACATCTAGCAGAATCTCAAAGCAATGTTTCCAACATCATGTGGAAAACAGATCCAGAACAAAGGGAAGCACTCACTAGTATTAGTATGGTGTTCCTAATGATGTGCTTGTTGAGTGTACACACACTATACACCACCATGCAGAACATAGCTCTGTGCACAGCTATTTAGTGTTTAGTGACGTATACATGTTTGGTGGGTTGAGAGACACCGTTCCTGCAGATATTTTAGGCCCTGGGCTGAACAAAGCTACCAAGTTTATAATACTAATTACCACCTTCAAACATTTGACAGTATAAAATGCTTGTTAACCCTGCAATCGAAAGAAAGTGAGCACAGCAGCATCTCCTGGTTTTGAGTATGATCAATATATTCTAAATAAAATTCAAATTTTCACACTGACCTATATCAAATGGATATTTGACTTGACTGGGTTTTAAATATTGTGGCTTTGGATACAAATATAGAATATGTAACCCTGTTTGGATGGGATTGTTACCTTGGGACAGGTTTTACATATAGAGGATTTGATCTCTTCTAATGCAAGTCATTTGTACAATTGCCACACTAGTAAAGATTCAGTATCGGATTTATTTAACTGAACATGCTATTGCTGCAGATGTATCATTACTACCATTTGAAATGATTTATGATTAAACAGATTTAACTAACTGCTAACACAGTGCTCAAGTGCACATTTCCACAGAGTTGGGAAAACTAAGAGAGAGAGACAGCGAGAGACACCGCTTCAGGAGATAATGCCAAGAGAGTGAGAGATATACAGATACATTTTACACAGACCTCCTCTGGCTTCGGTTTCTCCCTCTTGCTCTCCTCAATGGCCATCTGCAGTCTCAGGTCATCACCTCTGCGCAGTCGTTCCTCCTGCCAATCACACACACCGTGATGTCAGCAACCTGAGACACACAACCTCATAAAGCACACCACAGATACAGATTTAGGACCAGTTTACCATTCCACAATTTAAGTCTGAATCTGTGGGAGTGGAATCTGAAAACCTGTAATTGTTATATACTTTCAACAGATAAGTAACTCAAATGGACCAAATCCTAAATCCCAAAATACTTCTGCAAAACATGGTTAAATCAAAAGATTGTACATGTGCAGTTTTACACAGAAAATAAGCTCAATGGGAACTGCTGTCAAGGCAACCTAAAATAAAATTCAGAACTCCCGAGCATAAACAAAAGTTTAAATCCAATACTTAAGCTGCATGTAGTGGACTATCTTCAGCATCTAGCCTACCTGGAGCATAAAGCGTTGCAGTAAAAGTGGAAATGAACCAGACTTTACAAAAGCAATACTAGCCAATAAAAAATCCCACCTTGATCAGCACTGATAGAAATCTTGGAGATTGACTCGGGACATCCCAACCTAATGCTACTTTTTATCCTACCTCATTATAGGGAAGACTGACTATCAAACAGAAGCACACTGACTAATCCATGAGGAAACAAGCTTTCTCTGCAAAAGCCCTGAACAAGTCTGATGCTTGATGTCTCTGAGTAACATTAACAATGGCATTATCCTTTAAAGCCCCTGCATTAGTTTATAGACTAAAACCAGTCAAGTGCTGCGGGGGGGCAGGACTGTAACCATTTGCATACATCAGACACTCAGTAAACACAGCACATGAAAGTTACAACAACAGGAGATAGGTTTAACAGGTAAGGAAATGAGTGTGTTTCATATCAAGACTACAGATGAACGCATGCTATCAGAGAGGGTAAGAAGGAGGAAAGAATCATCAATGCTTAGAAACCACTCAATGTTTAATTTAGTCAATTATGACAAATATTTGCCAATGGCATGCAAATTCAACAATCAAATTAGAGTTAATCAATTTATTCAAGGGCTCACTTTTGTGCAGTTTTAATACATCTTGACTAGGATTTGAAAAGCACCTACTTAGCACACTTTTTTATGAGCGCAAGCACTACAAAAGAACATGACACTGTACAGCAAACTAAATTATTGCAACAGTATAGCTGCAGTCTGATGCAAATTTGTATCTTGAGGAAAATGACACATGACAAATATGAGCATAAATTCATTTTTCTTGATTGATCAATGCTTGATATGTGTTTGAGAAATTCCAAATGACAGAAACACGGATAGCTGATGACTGGCTGGCCAGTCACCTGGGCACACTCTCTGCCCCTGACCTTTTGGTGCATCTCTTTGCTGAGTGTCATTGCATAGCGGAGCTCTGCGTCCTCCAGAGGGTCCTTGCTAGTCTGGGGGAGGTCAGGGGGTTACATGGTGAGAGCAAATCTAGGTGTATGTAGTGAATAACATCAGTGATATCCCTCTGTGTACACAGGTGCTGCAACAGAACATAGCTCTGTGTGCCTCCAGTGGTCTGCTTTGTGTTACCTGCTCTGCTTCTTCTTTACTCATCGCCAAAGCCAACTGGAGCTGCAGGTCTTCCTCTCCAGAGCTCTGTGGCCAGGCCTGCTCAGGATCTGCCCCTCCAGAGTGGGATCCCAATGAAAGGCTGCCCCCCAGACTGGGTGCTGAGGGAGCTGAGGAAGCTAGAGCAGAAACAAAAATGCATATACACAGAAGAGAACTTGTTGTAGATTATCAAATACTAAACTAGTGAACTACTACTACTAAACTAGAGGCCCTTTATGCTTTTGTAAGGCAACTCCTCTTTCAAGGTGTAATATTGTAACACTGAGCACTGGTTGAATCTATGTAAACAGTGGTGAAAGTAGCCATCTCACCACTGGAGGTCTGTGCCATCTTCTCTTTGGTTTTGAGGGCGTGGATCCTCTCCTCTCTTAGTCGCTCCTCGTCTTTCAGCAGTGTCACCAGCTGTTTGGCTTTCTCTCGCACATTAACCCCCTGGAAAAATATAGGTATAAGCAAATTACCATTTTTTTATGTTAAATATAACACTCACACTATTAATAACTAATAGAGTTAGTTACATTGCAAATCTTATTGTTCAACAGCTTGTTAACTTACCACAGTTTCAGTTATCAACAACCCATAAAAACTTTTATAGCTGGCATTGTACGTTTGCACAAGAGCTCAGAAACTCATTGTAATATGTCCTTGAATGAATGGCAAAGTGAGACTGTATTCCATGAAGGTGAAGCCTTACTCTTTGTGGACATGGGTGTGTTTGTGTACCTGGTCTTTGCCGTCCCTGTCTATGTACTGGAAATCCTTGAGGGTCTGGACTGCGTATATGTTCTCTCGGCACTGTTGGGCAACACGTTCTGAACCAGTCTTGATCAGGTACTCCATAAGAGTCATAGCCTGGTGAAAATACAAATCACAAACACTCAGCAACTGTAGAAAAGGTCTGTATACTGAGGTAATAAAAATGCAAACATTTAAGCTGTTGATATGTCCCCTTATTAGATTCTAATCCATTCAAACGGAGTCAGCTGGTGCAGAACTGGGAATCACAAAATAACTTTATGTGAAAAGTCAAAAAGACTACTCCTAAAATCTATAACCCATACATTTAATAAATCCATTCGTGTCTGAAATCACTCCTTCACTTACTCTTTGACTACTCTTACAAAAAACAGACACTCAATAGTTTACCATATAGTGGGCAGTAATATGAGATTTTGGACAATTCTGAACCAATGTCATTCTGCATCACCACAGTGTTTAATGACTAGAATTTTTGCATCTATAAAATGGGACACATTGGATTGTGGGATTGTTTACAGAGATGGACATAGAGTGGAAGGCACCTAAGAAACATACCTTCATTCCACTGTGGTCATTTTTGAAGGAACTATGTGGTACAAATTTCACATTCACAGTGCAATATATAGTAATTAGGGAGTGAATATGGACACACTCTGGTGTCAGGATATCATAATGCTGCATAATACTGTAAACCCAATACTGTAATATTAGTACCTGTGCATCAAAACTGTATAGTTAGAGAATGCATTGCAATATTAGTACACTACATTGATTATGTATCAAGAATATGTATGCTGAAATACTGCCACAGCAGTTATTCCCAACTTCAACATACACACACCTTGTACACATGTCTCCAGTTCTTGCCGTGGTCATTGAGGCGCTTCCACACCATGCTCATGATTTCTGAGAAGGCCACAACATTGTAGGTCAGATCAGCAATCTCTGACATCAGAGAGCTGCTGGGGCCCCATGGGTCATTGGATGTCGCCTCTCTCACCTGGACAACAACATAGCAGGGGAAACACTTTAAATTACCTTCCATTAAAACTGCCTGTGATAAGAATAATTTTGAACCATTACTTTGTGACAATTTAATGGGCCACACTGTTCTCAGTAGCAATGAAAACTTAATCACGACACAAGCTCAAGAGAGGCAAAAGAATGAATGGATAATATGATTAGATTAGCTCATACTGCATATAACAAGGGGAAAGACTGAGGAGGTTGCTTCCAAGAAGTATTAGATTATCAGCAGCTACATAATGTAATTTGTGCTGCTGAGATATATGGGCTACAATTTAGTTGTGAACATATGGGGGGATGCAGGTGTAAAAGAGAGAAGAAAAGACATAAGCACAAAGGGACACTCAACCTTGATTTCAGCCTCTGAATAGTTGTGGACGATGTTCTTTACTTGTCGCCGTAGCGATGAGGTCGACATGGCAACGGTCTGACCGCTGAGTTCTGCTGCAATCTGAAGAGCAGACGGAGAAGAAGGTTGTAAAGTTTAGTTAATATAATACAAACAGTCATGGGGCAAAGAACATTTGTCTAAACAACAGATTAATCTGTAAGACTTAGTTTGTAGAACAGAGCAAGAAGATTAAGAGTTAAAAAGACTGAGAAGATGTATCCAAGTACAAGACTCTGAACAAAAGAGTGGGAGACCTTGAGAAGAACAATCAGTGTGAAGTGAAGGATGGCATTTATACCAAAAACCAATCTTAAACTATATGACTGCTGGTATCAACAGAGGGAGAAAAACAACATTAAGCACACCTGTTACACAAGAATGATGCAGAATAAGGGTCTCTCCTCTAGCTGTCTTATTCGTTTCTCTATCTTGTGCACCACTCATTCAGGGAGTGTTTTGTCTCGGTTTGTCTGGTTCTTCCCGTGGCAACATTGGGTCTCAAAACCGTAGGCGTAGGGAGATGGAAACTATGGAGCAAGATTGAGATTAACATTAAAAATAAATGCATAGTTACTTGCAGATTAAATCACAACAAACAGTCAAGATAAAACTTAGGCAAGGACTAATTCCAAAGGAACCATTATAGAATAAGGACAAAGGAGATATTCAGCAACAACGTCACATGACTTTTTGCTGATCCACATGCTTCATAGTCAGAAATACAACATATTAGTTATATGCTTTGTCTTACTCAACCTTACTTACTTAAACTAAAGGTTCATAAACCCAGAAAATAAATGGCTTGAGAACAAAATGCAATTTTATAAAACAAAAAAAACAAAACACACACAAAAAAAACATGCTTTTCCTCAAACTTAAAAAAAATAACCTCAATTGACAAAAATTGGAGCAGTGGTTTAGCTGAGCTGGAAGCCAAGTGTTTTGGAATAAGACACATGGTTCACATGCTCAAGTAAACATTTTATCTCAAACTCATTATAAGTCAGTATATTCACATTTCAAAAACATTCAAGCAACTTCTGTTTCCTGCAGGATAAAGCTATGCAACCGAAATACTAAATAAAATATTGTTTTTCTGAACAGAAAATAATTTTTCAATTCCGCTGCCTCCTACATAATAACATGTATCTATGTACTTAATTCCAGGTAATAATATTCTTATCATTACAGTGATTACACAATTAATTTTTATCTTCAATTCATATTACCAGGCTGCAAAATCTAGTAGCCCTCTGAGAGACCGAGAGTTTACCCAACTGTTTATTACCGACTGTGAGGGTAATAATGAGAGACAGAGGTTTAAGCTAACCAAAAGTGTGCAAATATCAACTTAATAAAATGCTATGTACAAGGGCATCTCAGAACATACAGTTGTCAAGCCTTGAAACAGCCAGTCTATGGTTAAAAAAAAATACAAAGTTTTAATCCTGTCAGTTATTAACAAGAGGTTGAACATAAAGTGAGCATGTTATCAGCAAAACTACATTAATGACAAATGGTAGAAGCATTGTCTGCTACGCTGGTGTCGGCATGCGAATTTGACAGAAACACCATGGACTCATTCTGTCTGCTGTTGGTGGTGTAATGACATGTGGAGAATGATTATGTGGTACAGTACAGAATCCCTCAGGACCTATAAAGCCTTGTTTGTATTTAATTGTTTACACAGTAGGCTGAAATGTTGTTTCTGACCAGATGCATCCATCCATGCATCCATTCACAACTACAGCCTGCATTTTCAAACCAAATGTTCATCTCTTCAACTGCATTAAACAGAAAAGAGGAGGATGTTGGAGGAATTTAATATAATCTTAAAACATAGTGCTCTGCCAATCCGTTAACTGCTATCTCTCAAGAAACAAATTCAATATGGCACAATTTCTTTGCTGGAGAAGAAGATGATGAACCCATCCTACCCACTGCATGAGCATCTCCCTCTAACCAGGGAAATTAGGAAAGACTGGCAACTGATTTACAGTGTTGCTCTTTCCATTCCCCCAGTAGTCCTTCCTGAACAAAGCACTCATACTCCACAGTGACAGGGAAACACACAGACTGACCTCTGCATCATGAACTGTTATAGGCATAAAAAAAAAATCTACATGGGTATAAACTACAAACAAAACACATTTGAGGAGATGGGAACAATGCATTTATGCATTCTTTCTTAAAAAATGACTCACAACGATTAACCAACTATAAAAATAGATCTGGAGATCAGCTCAATGATTAATCGACTAATTGTTGCAGCTCTATGTGTGTGTTCTTTTTATTTATTTATTTTTAGCAGTGTAAAGACGAATAGAATAAACTGTAACTTTCTCAATTTTTGAGGACTGTTTTCAACAATCAGTATGAAACAAACTTATTTATTGATAAACTATACAAATAATTTGTTCAGGTATCAAATCTACTTTGGCAAACCAGTAACATGACAAACATAATATGTATACATAATAAGGACACAACTGTCTTGTGTACTTTTAAAGTGATGTAAATTAACCTGACACATATAGCTGGCATAGATTTGTAGGTCAGACAATTATGAGATCATGTTGCATAACTTAAGGCAAGCATTGCAAAAGTCAGTTCAGCGACTCCTGAAGCTCTGTATCAAAGTTCAGACACGCCAACAAATCTTTGATAAGGGACATAACATGCCTCTTGTATCTCACGCTTCCCGTTCATTCATATCTCCACAATCTCTGACATCATGAGTGAAAAAATAAGTTTAATTGACGACATTTAACAAGCGGGAAAGAAAATAAAAAATCGTTGTATTGTCTTTCATGACAGCAAGATACCTTACTTAGATCAGCTCACAGCTAGCTAAGGTCGAGCTTAATGACCTGCTGTAGCGAATGATTGAATATCAGTAAATAAGTTACACCCACGCTATGATATGCAGGCGCTATTAGGTCGCACTACATAGATTAATAACTATGCAAATAGTTGGCATTAAACCCAAGCTAACTTATTCCTCCTATCACCTGCATGCAGTTGACGTTGCACAGACAAATGAAAAAGTTACCCCCACCCAGTCAGCCTGCACATAGATAACGTTAACAATCGTTGCAGAGGCACACAACTGCACTTTTCCCTGTCACATCAACCAAGTTAGCTAGCCAACGTAATGCCAGCAGTCTAACAGTCCACCGTTAGTTATGCTAGCTGACCACCTGATAACTGACGCTGGTAAAGTGAGTTAACGGGTACCCTCACATTATACAACAGTGTTCACACGGGCATACCTGTGTCACAAAGTCTGTGTGCGAAAGACAAGTTTAAGAGAATTTAATGAAGACAGGCAGCCAACTAACGTTAGCTGTCATTTTGGTGCTGTTAGCTTACATTAGTCAATTAGCAAGCAACTCTTCCATTCTCACCTAAGCTAATCGAAACAGTTGACTAGCACTTTGCCACCGGGGTCTGGGTAAAGTTTAAACACCGATACGGAATGGTGCTGCTGGGTACCAATAAGTGGATAAACAAAAGTCCCCGTCACAGCAGTGAATCCCACCGGACCAAAAACAAAGGTTAAGGTTACCTGCCAGTTTGACTGATGGAAGAAATCACTTGCTGCTGCTAGGAAAGATTAGCCAGCTAGCAGTTAGCCGGCTAGCTGCTGCTAGTTCGCAACTGGCAACAGGACTGCTACACTGTACAAGTTTTACCGAGGACACGTCCTGCTTCAGGGCAATGCGGAATATGCACGTTTAAATTTCAGGCCAAAATGTCAAAAAAATGTTGACAACACACCACAATAAATATCCAAATAAAGTGTGTACTGACCCTGTTGTAGCTTGACTGTACGAGGAGATGGCCGAATTTCCGCTTCCGTTCTCGGCTACAGGAAAGACCGCACCCCCCGTAGCTTTGTTTCCCTGGGATGGTAGTAGGAAACTCATGAATAATTAATTGAAATTTTTAACAGCCAGAATTAAAGTCCCAAATAAAAAAGATATATAAAACGGTGCTCTATTAATGTGCAAAGCCTTCAAAAGAGAGATAGGGGCGTAACTTTTTGAGTGGTTCGTTAATTTTCAAATTATGTCTTGTAAGAGGAAGAAATCACATCATCTTTCAAAGCTCATGTGAACATTTTTAAAGGTTTGTTGTGCTTTCTTTCTTTCTTTCTTTCTTTCTTTCTTTCTTTCTTTCTTTCTTTCTTTCTTTCTTTCTTTCTTTCTTTTGGTTTGTTTGTTTTTAGGCTACGTTTTGCATGCAAAATGATAACCTTGATTATACACCATACACCAATGCAGAGAACAGAATGGTGCTGTTTAAGGCACTTATGAAAAATATCTAAGTATTGGAAAATATCAAAGTTTGTTTACCATAGTAGGCTACTCCCCTTAAGAACAATTTTCTGTTGGCTTCGTGTACTTTCCTTGAGTATTTTCAATTTATGCTACTTTATACTTCTACTCCAGTTAGTTTCCCGAGGGAAATATTGTAATTCTTACCTCACTACATTTATCTGTCAACTATAGTTTCTAGTAATCAGAGTACTTTTTCCACCGGTGCAGAGACATCATTAAGATGATGATGGTGATGGACAGTGTTTAAAATCGATCGTAAATAGAAACTGCCACATTTTCTGTCTCCTAATAAAAGAATTATCTATGATTTAATTAATTTGTAATAATCTTAAAAAGCTTAAAAATTTGCTTAACCTATTTTTGTGTTTACTGGACAACCTAACCCAATGCATATAGCTCATTGTGACTTTAAACTGTAAACTTTATCTGCTGTTTAAATGATGCCCAAAATCAAAAAGAGACATTATCATAGTCACCATCATAATCGTGATCATTATGAAAAGTTTTCTTCTTAGTGTCTCAATAGGGAAGCAAAGTGAGAAAAATCATACCTTAAACTTCACTGATAAATCATGTCATGTAATGCACTACATCATTTGTGGTTTATCCTCAGTAGTGCTATACCCCACACTGTCCACAAAGAGGCATCCTCGAACCACCTCCAGCATCAAGTGAAACCAGAACAGCTTCGTTCAGAGTCAACTGTCCGTTGAACCATAAATAACACGGTAAGCCCCTTAGATCAGAACAACACAGTAACAGCTGGTATGCATGTGTGTTACAAGCTCCCCCTTTTATCCTACATCCCTTTATCCTTTTATCTTTGCCTCCTCTCCAGGGAGGTGGGGACTGAAGAAAGCATTGCAGCATGACTCAAACAAACTATATAACTGTAATGGGCTGTTGCACTACTTTGGAAACACTAATCTCATGAAGATAAACAAAAAATGCCGGCGATTACAATAAGCATAAAAGCTATTTTGACAGGTGTTGTTCTACTGTTATGTCACAGAGAAACTTTACACGTTGTTTCCTTTATGGTCAGTGCTAATCTGTTTGAAGAGCTTAGTTTGAGACACCATGACTCTCTTTTGAAACAAAGAAAAGTATTGAAACCAAGCTGAGTAATTTAATTTGCAAAAACTATTTAAATCCTTCACACTCAATCATGGATTATTGATATTTGACTTCACAGAATCATGAAATTAATGTTTGTTTTGCAGTCTATAACCTAAATTAACCTTCTAAATCTCAAGGTAACTCAATAAATGTCTGTTGTTTTAACAATTTAGAACAAATTCTGGCACAATGACAGTTAGACTTTTAGATCGCTTTGTCTCTGTCGGCCCAGGTTTACTTTACTGTCTTAAAACTAAAGTTACACCCACCATATCCTAGTTTTCTTTTGTTTATTTGTGATACATACATATATATATATCATATATTTTTATATACTGTATATATTTGTGATGTCATGCTGTCAGATTGTGCGTTGTATGTATTGTCTTTCTTTACATCTTTCTTTGCATCCTGCACTATTTACCCTGAAGCTGTAATGTGTAGAAAATCTCTAGAACACCAATTCCCTTGGTATAAACTCTCTGAGACTCACTGAGGCTTTTTTCATCATTCCCAAACTGTTGGAGTTCTGAAGAGCTTCATCCTCAAATCTGTGGCCTTTCTTTCATTGCACCATTCCCACTGCACATACCAGGAAATGGAAACCTAATGTGATCTGTACAACTTTTGTGCTAATATATCTAATTAAGGACAAACAAATATGACTCTCTGGAATAAAATATTACTTAAATACTTATGCCATGTTTCTTTTTTAGAAGAAAGAGGCTAAAGGTCTTGGGGTCTTCTCTTTCAGTTAATATCATGTTAAATTATAATGTACAGTTAAAGAGAGCTGGAAGAGAAGACCTTCTCTTGTGTAAGAAGAATTTCCTTTTTTAGTTGTGAAAAGCCCAAAGTAACCAAATAGCAAAGACACATGTTGTGTAACTTGCCAGTAACTGTCAGCAAAGATGTCCTGAGTGTGTTCTCTTCTCCAAATGTTCAAGAACTATCAGAATTCATGTATGCATAGTGACTACATTTTGTACAAGTGTGTGTGTGTTACACACTTGTGCAGTATTTGTGAATGAAAGTGACTCTTTCTTGGCATCAAGTCATGCAAAGCGATGAAAGTTGAACTTTGCTGGTGGAGTGGCGAAGCTGGTTGTCACAGCAGGGGCCGACGGACCCTATGGTGCAAGCACAAACATGGAAATACATATTGGTTATTGGCGGCCTCAGCATGGCAGTGGTAGTAACCTGAGAGGCGACCAGCCGTTGTGATAGCAGCCAGTGTTTGTGTTACATAACGCACAGCCACCAAGCCAGTGGCAATAATAGTACTGTAGTATGTAGTAGCAGGAGAAATCTATCTGAGCGGACAGAAAGAGGAGGAGAGTGTCAAAGCCATGGGAGCTGGAGAAGTGGTCTGACCTGCAGCTGGTGCTAAGAAGGAAACAGAGCTGGCATGAAGACAGTACAGAATGAAGCTGTTTTGTAGGGCAAGCTTTCAGCTGTTAGCTATGTCAGTGTGTGATGATAGGCAATAATATGCATTTGGAAGGAGACAAGGGGAGATTTTAGAGTGGAGGAGTAAGACGAAGGGGAAAAATTGGTCTGCTGGTGATAAAAAGTGACAGATGAAAATCTGGAAGAAGTTCTTCATTGTAGAGTCAAGAGACAGGATGGTGTCATGGGGAAATGAGATGGATTTAATATATTTCAAATTATATTACTTTTGCCTCCTACAGAGTCAGACAAGAATGAAAGACAGACAAGAAGAAAGGACAATGATATTGGGCAATAAAAGGATCCACATGTGGCACACTTATGTGTACCCCATAATCCCAACAAGATTCAGGGATCATGGGTGCAGCTTGTTGGCCTATTCCGATCATTCCAGCATACCTGTTGATTAAACGAGGAATCCTACACTGTGGGGGGAATTCACTGACTCAGACTGACTGAGAGGGTGAGAAAGAGAGAGAGACATGGAAAGAGAAAGAGGAGGAGAGGGGTAGAGTGGGGGGGGGTGTTTGGGCACAAAGTGAGTGACAGCTGAGGAAAGGGGAGGCAAGAGAGCGATGGGTTAATGTGGTCAGTCTGACTGACAGATTGGAAACGGTGGGATGGTAACACTGCTGTGTATACGAGGAGAGAGAGAGGGAGGAGTGGAGGAGCACAGGGTGGGGTGGGGGGTTGAAATACCTTGTAGCTGGTTCATGCGTATTTGCCAGCATAACAGGCCAGAGGCTGGGAGAGAGGGTTGGCACAAGAATAGGAAAAGAGAGGGAGAGAGTTCAGTGTGTGTCTCCTGGGGAGAAGCACACAGTCAATATTCAGGTCTCCAGTAAACATTTATGACCCTCCTCTATAAAGCTGCTGTGCTACTGCATGGACCCACGGAGCAGAGGCAAAAATATCAACTTCAATTCCACTTTAATTATCGCCTAGTCAAGGACACACAGTAGATCTCCAGCATAAACCAGTAGCTAGTTACACTGACAGCAGCTTGCAAGGCGTTGAAAGTCTTTCTTTAGATGCTGAAAAGAGTCCAGACAAAGTGACCAGAGATCAACCAACTGAACAGAAAATGACAGTAAGTATTGCACTTTATTCCTGTGAAGCTAAATGCAGCATCAAACTTTTACATACACACTTAAGCAACAGCTTTATGGGTTAGCTCATGCTCAAAAAAGTCATCACATTGTTCTGCAAAACAAACAAACAAACAAACAAACAAAAACAATGGCAACAAAGACATAAATGTAATAATTTTCTGTATGTGCAAACGGTTGGGGGTTTTAAGTATGATATTACAAATGTGTTTTTGCAACTAGGCTATATGATGAGGTGACATGCAGGCACGGCACAAATGCATCAGTGGCTTTTTATTGTAAAACTGCTCTGAGGCTGCAAAGGTTTGATAAACAATGTTGTTGAAGGGATTTTCAGCTTGTAACGTTGAGCACCTCTACTGGACTTCAAATCTGTTAATGATGTTAGCTCCAGCAGAGCTCTTATTAAAATCTCAGATCACTTTTTGCTCCATGCCAAAGGCCATTTACTAGTAAGGGTTTAATTAATAATCACCTCAGCTTTCAAGGACACGTAAAATGTCAGGGTGCTTGCGATGCAATGAATGTTTTAGATGCATACGCGATAATTTATGTCTCAGAGCCATTAAATCAAACTTAAACTGTGACATGGATAAAACTCCAGCTGCAAGCAATTCTCAAAATGTAATAAATTATATTCATTTCATTTGGCATGAGTGGAATGTAGAGCAGCTGAAGAATGTGATACACATAACCCGTGTTAACAACTCTGTGAAAGAAACCCAATTGAGATTTGAATTCAGGATTTACACACTGTGCTTTGAGCTCAAAACTGTGAAAAGACGTACATGAATATACATAGACAACATAGCTCGGTGTCTATTACATTCTCGTTTCCTATAATATCACTTTTATCAATGTGCACATACAGTAAGTTGATTAATATGAGGATTCCTGTTGAAACATCATGTCCTCAATTTTACCTTCTGTGCATTTGGTAACCGTCCCAAATGCAGTGTTTTTGTTTGTCTGTGAGTTCTCTCAGTGACTGAAAAGGTGACCTCTTGGACACATAAACCGAAGCCTATTGGTGCACCTATAGAGCAACATCAGTTAATACGCCATTGATCTTTAAGCAGCCCACTATTGGCTCTGTTTAAAATAGCGCTGTCTTGGTAATATCTGTGCCAAGCAGCACTCGGACTGGCTGAAACCTGCAGTCTTATTTTTGGCTGCACATCAGATCCATTTATTTGTCAGGCAGGAACTCATAACTGAGATCCATCCATTTTCTAAACTTCTGGCATGGCATTGCTCAGATTACGTTCATGAATAAATCTTAAGTGTCATATGGCACCGTTTGATATGTTACCACCAACAGAGATTTATTAGTGATTGGAAAATGTCGAACCAGAAAATTACATTGATATTAGTGCAATAACCATGAGGAGTGTTACAGGTGTTTACAAGAACATAACAGAAGTAATCAGATCAAAATTAAAATCAGTTTCCCACCAAGCTCAGTTACACAACATGTGGAAGGTCAAAATTAAAAATATGTTATCCTCCTGCAATCACAACATCTTTTGTGTTAAGCTGTGTGTCGTAACTGTTCACACCCTTCCTAAGAGGGGGGGATCTACTTCAAAGGAAGCCATCGTGGATGTGACTTCACAAAACGGAGAATGACAGTGGAAACTGAATGACAGCGCCAAATGTTCTGATCACGCTGATAAGACATCACCTTGACGTCTGAAGTTTATCCTGTCTATGGGACAATGGAGATCAAGGCAGATCAGCAGAAAGCAATAACGCAACGCAATATGTTCCACTGGCTTCTGCTGAGATGGCACAAGCTTCTTCGACTCAGAGTCGGAGTGTGTAAATGAATGCACTCTCGGAAAACAACAAAATCCTCTTGAGTCTCATGATGTAACACGTCACTATTGCAACTAATGAGGTATATGAGATTTAAAGTTGCCAGGTCCTCATTGCGCAACGAGCCATGTCACAGGTTCAGGTGACACATCAGTATGTGGACCCTTAAAATCAGATTCAGATTCTGTGGTGCTATTTATCATCAGCATCAACACGCCACTCAAGCAGTAGATCTCCTTTCTCTTGACGCCACCAAACCAATCATCGTAAGTAGACACTGAATATGGATTTGTGTGTGTGTGCGTGTGCTCTTTAGGCGGCAGCAGCTCAGGAACTTGATGAGCTATGTTTCCTGTCGGCGCAGTCCATGCCCACTCTGAAAGTGTCCGAACACTTCCAGATGGTAAAGCTCCTGGGAGAGGGATCCTACGGAAAGGTCATGTTGGCTGTTCACAGAAAGCGAGGTTAGTGCAAGACTCAAGGTGAAAGGTCATGGCAGCTTTTTTATGTCTCAATTCGAGCAGTCTGTAAGATTGTGTGAAATGTCCATCAAACTTCCTAATGCTTGTCTATTTAATTAAGAGTTTTGATTACACCTTTGAGCTCCCACTGTCTAATCTGAAGTAGATGAAATGACATAACTCCACTGCAGCACATTTATCTCAGGCTCATGTTTCTTTCTAATGAAGAAACTACCCATGTTGTGTGGGGTCAGTGCCGCAGTAAGGTGAGGACAGATCTGTCTTTTGATAGTGTTCACTTAACCTTTTGCGCCTCTGTTGCTGTAATGAAGTGCTTTGGTACATTCTCTGGGATAGAGTTGCTGCAACTGGGGTACAGCCGTGAAACAGAGTCTCCCCAAAGGGGAAGTTAAATTTGTTTGCAGTGTCATTGATGGATAACACTCACATTGCATCAATGATGGCAGTTTGTTATTGAAATCTGACTAAAGCTCATTAGATATTGTAATATTCAACACGTCTCATCTTGCTTCATTCCTCTCAGGAACTCCTATGGCTCTGAAGTTCTTCCCTCGTCAGTCAACTTCCCTCTCCTCTTTCCTGCGTGAATACAATCTCTCCCTGTCTTACTGCACCCATCCTTCTCTCACTCGGGCTCTTGGCATCTTCTTTTCCACACCAACCTACTATGTGTTTGCCCAGCAAGCCGGCCTGTATGGTGACCTCTACAGTGTAATAGTGTCAGAGGTCAGTTTTGCTGATTTGTGGCATGAAATGTGTTTTTGATGCCCTCTATTTCCTCTAATTTCAGCAGAACAAAAGCTTGCATGAATGTGCAATTGGCTTGCAGCTCTGTCACCTAGAAATAACATTCGTATCCTACTAATATACAACAGCAGATATGTTTATAAAGAACCGTTACTGCCACCCACATTACTGTTTCTATCAACATAATGTGGAAATGTTGTCAGACTGTTTCTTGCAATCTGACATGAATGTTGCTAATGAACGCTTCTGCAAAAGGTTTAATGAGAATGTATTTCATTTGGTTTCCCTGTAATTTCTGCTATTGCAACACAATGCTGCTTGAGGCAACTAAAGCTAAAATGCTTTCTGTGTGTGTCACAGCACTTTGATATGGAAAAAGTCAGCTGTGACTTAAAGCCTGAGAAAGAACCTTTTTACTTTATCATCATTTAACCAAAACCACAATCTTTCCCTGACCTAAACCAAAGTACTTTTATCATGTATAGAACGTATCACTTCCTTCTCTAGAACAACATGTTCCCTGTGAACATAATCGAAGCTGCAAAATGCAACGCTGCAACAGTCTGAAAGTCTTAGTGTGTGTCTGCAGTGAGACTTTCTTAAAGGGGATTTTGCGGAAAGTGTAACTGCTGATCCACTCTTTTTGAGCTTTCATTTCTGTCAGCAAAAACTTGGGACGTGCTTGCTAATGGATTCCAGGTCACCCTCTTCTTTGTTAGTGTCACTGCCAGTAACATAATAGAGTGCTGATAAGAGTAAGGGCACCCTGCTCTCACCCTGCTCTCAGTGAATGAAGAGGGAGTACATGAGGCAAAGCAGGGATTTCCAAGAGCATCATCAACCATTTTGATGACGCAGAGTTTGTTTGACTTTGCGCCAACGATGTAGTGTTCTGACCAGACTCCATCTAATCTTCATCGTTTTGTCTAAACTGAAAGCTAAGTTATAAGTAAGTGTCTGATCCAGACTATCTCTCTGTTTTAGGTTGGGGTGGATGAAGAGTGTGTTCAGAGGGTGATGGCCCAGCTGAGTGGTGCTGTTTCACACCTCCACTCCCTGGGCTTCGTCCACCGTGACATCAAACCTGAGAATATCTTCCTGTGTGACAGTTCCTGTCGCTGGGTCAAACTGGGAGACTTCGGCCTTGCCCGAGCCATCGGCTCCACCGTTCGAGCTGTCTGGTACGATTCGCCCTTCTGTACTCCTGAGGTGGAGCCAGCTAAGGAGGCTGAGAAGGAGATGAAGAGGAGGTTGTGCGAGGGGACTGAAGATGAGATGGAGGACATTTGGATAACAGTGGAGCCCTGTATTGACAGCTGGGCCCTTGGTGTACTCGTCTACTGCCTACTGACTGGATGCTTCCCCTGGGAGGAGAGCACCCACGATGACCGTGGTTACCATAGATACCACGAGTGGTTTAACCGTGAGGCGGAAAAGGAGGAGAAGATCAGTGAGGAGGACACTGACAGTTACATAATCATGGCGGAAAACCAAAGGGACAACCCTCCTCCATCACAGTTTGAGGGCCTCAGCCCACTTGTGATGACTCTTTTCAAGGAGCTGCTCCACCCTGAGCCCAGACAGCGAGGAAGCCCGGAGGAGCTCCTGAGCTACCTGGGAGGGCCGTGGCTGATGGAGACAGAGAGAGTGGAGAAGAGGAAAGCAGAAGAGGCAGAGAAGGAGGCCAGAAAAATAAGAGAGGGAGGAGGGGTGGAGGAAGAGCTGGTCAGGGAGGGAAGAGGGGAGAGATAAACTTTGTCTTTATAAAATTGTTTCAAGACAAATTTTTAATGAATGTAACATTGTTGCAATTTATTTTTGAGTGTAAATATAGATTTTACTCCTGTGCAAATGTATACACTATAAGGTGCTGTATATTTCATATTTTTTATAAATATCCTTACTAAAGTTACCGCTTCCATTGTTGCATATATTTCAGTGTGTGCGTATTTGTATGTATGTGTGTCTTAATGAGAAGAGACTTTAGTTAATACAAGAAACATTTGTTGCCTGAAACCTTGAGATATATTATAATGGCTATAAAATATGTTTTGGAATTGTTGTCTCAATAAAGTCTGAACTCTTTGTGTTAACATGAATCTCTCATGAAATTTACACACGCATATTAAATCAAGCCAAGTGGGGTTTTTTTTATGTAGCACAAAACTTATGTTACAGTCTTGTGATGTAAAGGATTCTTGAATGGCACTTCTAGATGAGACAGCTTGTTGTCTATTTTAAGTACAGCCATGCACTAGAACACTGTACTGCCCCCCCCCCACCCCCACCCCCCCCCACTTCTGCAGTGTTGCTGCTGCAAACCCCTACCCAACCTGAGACAGTCACTCAGGCACCTGATGTTTCTTGACTAAAACATCAGTATTTCTGATGCAGGACGGGAAGCGATCAGGAGACATTTAAAGCCACAAAATTGGAAAAAAAAAAAAACCCTAACCCACTGATTTCATTTAAGAATACATAAAATAATAATAACTTAACAATTAACTTAATAAACTAGTAAACACATCATTCATTAGTATTGTAAACAAAAAGCCATACATATTGAATAATGGGTTTGAAAAGCCACATATAAATGAGACAGTTGTTGTATGGTATGTTCTCTTCTAACATAGCTTGATTAGTGTTTTTATTCAACATTTTAATTAATATGGAAGGACACCCACAAATGTCTGGCACCCTTCCTGGAAGAACAGCATGCTGCCAAGAAACATTTGTGAAAAACTGTGAGGCAAAAAACCAATGACCTTTTATTGAGGATACATCAACATGTATAACTTCAATATGAGCTCTAAACCGGACCGTTTTTTTAGACTTAATTACTGGTTAGTTTTATGTAAATAATTCAATAAAAAAAATCAATTATGTATAAATAATAACTAAAATCCTTATGAGGCCTTAGAAAAGTACACCTATGGAAAGGAGTGACATCTTTGACGTGGGGAAGCAACAGGTGCTGCAGAACAGAAGAAGCACATCTAAAATTGGACTGAACAATACAAGCTGATAGTGATACCAGCGTGATCCTCGTCCAAGTGTGCCTGATGCAAACCCCAGGCATACTACCTGCAGCAGGAGAGACATCATATTCATCCTCAACTCCTGCCTAAATGATTCAGACGCTAAAGAAACTTTATTTTAAAATATTATACTGTACTTATACATGATTGATTGATGTGTTGACAGTAGAACAAACCTCACGTGAAATCTGCACACATCGCAGGTTGACCTCCATACTGTCCGTGTGGACACTTGTCCTACATCTGTCGCAGAGGACGATTACTGGTTGAAAAATCACCTGCATTCCTGGCACGGTGCCCCCAAAACAACACAGTGGTATTCCCGACTTTGCATACGTTTGCTCCTACTGAATCGTGCTATGTTAGCAACTGTTTGTTAGGGTAAACGCAAAGAACTTGACACCGCTTGAATTGCAAAAATTAACTTTACTACACATGAGATTCAGGCTCAGTTCCACCATTATAGATAAATGCAAAAAAAAAAGGCATGACACAAAAATAAAATAAAAAAACTTTCACATTGCAGCATGCACAATATTTCAGTTTCAGTTTGGAGTGGATCCCTGTTGGTAGCAAGCTGCTAATGTGCAGTACGAGTGTATAAGTCAGTAGGGCCTGTGCTAACCCCTGCTAAGGGCCACTCCAGATGGATTTAAAAATAGACCCCAAGTCCATCTATTTACACGCCATGGACATCATCACCTCTCTTTGACTATCTGCAGTCCACAGCCCTCCAAATGCAAAAGCCAGGCTGCCTTGGCGCCCACAGGCCTGTAACAGCACAATCTGATGGAACACTGTGACCCATCTTGCCTGTTAACTCCCTCGTCTCTGCTCTTTTTTTTTTTTTTTTTTTTTTAATCTCCGGCCCCTCTTGCTGATAACTTTTCCCTGTCTCCTGTCATGCCACTTGGGTCTTGTCGTTTCCTTTCATCTTTGCTTTTGTTGTCACATCTACTATCTGCACCCTTTGATTCCCTCACTCTCTGGATCTGTTTTCTTCTCAGGTCACTGCTACCATGAACCAAGGACTACCAGCCTTCATTAGCTGTGTCCCATTAAAATATCTCCTTTAGAAACGGCCATTTGGGATTTGCTGTTTTCTGGGAAACAGAGGCACAAAGGTCATGTGACATTCAGGTGGGGAGTTAATGGAGGCGCACAGCCTGACAAATGGAAACACATGGTGTGGCCCACAGAGACAATAGAGTGCCAACACAAAGATGCTGGTCGAGGTGCAAATCTGCTGGAGGTCCATGAGGACAGATAGCAGGGATGATGAAAACAGGAGAAACAAGGACAGATATACAGACTGCTTGTCCTTACAAATATCCAAATGTGTGTAATGTCAGGGAGATGCAGCTTGTTTTACTTTAAGTCAAGAAAGTACTTCCAAGTTAGGATAGGCCTTTAAATCGCTTGTGAAGACGACGGACACCTGTTCTAATCTAGAAACTCAAGACGTTCAGACTTAGATTTATAATGTCAGCCAGATTCAAATTTCATGCTACCAAGTTTAATAAAGCTCCCTTTGGCATAAAAGTTCAAACCTTTTTATTTGCTCCAATTTAGTGTCTTTAAAGAGTCTTCTGATTTTACATCTTATAACTTACATCACAGTCTTTAGGAGACAGTTCGCAATGTTCTGTAAAATGAACGTTCAGCGCAGGTAGACAGAGGATACAGGGACAACCGGCTGGAAAGCAATATTTGTTGTAACAGATATTTAGACAGATATCTGATAAAAAACATCACATGTCATGAGAATGATAACTGCAAAAGCAGACACCGATATGAGAGCCAGATTGATGGCCCGAGTGGAGCATATATGGCCAAATGTCTGAAATGTATCCCCAGAAGGAAGCCAACCACTTGGGACATCATGGCCTAAATTTCCCCTACGCCCTCGACTTCCTGCGTTGCATTGCTGCTTGTTGAGGTTCAGCTACTTTAACTGCTTAAACAGGTTCACTGGAAGAGCCTTGAATGAATGCGTGTGCACAGCGAGAACCACTGATGACCAACCCTGGATCTAGTTTACAATGTATAGCCTATATGTGAAGACCGAGCATTTGCTGAGCTTTGCAATGTGCTAATTAGCGAATTCAGAATTCGGTGTGTGTATGTTTTCATGCATAGGGAACACAGCAGCACTACATGAAAAATATATCAGCTGCCTGAAATGCGGAGAGGTAGAATGAGGGAGGGAGGGGTGCGATGGGTGAAAAGGAGGTCGCAGAGACAGACAGTATGCACTGCAGAGTTGGCATGCCTCAGGCAGTGCCTTCCATCTAATAAACAAGTTGCGAGATTATCATGTGTTTACTATCTGGCATGATTGCCTTAACCGTTCTGCGTTGCTTTCGGTCTCCCCTAACACCTGCCTCCTTTACTCCTCTCTTGTCTTTCTTCTCTGTCTTCATCTCTGCTCCTCTCGGCTCTACTTTCCCCTCATGCCGGAACGGCGTGGGCAGAGTGGCAGGTTGATGTGTTCACAGGATTGATCGTCCCTCTTGGCTCCTCTCCACTTCTCTTTTGCTTACACTGCCTCCATCTGTCAAGCTGTCATCAGCCTCGCCTGGTCGACCTTGTTAGGGCCACCCCACAGACACTCACTTGGGAGTCCATGTAGCCCCGATATGTCAGGGGGATGATGAGTGTCTCCCTCTTGGACTGACTAGGCCTGTGGTGGCCTAGTCAGTCCAAGAGCTTGAAGACTCTCTGACTTCAAGGGTATGTGCAGCAATATTTATATTAGTCAAGTCCATGGAAGCCGATGCGGAGTCAAGTTTCTTCCCCAATGCAGCTATAACGGTCCCAATGAAAAGCGTCTTTTCAACACAAAGAGCCTCTGAGACAAAGGGTCAGGAACTGCGGCCTTGATAGTCACTTTCATCTTTGCAGAGATTACCACTTGGGATATTTTGAAGGATAACCTGTGTTAAGTGAATTGCGGGTAACAGATGATAAATATTCAGCTGTATATATTTGTGTGACTATTACAGGTTAAAGTTCTTATGTTGCAAGTAATTGTGCCACGTCCATTTTCGAGGAACTAGACACTTTTGCATTTATCAAACAACTAAGGAGAACAGACTGAGTAGGTGATGAAGTTAGGTTTATTATAGATAGCAAACCCTCTTCATGGTTTGCTTAGTTTTGTGTTTATTTTAATATCTCTCTGAAGGCATCACCTGTTCTTGTCCAGTATACCAAAACCACTCATAGAAATAAATAAAAGATAAATAAAGATATAAGATGCTATCACACAATTATAGTCTTTTCAGTGGTGTCTGTGAAGGCAGGCTCCTCAAATACACTTCATGTTCTTTAACCAGTGTTTTACACACTTCCCTCAATGATATACATCCTCAAAATCAGAATAAACTGAGCAAAATGTGTCAATAAATCAGACTAGTGCTGCAACTAATATGTCATTCTGAAATTTCATTATGAATTAAATTACTATTTACTGATTAATAGTTTACTCTATGAGATGTGAAATAGTAAAACATGCCCATCACAATTTTCTGGAGCCCAAGGTGACCTGTTCAAACGTCTCGGTTATATATGTTATATTTTATATAATATAATATATGTATATATATTAGTTATATATTTACAGCATATACTGTACATGTTGGTTCGTGTCTAAGCTGTTGCATACTGTCCCTCTCTCTGTGTGCACTGCTCCATCTGCTGGTTACATTAAGTAGTGCAAAAGTCAAATTTGAGGCCCACTGTTAAATGATTGGATGCCGTTTATGTGCTTTAGCTGCAAACTTAATTTTTTTTTATTGAAAATTAAATGGGTGAGTTTTGAAACAAAGGTAAACATTGTCATAACAATGGGAGGAAATTCATCCAAACAAAAAGACCTGCTCCTCTGATCTTTTTTTTTATCATGTGAACATACTGTTACTGTCATCTGAATGTATGAAACTGAATATTTACTTACTTATATTTTACATATTAGTCCTCATCACACTGATGTAACATAGCCTATTTAATGAACAAGAAGAACTGCGCTACTTTTTTGTGGATGATGACAGTCTGAATGTTTTGTTTTGTGTGATGAGACACTGAGAGACACATAGATACAGGACACTGGAACAGTGTATGTGTCTGCTCAAGGAGACCATAAAAAGGTGTGTGTGACGTCAGATTGCATTTGCATGCTAAATTTTTACCAGATTGGAACAGAAAAAAAAAGTGAAAATCCAAAAAACGATGATCGGAAGGAAGACTGAGGGAGGAGGAGGAGGAGGGAGGAGGAGAGGGAAGGAGGAGAAAGAGGAGAAGACAAAAGATTCATAAAAGTAAAGCAGTTGTGGACGACAGCAAAAGTTGTGAGTACAAGTTAATTATGCTTCTTTTTTCACCTGATTTTGACACATACTGTTGGAAATAAACACAGGAACATTTGCAGATGAAAGATAGCTCACATCCAAAGATATTGATGGAAGGAATTTCTCCTATAGATTGAATGTAAACATAAAATGTTGAGAGTGAATGCTTGGCTGATTAACTGATTCACTTCAGACGTTTTAGTTAGGTGATGTGTGGTTGCATGCAGAGTTCAGAAAGTACAAGCAGTGGAAAACATGTCACTCTCACAAACAAATCAACAGAGGCATGCATGGAGCTAAACCATGACAATCCAGAGTTTCATTTTCAGTGGGTGCATATGTATGACTCTGGGATTATCGCTGCAGAAAAGACACAGCTTGTGACAAAACCGTCACGCTCAGACTGGCCGGTGGTGATCGTACACTTGGAAAGCTGCAATATTTGCCATGAAAAGAAAGCTGGAAAAGAATGTGCGACTGTAACAGAGGAGGGGTGGAGGGGTGCTCAAATAGGGCACAAAAAAACACATTCTTTTGAGAGAACTCACAACTTGGACTCCAAAGTTACACTGACACATCACAAGAGGAATGATGCTGGGCGGGAGAGGGAAGGAGAGAGAGAAAGAAGGGACTCAGGGAAAGAGGAAAAACATTTTCAGAAGAAGAAAGTAAAATGTTTTTAAAGCGAACTTTTCTTTAGTTGCTCCATTGATACTTCATGCGGCTGTTTACATGCACCCCAGTAATTACCAGCATGTACTGCAGAACATATTACTCCACAGCAAAATGACATCAGGCTCTCTTCTATAACGATGACAACTTGTCTGTTACCCAAAACATAGCACTACTCTCTGTGTTTTTAGCTGGTGCAAAACTGTAGGGAAAACATTACAGTGACCTGGAATGTTGGGAGCATTTATATGCAGGGGGATTAAAGGAAACATAAACAGCACAAAAATCTTGAGAGAGGATATTGAACAGTTCCACTCTGTGAAATCATCCTGACTCTTTTCCTCTTCGGTTTCCTCCAGCTCGTAAAGCATACCCCTTGCAAGTTGAAGGAATGGGCAGCCTTCCAGTGGTCCTGCTCCTCTGCAGTTTCCGCGGTAACGCTGCCAAACAGAACACACAAATCATCTTGTTTAATTACGGTTGAGTCGCTGTGTGTTTGTTTTTATGCTGCGAAACACTCCCCTCATGTGGTTTCTGTTCCACAGTGCTCACAGCTGTAGCCCAAGCCCAGGAGTCTGGTAATGCTCCTCTCCTTATAAGTCACACTTTAGATCAGGAACGAGTTATGTTGCATGACATCTGTCAGTCTGTGGGTCACTGATGTGGGTCGCCGGTAAGATGTTTTTCTGATCGTGATTTCTTTCCTTGTTTCTAGAGGCCACTGTAGGACCTGCAAGCCCCTTGCCAGCCAGTGAGTGACAGCAGTTTGGAGACGCTGTACCTCTGCACGGCCTCTCAGGAGGCCCCTTGAGCTCTTGGCACAAACACTCACCCTTATGCAAGTTCTGGTGTGCTTCATCTTTTCGTTGTGACTGATACAGTTTCATTGTGACATGTATCTCCTGTCTCTGCAGACTGTAGGGAAGAGATGTATCCTTGCACCAGGATGTACTCGGTTCACAAGCCCATCAAGAGATGTATTGGTGGTCTTTGTTTCTACAGGTGATCTGCAGATTTTTTCAGTTTACAGAAATACAGTTTTAATTCAGCAATTTGCCAGTAGAACAGCTGACTTTTATAAGTGAGCACTAAAGATCTTGGTGTCCCTCTGTGAGGGCACTTACATAGTACTGAGGACTGTTACTTAAGTAATTGTAGCAATACAGTACCACAGTGTGAACATACTCCATTCCATACATTAAAATTGCATTCAAGTATAATAGTATTAATGTATCGAAACAGATGTTATTATTGCATTAATTATTGTGCATAAATGTATAAGCAGGAGTTTAATCTTAAAAATTCAGATTTTATAAAAGGATCCTGTTTTGTATAGAAAATCTTAATTTGCAAATTAACTACAGACATCATACAAATCTAGTGTGTTAATAGTATAATGTACAGAAAAATGGAAATATTTCAGTACAAGTACCTCAAAATTGCAATTGTTTAAAGAGCTTGTATAAATGTACTTAATTACATTCAACTGCTGGCAAAGCTCAGTCATATAAGGTTTTAGATACAGCAAGTCACTGTGCCCCCACAGCTCTAACACAACAGACTGCTCATGTTATATCCTGTTTCTCACACAGCGTCCCTCGTGTCTACGTGATCAACAAAGAGATCTGCATGAGGACTGTGTGCCAACAGGATGAGTATCTGAAAGGTGAGACAGTCTACACGTGCTAACAAGCACGTTGATGTCAGGGTTTATGATCATGCACTTGAGGAAATCTGTCTGTCTTTTGCACACTGCAGCTGAGCTGTGCAGAGAGTTGTCTGGGTGGCCCAGACGTTTTGAGAGGTCATCTAATAGGAAACCCTGTCGCAGTCGCCGTAGCAACCCCAAAACCTGGGCAAACAAGGCCTGATGGGCGCAGAATGGCGATGTGACCACCGGTGAGGATGGAGCCCCTTAGAGACACAGAACTAGGGGCGTTGTCATAAAAACAGCCCATAACACCATAAATCCACTGCTCAACACCTGGGGGTCTTTTTCTTTCTCTTACACACACACAAACACACAAGTGTGCTGAGTCATATCTATGTTTATGTATTAGTCTTTTAATTGTGTGTGAATATTGAAGGTGTGCTCATTTCATCTGTGTGTTGTTGGACACAGATCATGTCTTCCATGGTTTACGATCCATTTAAGGTACTGTAGTAATGGGCCTATAGCAGCACTGAGTCATTTCATTGTACAAAGAAAGACCCACTCTTGTGGATTGTAAGGTACTCATTGACAATCCAGTATTATGTGCACTATTGTATCCAATAAAATATAACTACATTTATTCGTGAGTTAATTTGTTTATTTATTTATTTTAACCATTTTATTTCAAGAGGAAAAACAACAAAGTAAAGTTATGGTCATTAAGTGATATATTTGTTTTTCTTTGCATATTCAATTCCATATACATTTCAATACACATATACAGTTTGAATAACAAGTAACATTTGGGAAAAATGCATATAATTTGAACAGTAAACAAACACTGACAAACATTGTTAGGGCTTTACACTCACACACTCTCTGTGTGTCCCAATCGACATCCATCATCACACCACTTGTCACTGCTCACCTGTCACGACGCATGTGCATGTGATATCACTGTAACATGATCCATCTCTCGGTACATAACAATATCACCACAAAACACTGCATCAAACACAGACGAACTTGGTCCCACATTGCATTTGTCTGCATCAGAATACCATTTATAACATTACAGCTTAACATGGAATTGAAGTTCACAGTTAAAACTTGTTCTTACAGTACAACATGCTGTGATTGAGGTCTACAACCTGCTGACCTTCTCATGAAGAATTAAGGAGACGAAGCCCCTCCCAGACATGTCCAGAAACACAGACCTATTCATTGAGGAGGAAAGAGGTCATGACCTAAATGACTCACCAGTCGCAGCATTAACAGCTGTGCTGAGTAGAGATGACATAACATGGACTAAATCATCTCCATTTCCCCTTGAGTCAAAGATAAAAGCACTTGATGCCTCACTTTCCTTTGCTAAGACCCTATTGCATCAAGCATTCTTACTTCCCTGTCTATTTGTACTGATATACAGTTATACGCAATGCCCGGGACCAATCCCCTAAATATGTGATCAACAACTGCATCTAAATTTGATATCTCCTCTCGTAAAATGATGCTGTAGAGCCACACGAGCCCACTAGAGAGTGCTAGAGAGCACATCTGCTCTGTAAATCAGTTACAGCTTAACAGGTTTCTTTCAAGTAAAATCATTTTGTGATAAACTTCGCAATAATCTAAATCTATTATTAAACAATCCCTGCGTTTAATGCAGACTATGCATTACTAACTACAAAGACAGACTAGACTGTCAGTCAGTGCATATAGTCAGTCCCACTGCTGGAGACTTGAAGAAAAATGAGCTACAGTACATACAGGTGACGACACCAATGGCAATACTTACAAACTACTGACAATATATACATTTAAAATAAATATTCTCTGTACATAAAATTCATTCATTATTATATTTTATCAGTTTTCATCAACATCATCAGATGATTCTGATTATGTCTCCCTTGATCATATTTCTATTTTTTCTACTAGAAATGAGCAAATACAACATCGTAAGCAGGAGAAAAGGGGCAAAGGAAAATGGAAACCAGAGAGCTAGATTGGATACACAGAAGGAGAGAGGACAGACAAGCCCCAAGAAGGACAATGAAAGGTGATGGCCAATAGCTTTAAATCTTTGTAATTGAGTCTGTGCTTTGAGGTGTGGGTGCATCTCAGGCTAAAATCAGAACAAAGGCCATGAGAAACTCAGCTAAAGCAAAAACAAACTAGTACAGGGGGTTACCCTGCTTGGCAGGGAGAGATACGGGACCCCTTGATGGGGAAAACAAAGTTGCAAAAAGTGGTGCATAAATTTACAGAGAGATAAGAGGGAGAAAGCAGAGTGAACCTCTCCTCACTTTGGGGATACAGAGTCAAAGTCTCCCCACAGGTCCGAGGTGGCTGTGGTGGTGGGGTTGGATGGAGCCACTGAGTTGGAGTTACTGGAGTCCAGGTCTAGCAAACAACCTGATGATTAAAAAATAAAACAAAACAGAAAGAGAATGAACCTCTGAAAAAGTAATTAAAAAAATCAGTCTAAGTATGCAGCAATTTCAGGCAGGATTTCAAGAAATGTAAATTCCATTGCTAAAAATCTTTAACTTACAAGTAATGTCACCTATTTGGAAACCTGAAAATTGTATTTTGTTGAAGTGTCGATTCACCCAAATACTGTACTCAAATGTACTCAGGTGGCTGCAGAGATCTCACAGATAGGCATCTCCAAACCTCAGCACATGAAACTGAAACGGTGTGCACAGCTAGATAAAACTAAGGGTACGTATAAAAATTACAACACTTTTCTACTTTGGAAGATAAATCAACGTGATTAGCAGTGTACAACCGTCTATAGTATACCAGAGAGGGCCAGGGAGGATAGGAGCAACATTTTTTTTTAAAGGGGATTTAACAAGTCTTTTACAACTGGAGTCTATCTGTCATAGTTTTGGCTGGTATTCCTATAGGTCAGCATAACATTGCACTCACCACCTTCATTGTAAAAACTGTGGATACAAGTGCTCTACTGGAAACAGCTTTACAACAGACCCCAATGGGGCCAAGGAAATAAAAGCTTTCACCAATGAAATAACTTTTTATTTACATGAACTTCAATTCTGTCAGATTCCTGAGGTGCCACTGTCAGGTCATATTTCCTGCTCCACTGTAAAAGAAACAGCTGTGCCTATCTAGAACAACCTGCAGGTTGGACATAGAAGTAAAGCAATGGCCAAAAGTCTATTAATTATCTTGTGATTTCAGGAAAATACAATTGATAACGAGCAAAAGCTATCCTTTATTATTGTTTCTATTTTATTTTATTGTGTTTATCATTGAGTTTTTAGGAGAGGTCTTTGCGTAAGTTTTTAGCTTCTTACCTCACATGCACAAGCTTTTATTTACTTATTGGATTCATTATATCTTTGTATATGTAGAAAAACATGCAAGACAGACTTAAAGACAGAATGTAACTGGGTGCTTGACCTCTCCAGCTTTCCGTACTCTATGGTTATAGACATTTGTAGACATTATATTAGTAGGATAAACCCCTTGCCGCAGGCCTAGCTGCGCCCACATCCATTGGTTCCCCTATGATGCCAGATACATACAGTACATGTACACATACCTATACAAAGCTATATAAATATATTACCACGCACCTCCACATTATAAATAATTTATATTACAACCACCTACCAGTGTCACTTCCTCCGGCAGGTGGTTGTGTATTATGATTAGTAGATCTGGATGAAGGGGGTGGGGCTAGCTTGCCCCCAGGAGGAGGTGGGAGGAGCCCAAAGCCACCAGAACTCTGCGGACGAGACCTGTCTTTCTTCTTTGATTGCTAGAGAAGGTGGAAACAGGATAAACAAAACAGGGTGAGTGTGTGTGGGTTTGCACTTACACACCACATTAAGACGGACAGGTTTAAATTCAAAGTCAGAACCTAATCTTGAATTCATTCTCAACTGTCACTTAATGTGGTTTCATTTGTTAAAGCAGGAGTATACCTTTGGTGGTTCAGTCTTCAAAAGCAACACGGTTCGACATAGACACATTTCTACAGTATCGTAATCTTTTGAAAAGATTTGGCACCAAAGTGAAACACCATTCAACACCAATTTTGCTGTTCCTCTAACCTCAAACCTGACAACCATTCAATTTTAAGAAAATCAGGTCACCCCAATATTGAGAGTAATGGTCTGTCCTTCTTTGAAGCCTAGGTCCAGTTTTGGAGTGGAGTCTGGAGCCTGCGCCTGCTTGGTAAATTCATTTTCCTGTTTTACCCATCTGGAGAAAACCAGAGAAGACATGTAAAAAGATTAAAGATTGCAGAAAAACTAGATAAAATCCATTCACTACTGAATGAGCTATGATTCATGACACACTATGGAGCAGCTGCATACTTAAAGTGGTCCTGAAGTGCAACATTGAAGTCAAAGGCATCGCCTCGGTCTCCAAATCCTATCCCTATGAATGCACTGCGGCCTATGAGAGAAATGAAGCAAGGGTAAGAGTTTATTAAGGGATCTGCGTGGTAGTATAAACAAAAACATACTAAACCTGACAGTTTCTCACAATAATCTCCACACCACAATAAAAATTTCCCAAGATTTAGTTTACAGATAAATACTGGTGTATCCCTGCCCTGGACCACCCTATTCAAACATGTTATCCTCTCAATTATGAGCACATTTACAAAATATTTATTGCTTAGCAACAAACAGTTCACCCACCGTTGTCATCCTGGATGCGGAGCACAAAGTAACGGCTTGAGTCACTGACTGTTTCCACTGCAATGCCAGGGTACTCATCCACTGGTGCCTGGGCAAACAATTCCCCTGTAGAATAGAGCAAAAGAAACATGTTTATTATCTATTTGTAAAATGGTCTAGAGGCAATTTGGATCATGAAGAAACATTTACATTTGCTATTCCAAATCTCCACAAAGAAAGGTAATTCCATGGGGTTTTTTTCTATGTAGGATACATTATGCAAAATGGATTCAACCTTCTGTATTCAAATGTGTAATATGAGGAAAACAAGCACACCAAGTCCCTAAAATACTCCAATGGAAACAGACAGAGATTATCAGCCTGTTTGCTTCAAAATAAACTGCATGCTTGGACGTGGGCTGGGTCACCTTGGAAGAGATGAGTAACAGAGAGGGAGATGGCGAACAGGAGACTGCACAGTGAAATGATTTATAACAGCAGCAGTGCCAGTAAACAATGGCGCTGTCCTGTCTGCTTCTCTCTCACCAGAGATTTTGTCTTCCAATTTCACATAGGCCACTTTGCCCCGGGCCGTCACACGCATGCGTCCCGTCCAGTCAGGAGCATCCAACTTCCAGTCGGCAGCCCTGGGACACATACAAGCACGCACGCGCACACAGACAAACAGACACGCACACACACAAACACACACATAGGTAGGCAGTTGAGGAGGCAGTCGGGGAGACGGTGTGATGTACGTGAGTTGGTGACAGCAGTTTATTAAGACTGATGTTGACATAGAGGGCAAGAATAGACAAGAAAAAATGAGACAGGAAAGGAAATTTGTGTTTTGTGTGCATGTGTCTGTTAGTGTGTGTCATTGTTATGATTTGTCCTACACTCAGACACATTGTTAGCTATTTTCTATGTGAATGAAACGTGACTAAAAAAATCACACAGGCATTTCACTGAGACCTTAGGCTGAAATATTACATCACCCTTACTCACTGTACATATGGTCACTGGTTAACCAATCATGTGTCTCATGGGACTGAGGCCTATGCTACTGTTTGGTTGGAGTAATGTCCACTCGGATGCAGCTGCAGCAGGTCAGGCTGAAGGACCAGCCAATGAAAAATTGAGTCAACATACAATGTGAGCCTCTTAAAGAACAAATCTCCTGTATGGTCACTTAAAAGCATAAAGGCAGGTAACAGCCCAGGCAACATTTTCTTTCAATTGGAGCATTCATATTCATTAGCATTAAACAGCATCAGCCCTGCTGAAGAGTCCTTGAACAAGGCTTCTTTTCAGCTGCGATCCTAGTCTACTTACTACCTAAAAGGTCAAACAGGCAAAATGTGAATCTCTAGAGCAAAATTACGTATGATTCCCTACGAAATCACTTGGACTTTAAGCAGTGTAAGCACTATTTCTCCTCTGACGTGCCATTGGAGGAAAGCATATAAACACACGGACACTGACAGGGATGTAGCCAATCCCCAGTGTCTGTAGTGCAGGTACAACCCCAAATGTCAGTAGCGTATTTTCCATCATGACCTTGCAAATGCACCGCAAAAACATCTAGCACACAAACTAGAGCTAGGGTTAGGCCATTGCGTGAGGCTGCGTGACTAGAGGATGTGCTCGGTAGGTAGGTCGCCGAGGCAACGACTCCACACGGGCGCAGCTCGCGGATGCTGGGTCAGAAAGCTCGCTATCAGGCCGCTGCCCCTCGCCTCCTCCCCCGGCCTGCTATCGCCCCACCTCACCTGATAGCCCGGTTGGATGCTCTCGGTGGGATTCGGTAAACATTGACTTCAGGTTTGACACAGAGGACCGACTCGTACTCGGACTGACCCTCGGTCGCCATCTTGACTTTTACTCAGTCGGTGTACGCCGGTGGTGGTGACGGTGAATGGCGTGTCCGTGCGGCGTTAACGGCTACGTGACCGTAATAGACGGTGTATTTGCGCACACACTGGTATCAGTGATGCCCTTAAAGGGGTATTCCACCTATTTTACACATAAAGGTCAGCTTACTTATCTTGGAGAATGCCTCTGTCAATTCAAAGAAAATTACTCAAGTAAGTAAGTAGATTGGCTTGGGATCAGAGACAACATATAAAACTTACACTACAAACTGTGGCGTACAGTTTGAAAAAGTGAGCATTTGAAGGCAACACTTTGTGACTCTCATGTGTTAGCATACATTCAGGTTACAGAGGTGTTTTCTCTAAAAGATATTTAACCCTGATGTTTGAACAATCCCCAAAGACTCATCTAACCATCTGGATGAAAGAAAAATCAGTCAGCTGAATTGTCCTAAAGATTTTAAACTTGTTCCCCAAGTTTCCCCTTTACTGCTTGCAGTTAGCTGAATAGTTTTTGAATAACCTTGGAAAAGGTTGTATTAGCTAGTTCTTACTGCTCGCAAGCTATCATCACTTCAAGTCCATAACATACGTTAACATCAGTTACACAAGACAATATCTCATTGTATATTATTTTATTTCACATTATCATATTGCAACATTGGAAAGCAGCAAAGTTGTAAGTACCTAAAGTTAAAGCCTTGCCGCAACTTGAAAGCTATTTTTTCTCAGTTTTTTTTCATTCTCAGTTAAGCAATTGTAGTGATGGACCAACATGTCTTTACTCTGACATAGTAATAGACTTATGGTAACAGGATGTCACAAGTATTGTTCACAGTCCAAGAAGTTTGAAGGCATCTCTCAAATCCTCTGTTTCAAATGGCTGAGAAAGAAAAAAAGAAAGAAGACATGGCATTATTAGATATTGAACATATCTTTATGGGTTTGACCAAAGCCTGGTGGTTGGAGAAAAATCTGTGGTATGGTCAATCTTCTACCTGGAGGATGCGGTGAAGTTTTCTGGCAAGACGAACAGAGTTTTGGTGCAGCTCATCCCAGGCTTTGAAGTTGCTCTGCTTACGAGCCACAAAGGTCTGCCAGCAATAAAAGAAGTCTGAAGAGAAAGTTAAAAGTAATCATTGTTGTTGACATCTAGAGAGTGGTCATAATAAGGAAAACAACTGCTTTTTAGATGGGATTTGTTTGGCTCAACCTTCCATACGTTTCTGGCTCTAGAGTTATATACATGTTTGCTTTATATTTCTACCACACCTTTGTAAGTCATGACTGTGATCTGCACCCCAGCTTTTTTCAGCATCCTCAGGCCATCTCTCTCTCGGCTGTCCTCCATGTCACAGAAATAAAGGCGTGAGACAAAGATCCTGAGGCGAAGGTTGGGCATCTGGCTGAGGAACTGGGCCAGTCTGATGGAGCAGTTGGCACAGGGAGACCAGGAGCAGAACCAGGTGATGGAGTAACTGAGCCTCCTCTCTCCAGCAGCTCCATACCCCCACAGACCAGGGCACAAGGCTCCCAAGTAGCGCAGGAACAGCATCTATGGAGAAATAGGAGAATGGAGAAGATAATAAGGATATAATAATCCTATACTTTCATATGTTATTCATTTGTTATTTTCTGCCTGAACAGGCCCACCTTATATGCTCCCCTATTTTCACCCACATTTCTTACCTCTACATGGCAGCCATTGCGATTGCGGAGGTGTCCAAAGTCAAAGGTCAAGGAGTCTGGGCCAACTCGTCTCTTTACTACAAAGCAGAGGTATGTCTCATTCCGGCCCCTTGCCCAGCGCACATTCTTGTAATGGAAGATAAACTTTTTTCGGGGCAAAAGCACGCTGAGGGAGAAAAGGAGCACTTTTTTATTAGTTAGTGACATATGATGCAGGAAGAACAATGGACATAGTATATCTTACATAAAGAATATTTAAAGATTTTTTTAAAGACCAGATGCATTAACAAAAATCACAAGCATCATAAAAATACCGTCATCATTAGTGGCAGATCATTTCAGTGGTAGGCAGCATAGACGTGTCATTTTATGCCAGGAAAGTCTGAGACAAATTCTATTAAGGAACTCATTAAACTACCATTCTAACGTATTACTATTCAGATGACTCACACATTATTTCAAGCTTTAATCCAGTAAGTTAGCACAATAAACGCATGTAAAACTTGTGGTTAACCAAATGTGAGCGATGGACAGTCAAACGACAGCTAACATTGACTGCTTTCTCTCACTCTCACTTTCAGAACTTTTAGCAAAACCAGGACAGTTGTTAAACACTCATTAATACTGAAACTTTAGTTAATAATACTCAGGAACATAGTATCATAATTACTCAAACAGATTTTCATTGAAGAATATCTGATATTACTATTACAGTATAGTAGTATGGTAAGTATTTATAAAAACTTGATAAATTCATATAAAAACATTTTTTTTCCATGAATAGTATACATGTGCTAGCTGTATAAATATGTGTCAAACAAAGACATATACAACATACAGATTAAATGCATCAATTTTGCTCACCTGTCTAGCTTTGTAATCATTTTGAAAGACGCGCTTTGCTTTGTCACTCAGCAGGCATGGGTAATAAATGGAGGTATATGAGAAAGAGTGAAAGTGTGCGTGCATGTGTGTGCATGTGTGTGCATGTGTGTGCGTGTGTGTGTGTGTGTGTGTGTGTGTGTGTGTGTGTGTGTGTGTGTGTTTTTGTGATGGGGGGTTAAAGGGAGGGAACTGAGAGCATATACCTCTAAACATAAACATCCTGCATACAACAGGCCGCTTCTGGTTGGACAGAAAGATTTTTCAAAGTACGTTTAGGGGGCGTGTTAGAAAAGAAATGGAGAGATTGTATTGTCTTTCTACAAAACAATTAAATCTATAAATAATCACTCATCTGCCAATGTTTTTTAAGGACATAATGTTTTTTTTTTTAAATACAACATTAGTTTACAGAATGGTTAAAGTGAAAGCATTCTTTTGGTAAGGGCATTCAATGAATTTTATTGGGAAGACATATTACACAACACAGATTTTACGAAATAATCTGAGTGACCACACATGAAAGGAGTGTTTGACGTGATTTGTAACCTTTGGAGTTTTTCACAGACGTCAGTATACTTTGCCAGCTGGCTGGAACTTTCCAAACACTTAAGACTCACACAGTCACCGGTCCCTCCACTTTTTTTTCCCACATCATTTAGTAAGAACTTCCAGATACCTTCTCACCTTGATTTTCAGAGGGACTGCCACTGACCCCTCTCGCATTTCACCCTTTCCCCCTCTCTAGCCCCCCCACCCCTCTAGGCCCAAAAATTTGGTGGAGTCATAGGCGTTCCCAGACCTTGGAGGCCCTGACACCTACTTTGTCCTCTGATCTGGGTTTTCCCAAACTGTGTCAGGCTGGGAGCAGAACTGTAATCGACCTCCTTCACCCTACGTGTCTGCTAGACTGGCCGGCCAGCTGACCGACCACAGTGTGTGGATAAATCTCACTCATAAGCCTTTGAACCATCAGATGCTGTCATCCGCCCTTGCCAAATCAGGATGTGTATTATTTTGCTCTCGTCTTTTCTTTGCTCTGTCTGTTTTAGCTCTGGCTGCTCGCTCAGTGGTACTACATGCAGGCATCCTGCTTTCCCATGACTCCCCTCACCCTCTCATGCACTCTGTGGTTTGGGGAATTCACCGTTTCCCAGGGTGGCTGTTTTTGGAGCTCATCTGCACGTGTATGTGCGCATGTGTGTGTGTGTGTGTGTTAACCATCTGTAGGACCATGTCATTAACACAGTCTATATGTTATACATCATCTGGAACAAATTCATCTAATTTATCCTGTGATTGTGTGGTGCCTCAAAATTTAGAGTGATTCATGTGTATGTGTGTCTTTATGCCCAGAGCAACCTCACATCATATTGCATTACTCTGACGGTGCACTAAGCCTAATGTCTCTGCTCATTTGATCTTGTGTGCATGTGTCTTTTCCTGACTTCAAGAGGCTGATCAAATGCCAAACTATATGAAACCACTTCCCACCCAGCTCTCTGGGCTTGACCACAGCTGACCAAGGTCATCTCACAGTCACACATGGACACTCGCGTGCACTACCAACCCTCTTGTGCACTGTCTGTGTGTGTGTGTGTGTGTGTGTGTGGTGGAGTAGTTCAGTATGGCCAGACATGGCTGTGCATTTAGCCCATAGTCAGGGGCAGAAACCGGGTGTAGGAAATGCCAAGTCATACTTTCCGAAACCCACCCGCCCACACCCTGCACACGCGCGTACGCACACACACTTAGACACAGCCATACCGTGCAGACGCACACGACCACAGTCACAAACAGACTTTCTTTCCAGTGTGTGAACTCACATCTGTTTCCTGACAACAATAATAGCTACAGATCGGGCGGGTAGAGGCCCAGCTAACAGGTGTCAGCTTTTTGACAGTCATGAAGAAACAACCTGATGACCAAGAAGTGTCACAAGTAAAAATACAGCTTTTACAAGGTGGAATTGGCCTGACCACACACTTAGTTGCACATGTAACAACACTGTTGGGTTACTGCTCAGCTTTCTCATCAGAGTTAATTAAAGGACAGTGATTTTCCACAACAGCTTGCATGATTAAGAGTTTGCAGAAAAGTATAAGCTTATATCTGTCTTCACATCAGGTGAGATATGCTTCCTTCCCTCACACATTAACATTGTACAAACATCCTGTGGTGTTTATCTGTGGCATGTTGATGCTATACTGACATCGTCTGTGGTTAGCAGTAGGGTAGATTCGCAATGCAAACGTAAGGGCTGCTAACCATATTAAGGTTAGCCTCAGAGAGGGGCTGTGTGCATTTCCCCTCTTAGATACATAAACTGCCATTCACCTGCAAACCACATGCACATTCTTGAGTCAGAATAACCTCTGCATATATTTAATGTGCTGTGCTAAAATATGCAATGCAAATGAGTTTTGAAACACTAATATCAAAGTGGATTTAAGTAAGTGACTTTGTAATATGTTAGGGCTGCAACAGTTACTGTCATTTCAAGATTATCTATATTTGTTATTTTTCAGTTAATCTAATATCTATTGAAGTTACCACAGCCCAAAGTGATGCTCTATATTTTGTGTGACAAGTAGCATCAACTTTACAATGATATAAAAAAGTATGCAAATCCTTAAGAGGTTGTTACCAGAAAATGTTTCATTTTTTTAGACAAATTATATAAATGAATAAAAATAATGATACTGTCACTATTTAATTAATTTTCTATCAACCAATTATTCAACTAACAGTTTCAGCACTAAAGTATTGGGTTAATGAGTGACACATACCACCGTTATCAACATGAATGAATGCAGAATTTGGATTTCTCAGTCGGTGGTGTTTCTGCCAAGTTGTAAAATATAACAAAGGAAACCAAAAACAAAGAGAGCGTGCATGCTGAAGAAAAGGGAGGGTGCACTGTTTTTGCAGACTCATAAACCTACATACTGTAAATGAGGGTGAGCAGTCGCAGCCAGGGAGCACAAGCAGATAAAAGCAGATTCATATAAACCACATGTACTTCCTATACAGCAACTGTATGTCCTCCTACACATTTGTATGGCTTCACACACAGACACACACACACACACACACACACACACACACACACACACACAAATTACTGTGTTGAGTTAAAAAAACAAAACAAAAAAAACATTTTCTCTGCAGACATTTAACATAAATATTTTTACTTCATTACAAATGATAGAGAACAGCAGGCCTGAGGCATCATGATATAATTTTTGAATTTTTAAATAATAAACAACCATTTGCTTTGGGGAAAAAGAAGAGATGGTGCTTTGAATAATAAAAAGGTAAAAGTATACTTATAACCAAACTCACACGTAGAACAGCAACACATACAGTAAATAAATATTGGCATAAATAACAAAAATATTCAATAAATTATTAACTTAACAAGAAATCAAACGTGTTGCAGCAATGACACTGTCACCCTGCAGAGATCCACATTGTGCACTTATGTTATCTCTTCTTTAACTTTAGCCAATCCTGGGCTCACTGCCACTTTTTTTTTCACTCCATGAGTCATTCATCACTCAATCACAGGTCTTTGTAAAACACCTTGGTGAGGGGGTGTCCCAGAAAGCCTCTCTCTGGAGTCTCCAGCTTTATCTCTTCATCATCTTCTTCTTCATCAGTCCCCTCCCCCAGCTGCTGATAGCCCAGTTTCCTGAAGAAGGCCTCCCCCACCTTGGAGGGGTAGGGGACATGTGCATACACTCTGTGTGCCCCAGCCTCCCTCTCTCTCTGCTCCACACTCTGGACAAGCAGCCGAGCCAGGCCCTCCCTGCGGTACCAGCAGCCTGTCACCACCCTGCAGATCCTCCTGATGCCCGCTCGCGTCTCACTCTCCCGGAAGATGCAGCCCACGATCTCCCCGTCGCAGTCTGCCACCCATACCTGTCCCGCTGCCTGTTCCCTCTCTGGGGTGATCTTCTCTGTTGACATCTCCTTGTCCTTGTCTTTGGACCCGATTCTGCATCTTGGCTGAAGAAAAGAAATTAAGATTATATTGCTGCAATATTTGGTCACTAAAATTGCAAAAAAAATTAAGAATTTCCAGCAAACCAGCAGCCTCACCTTTTTTGTCAGTGGTGTCTTGCCACTAATCCTACAATAGGGATTCTGCAGTGTCTCAGCCTGTGTCCCCCGGTAGCTGCTGCCCACATAGTCCCAGTAGGGACGACTGCTGCCTAGAACCCCTGTGGACCGCGGCATGGTGATCTTGAGAAAGATTATTAGCAGGAAGACAGGAATGGCGAGGGCAAGGATAAAGGAGTGGACAAGGCAGCGCAGGATTGAGGAGAAAACAGCCAAGATGAAGAGGCAGAGCGGACGAGTGAGGATGTGGAGGATGAGACGGTTTTCTGTGCCCTCGCAGCCCTCCTGGAATGAAATCCATGCAAGTTAAAAATAAAATCAAGCACAAGTCTCAGAAGGACAGGAGTACAGTTCCACATTAACCCAGATGAAAGAAGCCTGTCCAAAACTTTATCTGAGTATGTCGTACAAACCTTGATGAGGGCTTTGATCATCTCTATGTCCTCCTCTTTCATCCTCCTCATCACCACTTGATCCAGCTCCAGCCTCACCATGTTTAGGCTTTATGCTCAAACAGCAGGCCTACTGTTTCAACACACAGTATGTTGCAAACTCCAACATCCACACTGTGTGCACAGGGAACCTAGAGAGACACATTTAAAGAAGGGCACATGGACAGGAGGATGTTTCTATATTGTCAAGACAGGGGACAGTGAAAAGTAGCTTTGGGCTGTTTGATACCAAATCATGCAGATCAGTGATACTGTTCGACTTCTTGTGTTATATGACACGCGTGTTGTAGTTGAAATGGATCAATGTATCTCCAACATTCATATTATGCAATCCACTAGACTTCGCAATCAGCGATCCAGTAGTTGCAATGAAACATCACGCCCACGCTAGCTCCAAACAACAAAGACAGATGGGGATTATGGAGGATTTGTAGCATGCATGCACCCTTCTGTACCATACACACCATTCTAGCTGTCATCTTCACGTTAAACCGTGATCATCAAAGGTAAAGTCGAAAGCGAAAAGACCTTGTTGAAGCCTTATATGGTTACTACTTAGGGCTGCGGTCTCCTGACACACGTAGACCCCCTGCTTCTGCTCTAAAACACGATCCCGCTTACCTTCTGCACAACGCCGCTCAAATTCAGCGGAGAGATGGGAAATACACGCTGCGTGTGTCTCTGTTTGTTGTCGTGCAGCTATGGCACTTTCACTGAATGACCACAAAGTCGTTTCTTGCTTTAAAAAAAGGAGGAATTCTGAGTACAGACGTACTCTGCTTTGCGTCCTCTTACAGGTTTTCAATGCTACGACCTACGCCATATGCGTACGTACAATCCGCGCTGCGTAAACTTTACGTGAATGACAAACCCAACTTAACAAACGAACACGGGGCTCCAACTGCGGCGAGCTTTCTATGCTTAAGTTTTTTAAACGGGGGGAAAAAAATTAAACTGAGACTAAAAAAAAAATAAAAACACACGAAAAATGCAAATGATAACAAGTGAACCAAAACAGATTTATTAATAATTACTACAATTTATTATTACCGTTGTGAAGAAAGTAGGCCATTTACAACATTTATTCACAAACTTATTTACTTAATAAACAAACTGCCAATGACAGTATCATTTAAACTAATATATTTAGGAATATTCTGAGGTCCATGTACAGCCTATTTGAATGTATAACATTTCTAGTATGTGGCACCATGGCATTACAACACAGTACTCATCTAACTGCATGTTCCTTTTCAGTTCCAGGAGAACTCAAACTGACTAAAGTGCAAACACACTTAGCTCACAAACTGTGAGGCATTCATTCACACACACTTTTTTTCCTCTAACATGCACACTGGTTTTAGTTAGAGAACTGCATGTCTTTAGAGTTAGATATAGGTCCATTTCTTATTGTGTCCTCAGTGGATGTCTGTACCTCTGTATTGGCTGCAGAGTTGTGTTCCTTTACAGACTTTTCATTCGCCTCTGCAGTTGTACTCTCATATTTTACCTCACTATTTTGTGAGATCTCCCCTTCCCCTCCTCTCTCCATTCTCCCTTCCCTCAAGCTACTGGTGCTGACCTCAATTATGACAATTTCCTCTCCGCTTTCTAGCTGAAATATACTCCCCCCACCCTCAGTAACCCTACCACTTGCAGCATTGCAACCTGTCCCTTCTTCTCCCATCATTCCCCCTTCACCTTCTATCAGGGCGATCATCTGCATACCCTCCTCAGTTTCCTGCTCCATTTTGGTCTCACCCCCCAGCTCAAACACCACCTCTTGCCCATCAAGGGGAACCAAACCTTGGGTTGAGGTGCAGGAAAGTTGCAGGCTGTTGTCTTGCCCTTGGCTGAAGGTGGCACTGGATGGACCACTGTCCTGTGCCTCCGTATGGAAATGGAGGACGTAAGATTCCCCCTGGCTGCTCTCCTCTCCTGCATGTCTCTCACCCTTCTCTCCACCCCAGTTGTGCAGAAGTGACATCATCCCTCCCTTATCCCCCCCTTTTTCTCCTTCACCTTGCCCATCTGTCTTGAACTGAAGCACAAGTGACTTTCCCTCCCCACCCATTCCCCCATCAACCGCCTCTGCTGATGCATCCCCTTCAAACTGTAACACATATGACTCCCCACCCTCCTCAATATTCATCCCCTCCTTTGTCTGTTCTTCATTATCAAAACACAACACAAACTGTTTCCCTGTCATGGTGTCCCCTGTCCTCATTTGCTCAACAGTGTTCTGAGTTTTCCTGCCCGGATTAGCAGGGATAGGACTTGAAACTGAAGCAGTGGCTACTGTGGTGGCTGGTGTAACCATGGTAACAGTTGATGTGGGTCCTGAGCTGTCCACTGTGGGGACTACAGAGGTGGAAGATGAAAATATTGGGACAGTAGTGCAAGATGTTGACAAGGAACGGTGGGAAACAGTCGATACAGATGATGGCGATGACTCTGTGGTAGTGTCAGCTGCAGCAATAGTCTGTGTGACACTTAGGGTCACATTACAATTTGTTACGGACAAAGCTCCACCTGCAGTCTGACTGACAGGAGCTGTTGCAGACTTCTGAAGAACAGCTTTTGGTTTGCGGCCCCGCCTGCCCCGTGCTGTCCGTGTGCTTTTCCCTAATATGGGCTTAGTCAGTAGGGAGTTAGCTGACAGGGTATGCGTTGGTGTGGCAACAGGAGTGTTTGCATTGTTATTGTTGTTGGTGATTATGATCCTGGTCTGCTGTTGTTGCTGTGATAGAGTTGGAAACTGGGGTATCTGAGTCTGTGTTTGGTTTAGGACGGGCTGGAGTGCTTGGATAGTCTGGAGTACAGGCAGAGTCTGTGGCTCCAGAGCTGGTGGAGGGTTGTTTGTTGTGGGAACAAGAATCAAGCTGGACTGGCTGCCGTTGTTGGAGGGGCACTGCAGGAGGAAGAAGTTTTGGGGCTGGGACGGAGGTGGTGGAGGAGGAGGAGGAGGGGTAGGTGTAGGGGATGACAGAGGAATGAGCTGCAGGCCGCTGGCTGTCTGAATCATAAAGTAGTTCTGGGAGGTGTTGGGGGGAATATTAAGTGCTGGCTGGGACACAATCAGGCTGCCACTGTTTCCTGAGGCTTCCAGGGTGATGGGGTTGAGCAAGGTTGTGGTGGTTGTTACTCCTCCAACACTGGCTTTCACAGCCACACCGTCTTTACCTCCACCACCAGGGCAGGGCAGGGGAACACCGCTGCCATGGGTACGGATGTGCCTCTGCAAGTAGGAGTGCATAACAAACTCCTTAGAGCAGTACGGGCATTTGAAGTCCTTGCGTGAGGAGTGTGTGCGAAGGTGGAGCTGAAGGTTGGAGGAGTGTGTAAAGCTTTTATTGCAGTGTGTGCACTGAAAGGGTCTCTCACCAGAATGGGTGCGTTCATGCTGCTCTCAGAGGAACAAAACAACAAGAGGGAAGAGAAATGGAGAAAACTGTTAATAAGATAGAAAACGATTCAATCCAAAAGGCTCAGAATCTACGCGAGTTCACAGCTGAATCTTTACAGGCTGCACTGACCTGTTTAAGGTTTGATGTCTGGGAGAAAGACTTGGAGCAGATGGAGCAGGTATGAGGCCGCAGCCCAGAGTGCATCTGACTGTGTCGACGCAGACAGCTGGTGTTTTTGAAGGACTTGCCACACTCCTTACACACATATGGCCTCTCACCTGTGTGCTGCCGCAAATGGTACTGGTAGTGAGAGCTCCATTTGAAAGTGAGAGGGCAGTGAGGGCACTGGAATGCCCGTACACCTGTGTGTACCTGGGTAAAGTGTAAAAAAAAAAAAAGAAAAAAGAACTTGATTACTTATTATTTTTTGGCATTATGTTTCAAGTTTGTAGCAAAAGCAGTATCCAATATATATATATATATATATATATATATATTTCTTTTATTATATTCTAAGTTGTAGTTACACTATCAACTATACTTACAGCACATAACCTAGACATCTCTGCTGCACTTTGTGGTGTGGTTGCTGTGAGTGTTGTTAATACAAATGATTTTGGGTGTGTGTTGTAATGAGTACAACCCATAAAGAATGCTTTGAAACCAAAGAACTCATGAAGTTACATGAAGAATACATGAAGAATGCTAAAGAAAGGACTGTTACAGCTCAAGCATTGTGTGATAATAACTACGTAACCACAAGAGTGCTGTAACTCCAGTGTGTTATTGCAGAGGAAGGAGTTTTTATTGCTGTTTGGATTTGTCTGTTGTAGACTGCATTCATCTGCAGGGGTGTGTACTATACTGGAGAGCCACAACCCCTGTAAATTTGAGGAATGTGGAGTTCCACAATGAAATAAATCATGAAATTCAGCTCCCAAATCATGGATCTCGGAAACTTGCAACAGGAGAGTGAGCCTTACCCTCTGATGGATTGAAAGCAGCGACGACCTTTTAAAACTCTTTCCACACTCAGTGCAGCGGTAGGGCCTTTCCCCAGTGTGATCCCTCATGTGGTACTTTAGCCCCGATGAACCTTTGAAGGCTTTTCCACACTCGGAGCAGCGGTATGGCCTCTCTGCATGACAGTGTGTGAAACAGTGTCACATTTGTGTAAACATTTTTAATTAAAATTTCCATTTTAATACCGTAAAGACGGAATAAAATGTGGCTTTTCTAGCAACCACTGCAATTATAACAATAAAAAGCAACCTCTTAACTCATCTTGAGGACAAAGAAAGATCAAGTTCCCTGCTTGCTGCTCATGTCTTATGAGACCCACTTTGAATCTGAATGCAGCATGGCTAGCTTTGCAATCACAGACCTGCCAGTGCAGGTGGAAAGTAAATACCATAACACACGAGCCTACTGCCCTGGTTAAATTTCCATGTGTATAGTCAAATATTGAAATATGAAAGTTTTGCATCTGTTCTGATATGAAAATGCCATTACCTCCAGCAGGAGTGCTCTTGCTGGCTCCTGTCTTTTTGGGGGCTTTGGTCGGTTTGGCTGGCTGCTCCTCTTGCTCCTCTCCGACGGTAATGATGTTGACATGGATCTCCCTCTGGCCTTCCTGCTGCTTGTCAGCCTGGCTGGGAGAGGAGGGCAGGGGGAGAGACAGAGAGAGGGACGGAGGGCACACTATCTCAGCCTCTGCCTCAGCCAGGAGACGCTGCTCAGGGGTGTGGGAGTGCTGGTGGGTGAGGAGTGAGGAGAGAAGGGGAAAGGAGCGGTCGCAGGCGGAGCAGCTGAACTGGGAGCGGGACTGTGATGAAAGAGAGTGCATCTGGACAAACAAAAGGGGGGCACAGGAGATAAAGGTTATTTTAAGATGGATAATCTGTATAGCAGTGTAAGTAGTAGAGCAATTACAACAGGCATTCTCACCAGTGACATGTGTCTATTGAGGCCTCCACTGGTCTTGAAGGTCTTATTGCAGTAGCCACATGACAGCCCTGCCCATGTGGTTCTGGCCTCTGGCTGAACGGTCTCAGAGCTCTGAGTCACCTCGGTGAAGCTCTGCAGCAGGTCAAACTGGGCCTGGGTGGTGCCCACATTCTGAGGACAAACCAAAGGAAGTAATACATATCAAAAAAACATAACTTCAATTTGAACTCGTTAACTTCATAGCGTGGGATTTTTCCTAGATTAATTACATTTATATTACATAGACTGATGTGTCTAATGTTATTCTTTTCCATTCCACATCACAAATGTGGAAGGGTTTTATTTTTCTCTTCTTGCGTTTATCCGTTTGATCCCATCACTTACTGCATTGTTGCTATCTGCTCCCTCCGTCAGTCCAAGGAGAACCTCTGTCGTGTGTCCATTTTCAGCCACTGTGGTGGTCTCCACCACCTCCTCAAAGTCAGCCAGCAGGTGTCCAGCTCCAACGAGCCCATCCCCAACCTCCATCCCTGCCCCAGGCCCCGCCTCCCCACTGGCCCCGTGCCCCTCTGGAGCCATGTGGATGGCCTGGTGCTCCTCCAGCTCTGTTTGCGTGCCAAAGGTATGGCTGCAGCTGCCACAGCTGTAAAGCAGCACACTGGCCCCAGTGTCAGTGCTCAGGTGAACCTCTGTCCCGATAGCCCTAGATGCACACACATCCTCCCCGGACGGGGTGAGAGTGAGCTGGGGGAGAAGGCTCGGATTCTGGCCAGATGAGGTGGTTGACAGGAACACTTCTTCCATCCCCACCCCCACTCCATCAGTTCCTTCCTGGCTCACAAACCCCACCATGTCCGTCAACATGGATGATGTCACTTCCTCTGCCCCTACCACCACCTCCACTACCTCATTCCCCTTCCTTCCGTCCTCTCCCCTCTTCCCCTCCTTCCCTCCTGTATTGAGGTTGGAGTGAGAGTTCTTGTGCAGAGCCAGGTTTGATGAATGTGTGAAGCTGCGTCCACACTCACCACAGATGTATGGCCTCTCGCCTGTATGTATCCTCATGTGCTGCCTAAGGTTGGTGGACTGAGTGAAGGACTTGTTACAAACCGAGCAGGTGTAAGGCTTGAGACCAAGATGGACATTCTTGTGTCGCCGCAGACTGCTTGAGTTCTTGAAGGCCTTGGGGCAAGTGTCACAGGGGTATGGGCATTCTCCAGTGTGCTGGCGCAGGTGATACTGGTAGTGAGAACTCCATTTAAAGGTCAGGGGGCAATAGGGGCACAAGAAGGTTCGCACTCCAGTGTGAACACTCTGATGGACCTGGAGACAGACAGACAGAGATGTAAAACCTGTCTCATAACTCAGCATGACTTCTCCTTGTTTCTAAATCTGATCTCACCTGGAGCAGAGAGGAGCGCTTGAAGGCTTTGCCACAGTCCTGACATTTGTAAGGCTTCTCCCCTGAGTGAGACCTACAAAAAAACACAACTATTTAGGAGGACGGCACAATTAATAATGTAGAGTCATTAAAGCTGTGACACGTAATTAGAATAGAAATACATGGAAATACTTTCTCTTTTATACACTGGCAGTCAAGTACCTGCATTAATTAAAAGGTATGAATCATGGATTTCGAATAGTAATCTGCTACCTTAAGTTTCCTCTTAACATGAATTTGGACTGAACACAGAATGAGTAAGGAAGAGGTGGATCCAGACTTTGGTTCAGATTTTCTTTTGAAAGTATACTGTTCTCTGAAATCTCCAAGCCGGCTCTGGTGGACTCACAGAGCACCTTGTTCAAATCTGATCTTCAAAATTGCCTGATTGGCCAATAGAAATGCTGATGTGCTGTGTTTGGAAATGGAGAAGTCATTATTCTATTTATGTGCAATCACCATGTTTTGTCAAATATTGCACTGCCAGACTACAAACTGCAGCATCGCTCTAATACACTATTAACAGTTTATGATCACCCTCCTAAATATTTATTCACTGATCTAATTGGTACATTGACATCACATCCTTTATCAACGCTGAATGCTGGGAGGATTTGTTAAAAGCTAATGAGACTGGCTCTTAAAACTTTGGCCTGTGGCACACACTGTATGTACATGTTAATGTGTGTTAAAACGCTCTGACTGTAAGCACCACTGGTACTCATTGCTACATTTCAGATGTCTATTAACATGATCACATCAGTGTAGACGAGGGAGGTCCAATTCACAACACTATTATAACAAGGTTACAATATGTGGATAGTAAAGAGCTATGTTTCTATTACAAAAATACTCTAATAGTGCATTACTGTATTGTTAAGGTATACCGTTGGTGGTACAGCAGAGCAGAGGAGCCCTTGAAGGCCTTGGGGCAGAGGTTGCAACGGTAGGGTCTCTCATTGTTGTGGCTCCGCTGGTGGTGAGTCAGCCTGGACGACCACCTGAAGCTCTTGCCACAGTCCAGACACTGAAAGGGATGGTCCGTCTGCTTGGGCTGCTGGGCTGGGCCTGACACAGACGACGTCACCATGTCCAGAACCACTTCCTCTCCACCTTCTACTACTCCCTTGTCTCCCTCCACCAGCTCCCCTCTCTCCCTGTCGTCCTCCCCATCCTCTCCTGAGCCCAGCAGAGATGGGAACGGAGAGAGCGAGGCAGTGGACTGAGGTGGTAAGAGTTCTGCTTGGACCACCAAGGCCACTGAATTAGCCATTACCAGGGCAAGCTGGTGGCAGATGAGGGTATTCCTAAGAAACAGGTGTGGATCAGTTCTAGTGCAGTATCATGGTTCTTTCTTTCACTTTTCCTTCATTCATGTTTTCTTCTCTGTGTTTGGTAAATTCCTTCCCTGTCAGCCACTGGAAACACCAGCTGTCATTCCAAGTAGACAGCTCAGGACAGTTCTGACATAAAGTGAAATGGAAATAAATACAGCATTATAACTTGGTAACTCCTGCTAAGAATGTCCCCTTTAAATTCCTCCCCCTGCCTCCCCCCACACACACACTCTCCTGTCTATGAAGCTAGTCCCCCCTGCCTCCTGTCCTTCCTCTGGCCGTCAGTCCCTTTCTGTCAGTCCCCGCAGTGCGGTGCCTACTGGAAATACACACACAGAGGCTACAGCTAAGTTACACATTAAGGTGCTTTATAAGTGTGCTATGATGTATCCGGTCAGATGTGCAAGCCAAGAAGCAACAACCACAAATATCAGTTTTAACAGTATAAACAAAAACAGTTACTGGCCTGCATTTAAAGCTAATCTAGCCCTCGTCAATGCGGAATAGCCTCGTTAAATTGTTCGATACGGATGTGCATGAACGCAGACTTAAGCAGTACTCACCGCGCATCTTTAACTCATCTTAAAGCTATATTGTTGATATTATGAAAATGAAGTGGGTACCGCAGTGCTAATCCACACAACCTTAACAATAAACACAGCACAAACTAACAGCAGTTCTCCGCCCGATGCCGCCTCCTAAGAACAGCGACGGCGATTGGCTGTTTGCTACAATAGATGAGATACTACCATTGGCCCGGAGCTTCAACGGACAGATTGACGTTTTTAAAATTCATTTTAAAATATTTGTAACTTACAAATTTTACGAAAAGCACTTGTCATTGATGTATCTACATTTCCAAATCTTCAACAATAATATATAAAGCCTTATTCGATTTGATTATTTCTCCGTTATATTCTGACAATGGCGCACAGACTTCTGGGTAGTGAAGTATCTTTATGTGTCTGCCTTAAGTGGACCATGCAGATCAAAGATACTCAAATCCACGGTGCACATTCTTTAGTATTTATTTCACCAAGGCACATATTTCACATTGAGGCCAATCAGTGTGTGGAAGAGGCAACTTGATGTTACAACAATAATTTAAACATGATGGTATAATAATAGTAAATAGGAATAAAAACTGTATAAAAGTACAAAAAGATAGGAGACTTGCTCCGCTGCAGCACAAAATAAATAGTTCCACCAAGTTACTTAAATAAATAGTCAATACTGTAACAAATACTAGAATAGGAATGAACAAAAATTATAGTGATAAAATTGGTAAGGTATTCTACATTATATTGTAGAAAACAACATAATACACAAAGCACTGTATACAACAATTTACATTCTTGTATATTTATGTACACCTGTACAGAACTTAGTGTCATAATACATAGTATTTTAAGGCTTTGGGTGTTTAACTTAAAAAAAAAAAAAAAAACTTTTCTACCCCAAAGCACAAGTTCAAAATCAGCCATCTCACTCTTCCAAGAGGCTAATCCTAACAAGTTTGTGCAAAGAATCTAATCAGGTCCATCAGTGCTCAGCAACAGGGCACATTCATACAACTTTACCACAACATTAAATATGCCTCCTTGTGCAGAATGCAAAAAACAGGCATCAAAAATAGAAATTCTGCCCATGGTACAAAAGAAAGTATTCACTTCTCTTTGACTACCATCCTGGCATTTACAAATTAAAACAATTAATTTCATAGGCCATCAATTGATACGTTAATACGTGACACGTTTAACATGGTTAGAAGATGAAATTTACATCTTCCAAAATTTTTTATTTTACGGGCACTGTAAGTGAGAGATAGTGAAAACCTCGGCTATCCAAAATTTATGCTACATCTACTGGAAGAATTATTGGCTGAAGAAATACACAAACGTAAAGTTAATTAAGTTACTTAAAACAAAAGTCATTAGGGGCGTCAAGTGGCACAGTGGGTTGAGCAGGCGTCCCATATGTAGAGGCTACAGTCCTCGCTGCAGTCGGCCCCAGTTAGAGTCCCGCATTGGACGGCCCTTTGCTGCATGTCATTCCCTCTCTCTCTGCCTCCCCATTTCCTGTCTCTCTCTACTGTGCTATCAAATAAAGGCATAAAAAGCCCCCAAAAAATATATTAAAAAAAAACAAAAGTCATTATCAGAGCTATAGGTTCAGGAAGTGCTACTGTGTTTTTCTTGAGGATCAGTGAGACACAAGACAATAAGAAAGATTACAAAGACTTGGGCAAATAAATTCACGTTGATACAGAAATAAAGATGAGAGTGACACATTTCAACTTCAAATAAATAAAATTAAATAAATTACTAACAGTCAATAAATAAATAAATACATAAATAACATGGTCATGAACAAGGCCTTTGGGAGAAAGTTTGGGGAATTATGACATGATCATCATAGTTAAACTGGCTGTTTGCTTTAACGGGAATCTTGATGGTCGTAACTGGTTGCAGTATAGTGCATCCTCAATGGCTCTGATGGAAAGACACATTCTTCAACACGCATGTCATTGGTTGATGATTTGGCCTCTTAAGGGATGCTATTGACTACACTGCACACTGACATGGTCCTAATTCCCCTTTGGCTGAGGCGGGACTCCATGTATGCACATGGCTCTGCAGCCAAGTAGTTCATGGGTCATCATTGTACTGCAGTAACTTTGGGCTTGAGGCTAATGAATGCTCTGTATGCCCAATCACAGAAGAGCTTGAAGTGTTGGAGAAGCTCGTGGCTGGACTGCAGGACATCAAACTGATAGGGGAGGTGAGGGGGGAGAGAAGGGGTCGCCGGAGTCAGCCTCGGTGCTTCAACTCTTAGCATCTGTGGAGGAGACAAGCAGACAAACAGATCAGAAAAAAATAATTGAAATTGTTGCAGGTTAATTTGAAAATGACATTTCATTTACTGCTCAAACTCACATGGAGCAATTTAAGATTAAACACTGAGCACAGCTGAGGATGAAGTGAGGAAACTGAGCTCTGTACCTGACGGTGCAGCAGGTTGATGAGAGATTTCATTTCTCTGATCATCTCCACCAGCTTGGGCACTGCTGGGTGGTGGTGCTTCTTTGAAACCTTGTTCAGCCACTCAAAGTGGTGCTCATACAGCTTCAGGTCAGCATGCAGCTGAGAGAGTGTGGGCTTCAGCTGGAAACAACACAGACATACTTTAGAGACTTAACATGGGTGTGGCAAGATGTAACTGTTTGGAGAGAAACAGACCAGCAACTCTCCCTTCACACACAAATACATTATCAGAGCATTACCTCAAGATTGTTGAGGTCATTGGCTGATCTGTTGCTCATTTCTGGCAGAGACCTGAATCTGTGGGGCTCCACGTCTGAGTCAAATGCATGCTCCCTCTGAAAGAGAAAACGAGACACAGAGCAGCCCATTAGTAATTTGCATCAGCGCAATTTTACTCATCCTGAGACAAGTCACGGCAACATGAGGAAAGTATTAGTCTAGCACCTCGATTGGATGACTGTTTTCTGTGCTTAGAGACAGTAGCTCTCACTGAGGGGAGTGTGGTTGATGGGGTCAGTGTGAGTTCACCCACATTCAGCCTCCCCAAATGTCAACAATAAGAGCAAATGACCTGAACCCACAGGATGTTTTCTACAGGGAGCGAGGATAACAACATATGCAGTGACTAAGAAAGCTCCAAGTGGGACAGACAACACAGGACTGTAGGGAAACTCCAGGGTCACAGCTATAAAAAGATGTAATGACGCAGTGCTCCTGCCCAGCTTGACTTGTGTTGTAAACTACGGCCAGACAGCAGGTGTAGCTCCCATTGTGACCAGCAGAGGGGGATAAACAACCTGAGGTACAGGTTTATGGATTTCTACTTTACAAAGGCAGCCGTGCTCATAGGTAGCACAATTTGGTATTAAAGATATTGGCCTGATGCCGTAATGAAAGGGCATAGATGGAGATGACTGATGTGGCATGCGTCATTTCCAATCAGGAGGGGAACATAACAACATTAGGGTGATGAGTGCTGAGAAATGTTTTGTATAAACAGGTTGCGTGTGCTTAAAGCTTCCTTAACCTGTTATGCTGTTTTCCTTGCTCTACTGTTTGCTTCCAGTTGTTTGTGTTGATGTTTTTTAGTGATGAATGTGCAGCATTGTCTCTCATGTCTCTCCATCAGCATTTCATAATAGCTCACTTATGTTTGTGGTCCAATGTTTTGTCTCTGTTGCTTTTGTCCTCTTCCATCTCCTGCTTCCCTCTCTCTCCCCCTCTCCTCTCTCTCGCTCTCTCTCTCTCTCTCTCTCTCTCTCTCCCTCTCCCTCTGTCTCATACCAGGTGCACAAGCACATGCAACCTCACGTGCACATGTGCATGCATGCACACACATACACCACTGGCTTGTCATCTAGTTGGCTCTCTGATCTCTTCATCTCTTGTGGTTTTCGCTCCATCTTTCTCAGCCTTTAATTCTCCCTCTTATCCTCCTTTTTCTTGCTCTCTCCATCGTAGATCATGACCTCACCCGACAGCCTAGCATCCAGCCTTTTTCTTCCTGAATGCAAATACTGGAATGTGATAAATCTTTTTGATTTTTATCAAGTCACTTTGCTGTGGCGACCGAAAGCAAAACACTAAACACCGCACCTACACAACCATAGCTATTTACAGAACCCTCGGCGCGCGCACACACAGCCACAAAAATGCATACACACAAATGTATGCAGACATATCTACATTCGAACCCATACGCTGTGCATGCAAACACACACAGACTCACTCACAGATACATGGTCACGTTGGAAAACTTATACAGACCTATGTGTATACGCACACGCACTTTTCTCTCTTTAAAGCATCAGTTTCATTGCTATTTTGCAGGGACTTTCCATGGATTCCCATTCTATTTATCTTTCCTAACTTTCTCCTCTCTTTAGTGGAATTCGTCACAATAAGGAAAAAAAATTAAAAATAAATCCTCCATATTACTGAACACTGTCTAATACTGTCCCCAACACCCTTTTGATAATGCTGGTTCTTCACATCTGGACCCCAGCTTATACAACTGTTACACAATGTCCTGTTACATTGTTTTAAAGCAAGAAACACACACACATACAGAACACACACACACACACACACACACACACACACACACACACACACACACTTTCTGAACAGTATCTGCTGGCCAAGACTAGAGAGAGTATTCGGCTATTTTTGATTTTATCCCGTGAACAAAAGAACTTAAAGATTTGCATAATGCAAAAATAGAATCTAGATCAGTCATGTGTAACCAGAGATCCAGAGATATGATGCAGCTTTTTTTTTCACCTGTTATAACACAGTGTTGATATACAATCACCAGCTGGAGCCAAATCTTGGCCAAGTTCTCAAATCTGATTTTCCTTCCCACTTGACTGTCAACAAAATAAGATTCGGGGCAGAATTGTCAGTACGGTACGTGCAAGTGATTCACATTTCATAGAAAAAAGAACTTCTCCAACTCTATCCACACTTCCACAGACTAGCCACAGAACATAAACATGTTTCTATGTAAACAGGCATGTCATATACTTTGCTGTCATTTCACAGATGCTATGCTTGGCAGTTCGGCCTTAGTTGGATGTAGGTAGGTACGGTGTTAATATGTAGTTTTCTAAGTTTGTCTTCATTGGAGACATAAAACTGATTCCTTGAACTTTGTTTTGTTTCTCTATAACCCTTTGATCACATTATATTCCTTGCTAGACCATCGCTGTAAATGGGTGTTTATTCTCCTTAATTCCATGAGACTTGATATGAATTTCATTGCACACTCACTAGACCGCATAAAGGCGCTGGCCTGGCCACCAATCTTCGTGCTACTGCCACCAGTCAGGTGACCAGATAGACCAGGAGGTTGCTGAGTCAGACCTCCCCTCCCTTTGGAGTCCAGTGTGGATTAAAAGTGAGATCACTCAGTCAAATCTCCCCTGAGGCTTTTGCTGCCCTGATCTAAGCATGCAGATGGACTCCAGCCAGTCTGTCATCAATGAAAGCAGCTTAAGTCAGACTGAAGTCCTGAGCAAACCTAGCATAGCACAGTGTTTCCACTACAGTGCATGATGCAAAGTTAGGGTAGTTTGAAGTGTGAGGTTACCTAAACTGCAAGGTAACATTAGCCCCAAAATCCAATTAGGGAAAGATCAATCAAAGCAGGTTGTGGCGCAACGACCAGCATCCTTCTCCACCCTCACACTGACAATTCAATTAGCATAGAGTGGCCAGGGCCTCATTAGCTTCCCCTCCAATGAGTGGCTGAGCCTGGTTATCATCATGACGACATCTTCACTTACCAGCAGTTCTTGCGTGAGCTTCATTAGATTCTTGGTCTGATTGGACAGTTTATCCATGTCACTGGGCCGCCGCTGCGGTACTGGAGAGGCAGACGTGAACACAGGCAGCTGAGCCAATAGCAGCGAGAAGAGGAGTGATGAGGAGGAGTCGAGCAGCACTGCAGGGGTAGAACAAAACGGAAGCAATTAGTGGAGAGGCGCTGTCATCTCGCCATAATGATAATGACCTCAGGCCACGGCTGTCAGTCCTAGGAGAAGATATTGCACCATAATATAAACAATAGCTCCAGACTTGGCAGAGGAATCCTGAAGAGCTTCAATGTCAGAGTCATGTTTTCACAGGCTGAATGCAAATCATTAAATCATTAAAAGCCAGGCTTTGACACTGAATATCACCATCACTCCTTTACCTTAAGCAACGCAATGAATGCTGCTGATTGTCACACCTGCAACTGGATAGGTACGTGAGTTGGTGGTATAAATTATATAGACCAAGCCAAGTCAACTCCCTAACAGTAAGCTCATTCATTCTTTTCCTTTCAAGTTCAAATACAAGGTAGACTAAGTATTAAAAGGGAACCGCAGCGGTGTTGAAATGATGAATGCTTGATAATTACAGGTGAACCACAAGAATCGCAGCCAAAACAACACTGCAGGAGCATCTGAGCTCCCTGTCCTGGGGTAACTTGAACAGTAGAGGGAATAAAGTTGTCCATACTTCAAGCATTAGCAGCATTATCAGTAAAATCATCAAGTTAAGTCAGTTGTTTAGAATTTAACTTATAAATAAATCATTCAGTGTCTGTATAAGGACGATAACATGGCTGTTAACAGTCACATAAACGTCATACAACCCACCATTTCAAAAATGTAAAATAATAAAGACAAAGCTGAAAAAGAAGTGATAATTAACGCACTGTGCAATCACAAATGAAAACACACTCATACAATCACTTACATTTCATATTGGTTTCGGATCCAAGAGATTGGAAAACCAGCAGACAAACGTAGATAAATAAATAAATAAGAAAATTAATAAATAAATTGAACTCCGGAAATTGTCACGTGCTCCGGTTTCTTCTTCGCACTCTTCAGTCAGAGTGAGGAGGAAAGTTGTCAGGACAGAATGAATGAGAGAGCAGAGTGGTGACTGGAGCCACTCAGAGAGAAAGTGAGGAAAAGAAAGGTAAAAGTCAATCTCAGTCAAACTTTCTGTCTTTAGCAAAAGTTTGAGATGAGCCCCTGTGTTCTTTATGGAGTGCTGAAGGCAGACAGGCACTTAGACAGTTTGGAGAGAGAGAGGCAACAGAAATGCAGAGAGAGGGATGCGAGTGTGGTAAGTCCAATTTTTGCGCGCAGTGAAGTGTTTAGGCTTGTTTAAAACTTCCTTTATAAAGACGTCGGGCCTATGACACATCGGCAGTGACTCACTTCATTCATAAAAACACACACACACACACAGACACACGCTCTCTCCCTCCTCTCTCTCTCTCTCTCCCTCTCTCTCCCTCCTCTCTCTCTCTTTCCTCCTCCCCTCCCTGCTGCCTGTCTCCCTTTGCGAAACTTTAAAAAAAATGTTCCGTTGTTTTTTTTCTTTTTTTTCTTTCCTCTATCACTTTCTCCCGTCCTGTCCTGTCCCTATCTCCAGCACTTCCTCCGTCGCATCCCGCTACCTGCGCCAATCAGTCCCATCTACCTCTTTTTATCTTTCCATCTCCAAATCTCTTCCCCCCTCTCTCTCTATCACTGCAGACGTTTTAAAAAGCCCATTGTTTTCATGTGTATCAGCCTATCTCATGTAACCATGTATCTTTTAGAGCTCTAGTTTTACCTGTGCTTTCCTTTTCTTGTGCTTGCTGCTGTTTTGTGCTGTGTGTTCAAGGATGAAATGTCACTGAAAGTGTGTTTCCGCTTGTTTTATTCAATTTATGGCAGGGCTCTTTTAGGCTACACATGCCACATTCCCTGTATTATAGCTAATACGCACAGCAAACACCTTTTCTCTCCCATATTTCTCTCCCCCCTTTTCTCACCCCTTGCTCTTTTTTTTCAGAGCCCCTCCTGAGACAGCAGCCTGTTATTTCCCACTGGCCCCCCCCCCCCCCCCGCCCCTCACCCACCCACCTCCTTCTATTTTTTTTCACTCCTTCTCTCTCCCTCTCCAGGGTGAAGGAAAGAGTGAGGAGTGAGAGACGGATAGGAGCAGGAGTGAGGTGTTGTCCAGACCAGAAGGGGCCTCTGAAAGTGTTGCATAGGAACAGTGAGCGGACACACGCACACACATACACACACATACACACACACATACTGTACACACCACATGACATTAACATAGACACATGTTTGAGGGGTATTAGGGGTGGTGGCATGGGCGATGGGGTCAACACAGTAGACACACACACACAAAACATGCACATGGATGCACACACACACTGTGTCGCAGAAAAACATGCTGCTCAAATAAACCAAAACAAGCTTTCTAGCACAGAAACACACACACTCGGATACATGCAGGAACACACACACACACACCCAGCATGATTTCTCACATTCTCTGTATGTTTCTCTCTCTCTCTTTCGCGCACACACGCGCGCGCACACGTAGAGCATGGCAGCCTGGAAACACTCAGTCAGGTGCAGTAAAGCATGGCCTACTGTTGCAAAGGGCAAAAATGAGTTTCCAGTCATCACAGTTCATCACAGAGGGACAGCTCGTGCATCATACTGTACACATACTGCATATCAGAGGGGAGTCAGACACACACACACACACACACACACACACACAAAAGGAGGAGAGAGAGAAACCAGGGAAAAGGAAGAAAGCGTTTTTGAGTCTGGGTGTGAGATTAGGAGACCCTCATTCACAGACATACACTCATGGTGTGGTTAGAAAATAATTAGTGGCGGGCCTTGTATGCGCACATTCGCACACTCATACACATATACACACAGAGTTGCCAGTCCGGTGGTGGGCCTACACAGACAAACAAACACCCTCCAAATGATGAGGGCCTGGTGGCAGTGAGTGGGTGGCAGAGTTGTTGTGGTAAAAAAGGGTCATGCTCTGTTTTCTCGGGTCAACAGTAGAGAAGAAAAGCAGGGAAAAGGAGGAGAACAGGAGAAGAAGGAGAGGAAATAGATGAGTGCGGTTGGACGTAGGGAGATATTGACACACTCGCTCTTTTTAATTTCCCACATCAAAGGGCCGTTTGAAGACACAGCTGGGGAGAGAAGAAAAGAAAGAGTGAAGTTAGTCACTCTCCCTCATTCCCTCTCTGGGCTGCCTCTCATGATGGGGGTCTCCTGGGTGGTTCTGAAGCACACAGTCTTCTGTTAGGCCGTCCGCCAGCGCTGATCACTCACACACTACGACACTGGGTGGGTGCCCTTTAAGTGTGTGTGTCTGTGTGTGTGTGTGTGTGTGTGTATATCTGCGAGAGTGTGTGTCCACGTGCACAGATAGATGTCAGCGCGCAAAGTAAAAGAGGTTGTGTATCTTTGTTTAGACTTTTGTTTTCGTGTGTGTGAGAGCGAGCACACATTGGCGCATGCCTGTTGGAAAAGGGGGAATCCAGGGTTTGTGTAAATGGGTGTGCGTACAGTATATGTGTGTAATTATGGGTATGTGGTGGTATAAGTGCGGTGTCTGTATAACGTGCATGAAACATCAGTGTTTGTGTGTGCGTCTGTGTGTGTGTGTTTGTGTGTGGCCTTCATATGCTACCCATTACATCACCAATCTGTGTAAACCACCATAGGAGGAGAAACAGAGTGAGACACTCAGACTACGACCTCAAAGACATCAGAGAGGAAGGGGAACCTGTGACAGGGCCTGCCAGCCGTCCTCGCTGCCAGACAAACTTTACTCACACAAGCTTCACTCAAATTCAGTCATGCTTTACACTAGGTTTCCTGTGCGCCATGGCATGTATTCACACATTATTACGCAGGCATCAAATCTTTTGAATGCCTCACACTCTTCGCTCACCTTTTGCCAGGTTGTTAATCCACACAGTTGCTCAATTCATTCACCATTTGCCAAAGTCTCTTTCAAAACTTTGTGTTTGAGTGTAATATTCTTCATAATTTATTTAACTGACAAGGAAGAGCTTGAGGAAGAGTAGGTTTTTTTTTTTTTTATGTTGGGGACTTTTGTTCACTGTTTACTTTAGTGTGATTAGGGTTATGGTCTGATTATGAGAACAAATACCAAATCTGCCCATTCTGATAATGTTGGTTTTCCCATAAATGTTTATTGCGGTGGGTTAATTTCCAGGTCCAGGTGGATGATAAAGCAGTCTTGTGGATTTTAGGGTTAAGTCTCATGTTCTGCTTACCTCAGAGTGTCATATGTAAACAGTGAGAACGCTGGCCGTGACGCAACACTGCTACGATGGTAAAAGGGATTACGGGAGAAGGAGTAGTAATAAATTCATCATTTTTATGTTGCACCCTCATTTCCTCCAGGGAATTCCAGCACGGCCCAAGTAAATAAACTCTGAGATTACGTTCAAAAGGAAAACCAAAGGTCCGACCTATTACTGTTAATATTTACTCTCCTATAACAGAACACTTTCAAATTTCCCCATGACCTCCTCCACCTCCCGTCTTCTTCCTCTCTACTCCGTCATTCTGTCCCCCATTCATCCTCCTTACCCTGCTGCCAAGCGCGTGACTCTGGCAGAGTATGCTATCTGGGGAATTGTCATGGTAACCTTACCCTAACTCGCTACCCACTGCCATCATTTCCCCATCCCCCTCCTCCCCTCCGCTTGCCCCCTTATACTTCAACCTACGTCAGAGAGCAAGTGAGTGTGTTAATAGTTCAGGGGGGGGAAAGGGAGAAATACTGACACACAGGAGGGGGCTGCAGTCATTGGGCAATAAAATGACGTCTCTGACTTTCTCTTTCTCACCGCCAGAGATCTGTGTTAATGCGCTGTTGTCCTCTTTGAAATGGATATACGACACGAGACCCCCCACCCCCCCCAGACCCCCCTCAGTCTCCCTCCACTTGCGAGTCTGGAGTTGAAAAAACTCCCCATGGATGTGATTTACAAATTATGCGTGTCAATTGCTTTCTTCCTTTTCCATGCAAGCGGCCCACTCAAGACAGCTATGGCTGTTGTGCATCTGTTGCTTTGCCTTTTTTTATTAGACCATTAAAGGAGGACATTAACCAGCATCATTATTGCAGGTTTCCTTCACTGGCTCAGCTCACAGAGCCGCGCAAAGGGCAGGATGCAGCTGATGAAAGGGAGAGCATTAGTCTCTCCCAGCAGAAACTAGGGGAGCGAAATGTTTAAATCAGCTCTCTATTAAACACACATTTACAAGGCTTATTTTGTTTGGAAACCAGAGTCTGTGGTATGTGACAAAACACAGTGTGCGTACATGCATGTGTAACAGTGAGAGTCAGCTGAAACCCTCTCCCTCTCTGACTCTGCGTCGCTCACCTGCTCACTCTCCCCGCGCACTCTCACTGCGTCCAAGCAGTTGCATCTGCCAGTGAGGAAATCTCTGAATGAACTTGTTGAAGCAATAGGTCACAGACAGAGTGTGAGAGGGAGAAGGAAGGAAGGGGGGGGGAGGGGGGGGGGGTGTCAGGAGTTGCAGTGGGGGAGTACAGCGGGAAGTAAGCTACCCACGCAAAAGGAACTTTTTACTGTGCAAACACTCTTTCCATGCTCCCTCCATCTCAGACTGGTGTTAATACACTGGAGAGCCCAGGCCTGTCTCAGAGCTCCCTCCCGCTCCTCTCTCTGCCATTCTCAGTCGCCCTAAACATTCTTTCCTCCCCTGTCATTGCGTGTCCTGTCTGCATCCCTCTCTCTCCCCATCTCGTCCTCCTTTCAAAGTGCTTCCCCTCGGCTCCCTCTTACTTTCTCTTTCACACACTCACTCGCTTCCACTTCACATCCCTGTCTCCTCCTGGTCTCTCTGTTTTCTCTGGTGCTGTCTGGTGTGCAGAAGGATCAATGAAATACAAACATTACAAGCTTTAAACAGTCAAAGCATGTGTAATCAAACATGATGTGCATGTAAAGAGTGAACCCTTTTTTATCACCTGGCTGTGATATCTCTGCCCCAGTGACCCTCCACGAAACTTTTTTTTTTTTTTTTTTTTTTTTTTTTTAAAGAAAGAGAGAAAAAAGAGGAGAGAGAAAGTGAAGTTCCTATTTTTGGTGCATTCCTCAGCGAGCAGAATAGTTACCTCGGAGACATTACTCGAGCATTCTCTGTGCCTTTCAGACTTTCACCATTATTTGTGGTGAGTTACTACATCTGTGTGTTTGTATCAGAGCTGACCATTACTTGCCAGCGCACCATGCGTCTGCGTCAG